GTAATTGCTGCAAAAGGTGGCTCTACAAAGTATTGACTTGGGGGGGGTGAATAGTTATGCACGCTCAAGTTCTGTTTTTCTGTCTTATTTCTTGTTTGTTTCACCCCAAAAAATATTTTGCATCTTCAAAGTGGTAGGCATGTTGTGTAAATCAAATGATACAAACCCCCCAAAAATGCATTTTTAATTCCAGGTTGTAAGGCAACAAAATAGGGAAAATGCCAAGGGGGGTGAATACTTTCGCAAGCCACTGTAGTACCCTTGCACTGTGACTAACATAATACATTTCTCCATTCAAGTACTTAGTCACGTTACACTTGTGTTATTATATACAGTAAAAAAAAAAAAAGCAAATGGATCTCCTTCATACTACCATCGTAGTTTCCTTTAAAACAACATAAAAGCATAACTCAAAGACCACGGCCCTATATAACTCCTGTGGCATTGAGGTGGGTGATAGTGGTTCAACTGGACTAGAGGTCTGACAGATCTAAATCTTTAATTGAAGATACCCTATTGGAAGGCTCTTAAGTGTGCTGTGGTACTTACGGTATTCATCGGAATAAATCGATATGTAAAAAACAACAAGAGCTAAAGTAAGTTCCTTTCAGAGAGGATGTTTTCTAAGAAAACAGGAGCTGTGCCCTGTGTACGGTCTCAGGGTAGCAAGTCTTGACTAGTGCTGTGCACTGGGAGTGCAGTTACCTTCTCACTTCAACTAAAGTGCAAACAAACTAAAATGAAGAAAAAATATTGCCTTCCTAAAATGTCATTTATTAAAAATACTTAAAACTAATATAACAATGAATCAGTTCATTTACATACAATTGGGATTGGTTGGGTTAGATTAAAAGTAAACACTGGTTGTACACAGCATGAGGAGGGCTGGGTGACACACCCCATTCCCTTGGTAACACACCAATCATCCCATCCTGTCTGTCCACAGAGCCATTGTGCAATCCGTACTGATTCATAAGCACCTAGCAGATGCCTTAGAATCTATTATGTACATAGGAGGTTAACATTAAAAAGACATACAGTAAGTAAAGTGCCCACTTAGAAATGCAATGCAGCCCATTTCAGATTCTCCCAAGCACAGAGGAAGCAGGTATTTGACAGCTATTACATTTTATTGACAGTGCCAGACTGACTGAGCTACCATAATACCCATGGCCTGTCCAGAAACAACCCACAGCCCCTACTGCCCAGAGTCTAGACACTTGTGGAGATCTGAGAGGGATTGATGGGTGGTGACATGGTGAGAGCTCCACCTTACCCTCTGATAGGCTTGGTGGAATTTTGGTTGTATAGCTTACACCTGTCCAATTCTCTAGGGCTAGGGGTTGTTTCTGGACAGGACCCCACAATCCTCTGGGTGTGTGGTGGACCAACAGCACGAATCGAGACATTGGTTGGATGTTTAATTCCATTGCTATACACACACAGATTTGCACAGGTGTAAGCTGGACAAACCCACGACACCATATCAGGCTGATCAGACAGGTCTGGGTAGCTGGAGACCTTCTGTAAACAGTGAAATTATTAATTACGTCTACTATTCACACCCTTACTTCATTCCAGCTAGTTAGATGTGCAACCCCTGACTAACTATAGCTAGGGGCATATCTCTAGTCTAGTAACATATACTGTTGTTTTGGCTGTATAGCATCATTTAATAAGATTACCAATGGTTAGCTAGGTAGCTAGGATATATCAGTACGCTAACCATTTACAGTAACAGCAGTTAATTAATAAGTCAATACACACTAAATATTATGCAGAAATTGAGAAATCTTACCTTATTTTGGCACTGTGGCACGGTATGGGCAGCTATTAATCAATTAATTAATAGAAGGGTGACCTCCTACTTTGAAAGAACAGAGAAGAAAACTAGACTCCCTGCGGACCTGGCATCTTTTCACTCCCTCCTCTCTACATTTTCTTCATCTGTTTCTGCTGCTAAGGCCACTTTCTACCACTCTAAATTCCAAGCATCTGCCTCTAACCCTAGGAAGCGCTTTGCCACATTCTCCTACCTGCTGAATCCCCCCCCCCCCCCTCTCTGTGGATGACTTCGTCAACCATTTTGAAAAGAAGGTTGACGACATCCGATCCTCGTTTGTTAAGTCAAATGACACTGCTGGTCCTGCTCACACTGCCCTACCCTATGCTTTGACTTCTTTCTCCCCTCTCTCTCCAGATAAAATCTTGCGACTTGTGACGGCAGGCCGCCCAACAACCTGCCCGCTTGACCCTATCCCCTCCTCTCTTCTCCAGACCATCTCCGGTGACCTTCTCCCTTACCTCACCTCGCTGATCAACTCATCCTTGACCGCTGGCTATGTCCCTTCCGTCTTCAAGAGAGCGAGAGTTGCACCCCTTCTCAAAAAACCAACACTCGATCCCTCTGATGTCAACAACTACAGACCAGTATCCCTTCTTTCTTTTCTCTCCAAAACTATTGAGCGTGCCGTCTTTAGCCAACTCTCTTGCTATTCCTCTCAGAATGACCTTCTTGATCCAAACCAGTCAGGTTTCAAGACTGGTCATTCAACTGAGACTGCTCTTCTCTGTGTCACGGAGGCTCTCCGCACTGCTAAAGCTAACTCTCTCTCCTCTGCTCTTGTCCTAGACCTATCTGCTGCCTTTGATACTGTGAACCATCAGATCCTCCTCTCCACCCTCTCCGAGCTGGGCATCTCCGGCGCGGCTCACTCTTGGATTGCGTCCTACCTGACCGGTCGCTCCTACCAAGTGGCGTGGCGAGAAGCTGTCTCCGCACCACGTGCTCTCACCACTGGTGTCCCCCAGAGCTCAGTTCTAGGCCCTCTCCTATTCTCGCTATACACCAAGTCACTTGGCTCTGTCATATCCTCACATGGCCTCTCCTATCATTGCTACGCTGACGACACACAACTAATCTTCTCCTTTCCCCCTTCTGATAACCAGGTGGCGAATCGCATCTCTGCATGTCTGGCAGACATATCAGTATGGATGACGGATCACCACCTCAAGCTGAACCTTGGCAAGACGGAGCTGCTCTTCCTCCCGGGGAAGGACTGCCTGTTCCATGATCTCGCCATCACGGTTGACAACTCCGTTGTGTCCTCCTCCCAGAGTGCGAAGAGCCTTGGCGTGACCCTGGACAACACCCTGTCGTTCTCCGCTAACATCAAGGCGGTGACCCGATCCTGTAGGTTCATGCTCTACAACATTCGGAGAGTACGACCCTGCCTTACACAGGAAGCGGCACAGGTCCTAATCCAGGCACTTGTCATCTCCCGTCTGGATTACTGCAACTCGCTGTTGGCTGGGCTCCCTGCCTGTGCCATTAAACCCCTACAACTCATCCAGAATGCCGCAGCCCGTCTGGTGTTCAACCTTCCCAAGTTCTCTCACGTCACCCCGCTCCTCCGCACACTCCACTGGCTTCCAGTTGAAGCTCGCATCTGCTACAAGACCATGGTGCTTGCCTACGGTGCTGTGAGGGGAACGGCACCTCCGTACCTTCAGGCTCTGATCAGTCCCTACACCCAAACGAGGGCATTGCGTTCATCCACCTCTGGCCTGCTGGCTCCCCTACCTCTGCGGAAGCATAGTTCCCGCTCAGCCCAGTCAAAACTGTTCGCTGCTCTGGCACCCCAATGGTGGAACAAGCTCCCTCACGACGCCAGGACAGCGGAGTCACTCACCACCTTCCAGAGACATTTGAAACCCCACCTCTTTAAGGAATACCTGGGATAGGATAAAGTAATCCTTCTACCCCCCCCCCCCCTTACCCCAACCCCCCCCCCCCCCCCCCCCCCCCACAAAAAAAAACATTTAAAAAAAAACATTGTAAAGTGGTTATCCCACTGGCTATAAGGTGAATGCACCTATTTGTAAGTCGCTCTGGATAACAGCGTCTGCTAAATGACGTAAATGTAAATGTAAATGTAAAGTGTTGGCTGTGCACTTGACCAGGCATTCCACATTTGACCCCACCCACATTTGAACATCAAAATATCAAGTAGTTTTTTGGGTTTATATGCAAAAAAGAAACTATTCAAAAATGAATAAACAGCCGTTTTCACATTCCCGATTGCTCCATTTTAACTCTGGAAAACAAGAGATCAAAACGTACATGGATCGTAATCTAACCTCAGGAATCTTGATTTAATGTAAAAAAAATAGGCTAATTATCTTGACCACCGTAACATAGACACCAAAATGTTCTGTCAATCCTCAAGATAAACATTAATTCCCGCACCTTGGCTGTTGTTAAATCGCATGCAGTATCACACAAGCTCTATCACTTGACTGTCAATCAGAAAATCCTTTCCTGAATCAGCTGATGTTGCACGATAATGTCCCCATGTAACTAAACAGCTAGACATCAAACGTGCATCAAATAGCTATTATGCGTAATTATTGAAGAACCCTGTTAATGACAGTATTGATTTTTGTTTTATTAATCATATTACTCTTTACTCTTTCTGTTTGAAGCATTGGATTTTGCAATCACATACATCATTTTGGATATGTGTGCCCATGAAAACTGTTTTCACAACGTAACATAGGGAGATACGAAATGTTACAGTACAATTCCGAGATATCCATTAAAAAAAAAAAGAAGTCTGACAGCAATATCCAGGAATTTCACAGGATCAAGGTCAATGTGTAATTCAATTGTTAAATGCTTACTATATGCTATAATAACAAACAACAGTATCATAAATGTAAGGAAAGAAAGGTAGTGTTTTATGTCACATTTTTGCCAAATCTGTTTAGATTTCCAGTATGAGAAAGGGTTTAAACATTAGGTTTTGATTCAATTTATGAATGATATTGAATGTATCCATGTTCCTCCCTTATATCTTAATGTATTCACATGAATTTGATTTATTATTAATTACTTTGTAACAGCTCCAAACAGTTGTCCAATAAAATAAATGCTCACTGGTACCCTAGTTTATAGAAAGCCCCATATACACTATGCACTGTGGTTAGACTGGCTTTACCTGCTCTGGTGGTTCGATACAGATCCAGGCAGGAACCATCATGCTGGTGCTGAGGGGTTGCATACCCATGCGGAAATAGACCATCCCATAGCCATCACACGCCCACACGATATGCTGATCAGCCTTACCTGATCTGCAAGACAAAGCAAACCAAACCAATGTCAGTTCTTCAGCTTGTTGGAAGTCTTTCTTCATGACACTGAAGAAGGCACTACTGTGCAGAAACATCGGTTCAGACATCTAATAATAGCAGAGATATTTTACATAATGTTGTAACCGACTTTGAGAATAGGCTAATTTTAACCGGGAGTAATATAGAGTGTATGTACAAGTCTCTATTACTATTGTTTAGTAAGTAGCCTAACACAGCAACCACAGCCATGGCTATTGCTTTGTGCAGCACGACACAACACAGCACACTCAACCCATGTGACAAAACACTATTATGTCACAGTAATCTCACGCAGATTACAGAATCTGACTTTTGGGCTGGCCGACCTCTAAACAAACAATGACCTCCAAATAAAGCAATCCCATCCACAATATTCTTGGGACTTTGTGTTTATGACTTTATATAATGTGTATTGTATTATCTGTTGTTATCGGTGTCTGTACTGTGATGTGTTTACTATCTAATCCGAAAGCCAAAGAATGAAGTTCTCTGACTTCTCTCTAGGAAAAATAAAGTTATTCTATTCTAATAATTACTATTATAGATGCATGTATATACAGTAGCTACGTCTACTTCAAACATTCAGTGAGTGACATACGCCACCATTGCAGGCCATGAAATTTCAACACGATAGAATATGTAGTATATTTACATTTTAGTCATTTAGCAGACGCTCTTATCCAGAGCGACTTACAGTTAGTGAGTGCATACATTTTCATACTGGCCCCCCGTGGGAAACGAGCCCACAACCCTGGCGTTGCAAGCGCCATGCTCTACCAACTGAGCTACAGGGGACTACATCTGTAGAATACGTAGGATATACTATTCTATGTACAGCAATAGTTGAATAGGATGACCTTGACTAGAATACAGTATGTAAACATTATTAAAGTGACCAATGTTCCATGTCTATGTACATAGGGCAGCAGCCTCTAAGGTGCAGGGTTGAGTAACCGGGTGGTAGCCGGTTACTGTCAGTGACTAAGTTCAGGGAAGGGTACTGGGTGAAGGCCAAGGGGTTTTAACCAATAGGGCAAATAAGCCAAGTTATTATTTCAACTGAACAAAAAGATTACTGCACTACTGTACTTCATCACTTAAAAACATATTTTCATCTTTAGGTGAGGTTGCTGACTCAATGAAGTGAATGAATTTGTGAAGTAGGCTATGGAGACAGAGACATCAAAGTTGCTTGTCTTTAGTTTTTTTGTGGAATGATTAATGGACAACCCTTTGAGGTGAGTCATTGCTCTCTCCATTTATTACATTATCACTATTTGATTAAGCTATTTGACATTCTGTAACAAAGGTCTGTGTGGGGAGAGACAGGGGCAGGGGGCAACTTCCAAACTGTAGATAGGTATACTACCGTTCAAAAGTTTGGGGTCACTTAGAAATGTCCTTGTTTTTGAAGGAAAAGCAATTTTATTGTCCATTAAAATAACATCAAATTGATCAGAAATACAGTGTAGACATTGTTAATGTTGTAAATGGCTATTGTAGCTGGTAACGGCTGATTCTTAATGCAATATCTACATAGGCGTACAGAGGCCCATTATCAGCAACCACCAGTCCTGTGTTCCAATGGCACGTTGTGTTTGCTAACCCAAGTTTATCATTTTAAAAGGCTAATTGATCATTAGAAAACCCTTCTGCAATTATGTTAGCACAGCTGAAAACTGTTGTACTGATTAAAGAAGCAATAAAACTGGCCTTGTTGAGACTAGTTGAGTATCTGGAGCATCAGCAATTATGGGTTCAATTGCAGGCTCAAAATGGCCAGAAAAAAAGAACTTTCTTCTGAAACTTGTCAGTCTATTCTTGTAGAGAAATTAAGGCTATTCCATGCGAGAAAATGCCATCTCGTACAACGCTGTGTACTACTCCCTTCACAGAACAGCACAAACTGGCTCTAACCAGAATAGAAAGAGGAGTGGGAGGCCCCAGTGCACAACTGGGACTTATTTTACTATCATAACCCGTGCTAATATCATACTTAACCAGCCTGTCAGAAGATCAGGATTTCCACTTCTCCAAATACAGATAACCAAGGAAGACCTCATATGTTAATCATTGATAACCTATAGGGACCCTCCTGGAGCTTCTGGGCTGAATACATTCTATGAAAAGATTAGTCCTAAACGTTCCCTGAGTCAAGACTATAGACCCATGGTCTTAAGCCATGTCTCAGGGCAAGGCCTAAACATGTCTGTATATCTTTCTGAATAGTGTACAGTGCATTCAGAAAGTATTCAGCCCTTTGACTTTTTCCACATTTTGTTACGTTCCAACCTAATTGTAAAATTGATTAAATAATTTTTTGCCATCATCAACCTACACACAATACCCCATTATGACAAAGCAAAAACTGGTATTTAGAAATGTTTGCAAATGTATTAAAATTAAAAAAACAAAATTCCTTATTTACATAAGTATTCAGACCCTTTGCCTCGAGTCACGAAATTTAGCTCAGGTGCATCCTGCTTCCATTGATCTTCCTTGAGATGTTTCTACAACTTGATTGGAGTCCACCTGTGGGAAATTAAATTGATTGGACATGATTTGGAAAGGCACACACCTGACTATATGAGATCCCACAGTTGACAGTGCATGTCAGAGCAAAAACCAAGCCATGAGGTCGAAGGAATTGTCCGTAGAGGTTCAGAGACAGGATTGTGTCGAGGCACAGATCTGGGGAAGGGTACAAAAAAAATTACTGCAGCATTGAAGGTCCCCAAGAACATAGTGGCCTCCATCATTCTTAAATGGAAGAAGACTCTTCCACCACCAAGACTCTTCCTAGAGCTGGCCGCCTGGCCAAACTGAGCAATTCAGGGGAGAAGGGCCTTAGTCAGGGAGATGACCTGCAAACTGACTTCGGTCGCCAGCTGGACGGTGTTTCCTCCAACACATTGGTGCGGCTGGCTTCCGGGTTAAGCGAGCAGTGTGTCAAGAAGCAGTGCGGCTTGGCAGGGTTGTGTTTCGGAGGACGCATGGCTCTCGACCTTTGCCTCTCCCGAGTCCGTAGGGGAGTTGCAGCGATGGGACAAGACTGTAAAAACCAATTGGATATCACGTAATTGGGGCGAATAAGGGGTAAAAGTAAAAAAATAACAAAAATATAACATGCAGGACAGCCCGCTTGGAGTTTGCCAAGAGGCACCTAAAGGACAACCATCTCTGCACCAATCAGGCCTTTATGGTAGAGTGGCCAGACGGAAGCCACTCCTCAGTAAAAGGCACCTGACAGCCCGCTTGGAGTTTGCCAAAAAGCACCTAAAGACTCTCAGACCGTGAGAAACAAGATTCTCTGGTCTGATGTTACCAAGATTGAACTGTTTGGCCTGAATGCCAAGCGTCACGTCTAGAGGAAACCTGGCAGCATCCCTACGGTGAAGCATGGCGGTGGCAGCATCATGCTGTGGGGATGTTTTTCAGCGGCATGGACTGGGAGACTAGTCAGGATCGAGGCAAAGGTGAACGGAGCAAAGTACAGAGAGATCCTTGATGAAAACCTACTCCAGAGCGCTCAGGACCTCAGTCTGGGGGGGAAGGTTCACCTTCCAAGTACACAGCCAAGACAACGCAGGAGTGGCTTCGGGACAAGTCTCTGAATGTCCTTGAGTGGCCCAGCCAGAGTCCAGACTGGAACCCGATCGAACATCTCTGGAGAGACCTGAAAATAGCTGTGCAGCGAAGCTCCCCATCCAACCTGACAGAGCTTGAGAGGATCTGCAGAGAAGAATGGGAGAAACTCCCCAAATACAGGTGTGTCAAGCTTGTAACGTCATACTAGCTGTGTGGTCCTCTGTAGCTCAGCTGGTAGAGCACGGCGCTTGTAACGCCAAGGTAGTGGGTTCGATCCCCGGGACCACCCATACACCAAAAAAAAATGTATGCACGCATGACTGTAAGTCGCTTTGGATAAAAGCGTCTGCTAAATGGCAATTATTTTTTATTTTATTTTTTTTACCCAAGAAGAATTGAGGCTGTAATCGCAGCCAAATACTTATGTAAATTTGATATTTCAGTTGTTTTCTTTTGATACATTTGCATAAATGTATAACAACATGTTTTTGCTTTGTCATTATGGGGTATTGTGTGTAGATTGATGAGGGGGAAAAACAATTTAATCACTTTTAGAATAAGGCTGTAATGTAACAAAAATGTGGAAAAAGCTCAGGTCAAGGACTAATGTTTTAACCCTTTTGACCTCCCCCTCACTGGGGCATCAGCTGACTGGGTGGTCAACTCTGTGTATAGGCTGCAACCAGATTCTCCACCCTTCTCACAAAGTGTACACTTGCACACTTTTTCACATGGATTTGACCATGGTGGAAACTCCCTCCAGCCAATGCTTAAACCAATCATATGCTTTAAATCCATGATGGGGAGTGTGCAAGTGAAAAGGTTGTAGAATTGGGATACAGCTTCAAACACAGGGTGGCTATCTCAAAGCACAGATCAAGGACTCATGTTTTCTGGACATTCATGACCTTGGACATCACCCTTTTACCTCTGACCTCTATAATGGAAATCAATCTTTTATAATAAACAACCAAATGTTCTACACCCAATGAACATATTATGTAAAAGAAGCTACACTTTCAAATGTCACTATGCCATCACTTTCGAAACTACCCTTCATGAACTATAATGAAATGTGAAAGGCGTCAAAAACACTCTGTCCCTGTCCTAATTCCTGTGCAGCGTCGTAGCGCGGAGACTTAGATCATGTGGTCAATTACACTAACAGAACAGGGCTAAAAATGAGTGCACTCTTAGCTCCCTCCCCACTCATGTTACATTGTGATGCCTCTAGAGTCCAATAGGACGTGGCTACAGCTGTCTGCTGTCGTCACATGGCTGTCTATTTGCACCCGCCACCTTCCAGCAGCAGAACATTTACAACCTGAACCTCTTCAATAAACAAACACTGAGGCTTCTACCAAGTCCCTGGTGGACCTAGCCAAGGATAGAAATGGATCTGCTGTTAGACATCTTACTTTCCATGGATTTTAATTGACACTGACCTCTAGGAATGGAGGGTAGGGACTAGGGTTGGGCAATATTTGGGTAGACCTATTCCTCGGTATTGCTACTCCAAATATCGCTGCTATCCGATAATATCGTTTTGCGCTGTTAATGATTAGTAAATCATTCTAGACTGTTCTTTTTTGTGACCTTCTAGTTGCCTTCTCATGAAAAAATACTTATATGGCAAAAAATATGGCCTTAGCTAATTCATTGATACAGCCCAACTGATAAAACTGCACACTTTTGATTTGTAAAGTTCAAATAGAGTATCGTCTTGCACATCACAATATCTCAACCATATATCTTCAATGTCAAATATTGCTGATACTCGATATTATCAACCCCAGTAGGGACTTAGTTGTTAAAGATCAGGCCTTCTGCCAAATGAGACTAACACATCGGTCCAATATCTGTTTAGGATCATGTGATTTCTGCAGACATGTCAGCTTACTGCTTGAGATGTGGTGCAAACAAACAAAGTCTAAAGGCCATGTAAACAACATTTCAACCTAAAAACCGATAAGGTCTTCTTCTTTGGTGAACTTATCTGACATTCCTTCAGCATGGACTATTGACAGGTCAGTCTCAGTGATTGTACCCTTGACTTGCTCTTTTCCCTGCCTGGCCTGAACTTTGACACCTTGCTCAAGGAGGACCTTATTACAAAACAAGTCTTATGTAAGTACCAGCTGACAACACCCTAAAAAATCAACACCTCCCTCGTAAAACTGGGGGAGCAAGTGACATCTGAGACCCCCAGCCTGCAGAATCTGTGTCAGCAGCCAATCAAGAGCAGGACAAAACGGGTCTTCATACTGTTGTAAGACCGTCTTTCTACCTACCTGGCTCTTACCTTTAAACTCCAGATCCTCTGCTTCAGGTGTGCTAGTTTATTGCTCTCCCTGCATTCCCGAGGGACGTAACTAGGACTAGAAAGACAACCGCATATAGACCCCTTTCTGTGTTTACAAACATTGACGCACGAGGGCGATGCGCGCAAGTTGGTGGCAGAACAAGGGGGAGTTCTTATAGAACGCCAGCAAAAAAAGCCTCTATTTACATGTTGTTTACGAGTGCATTTCACACTACTTTTGGATTATAATTGGATTTTAAGGCTCGTATAAATGTCCTGCTTAATGTGTTTGTTTGTTGAATGTGTGCAGATGGCGATGGCTATCTTACTGCCGCCAAGAGTTGCACGCATCTGTGCGTGACGTCAGTGTGTCGTGTACTGGAAAGGGGTCTGTAGAGACGTGAACTAGGTCAGAGTCAGACGGTCGGCAGCTAGGAGGCGTCAGAACCGTAGCCGACCGGGGGACACAACCTGAGCTGGTGGGGACACTAAGATGGCCGTATGCAGCTACACGCAACTGAAACCAAAAGACAGGCTGACATTTGACAGACTAGACATACAACATGTGCTAGATACAACATGTACTAGATATGTATGTGAGACTAGGAATAGATGTCCTAGTCTGATCAGTTATGTAATGGCTATAAAAAAAATTATGCCTACTGCCAATATATACAATTAAATGTTCCTTTAATATCTGCAGACCAAATTAATCAGTTACTGCAGTATAATGAAATGTGGAAAACATTTTGTTTTCACAGAAAACAGAGAGGAAACACCACAAACTACTGCAATCAACATCCCTGTGAGGCAACAAAATCACCAATGCTCCAAACAAAATCACAAAGTTATTTTCGCATTGAGCATCTAGCAGAGGCATTTATTTCTCTAATATAAGGCTCTGCCATCTAGTCTACACTTAGCTACCCTAGCTTGTGATCTGTCCAATGTTATTTCTAAATGTGAAGAGAATGGCCTTACCGAGCTGGCTGAGGTCCAGCAGGTGCATGCCGGTGGGGCTAGTTGAGAGGGTGCGGATGTGGATGCGGCCGTGGTAGTTCAGTCCCCACAGGGCATCGCGGCAGGCAGAGCGCTGAACCATCTCTGTGTCCTGGGGCAGTTGGACTGTGGTGGGGTGCATCTGACCATCCTGGTCCCAAACACAGAACAGGTCTTTCCTGCTCTGGCCCAGCCACAGGAAGCTCCCTGCAGAGACAGAGAGACACAGTCAGTCACAGTCAGTCACATATTGGTGATGTACTACACAGAGACAGAGATAACAGGGGCAGATGTCACTACACAACAGGGGACAGTATGGAATGTAAAGTCAAAAGAGTGGTCTTCCTTATTTCTGTTAATATATTTGAGATGCCATCAGGTGGAGGGAGGGTATGGGTTGTTATGTTATTACAATATTGTGTATTTCCTTCTTTACTGAGTACAGCCGAGGAACAGACGAATACCCACTTGGTGGCAGAGACGGTCCCTCTGGGTACCACACCCTGCCAGAACGTACCTGTGGGGTCACAACACATCACTGTCACACTGAAGACCCTGCAGTATTCACACAAAAGTCCCTGTCCATCACACTGACTTCATACACAGAATGTGTCAGTAAAGCAATGCTTAGCTGATTAGGTTCTGTGAAGTGTGGTCATGTCAGAAAGTGCATTCCATAAATTGCATTCCAATGCAGAAAACAACAATGAAAATTCCTCATGACTGAGCATCTGTGTTAAGCCACTGAGCTAAAGCCTAGGCATTAGCTTGGGGAGCTAACACATGTCTTGAGGTTTCATAAATTCATACCACTGAGGCTGCCCTTGGCGACATTGAAGTTGTTCCTGCTGGATGCAATCCAGACGCCGGTGGTGTTGGAGGAGACCAGGCTGGGCTGGCACTACTGGGACAGGAAGGCCACGCGGAGGCACTCTGCCACCCGCTCCACCGAGGATTGGTCATGTTCTGAACGGCAGACTACCACGTAGTCTGTGATGCTCAACTGAAAGGGAGGGAGGGAGAGGGGTAGGGAGGGAGAGAGGGAGAGGTAAGGATGGTGGGGAAGAGCGAGGGAACAAAAGGCCAGAAATGTATAAGCATCAGAAGTTGTGCCAGTCATCTCAGGGTGAAGTCTGTAATGCAAACCATCCTAAATTTGACATTAAAAATACATGTTCTTAAAAAACAATCATAGTGCAAGATAGAGGACCGATGGAAATGATGGGTGTGCGTAACATTGAACACATTCTGTAGGATACCAACCTGCCACCAGTGGTCATCGTCCCCCTGGGGCTTCCTGGCAGTGACTCCAGTCCTGAACCACAGATTTTCGCTGGTGTCCAGAGCCCAGGCCGTGTTGCTCTCTCCCAGGGCTATACAGATGGGCTCCAGACCCTGGCTCTCACTTTGGGAGGAGGAAAAAACACACACACACACACACACACACACACACAAATATGTAATGATCAGCAAAGAAAGCATAGCTAACCTTGCCTGAGTGAGTCCTGAAGACTTGCATTAGCTCCCCTAATGCCTAGGAGGATTTAGCGAAGCAGGCTTACACAGTCTTGTGGCGTGCTGGAGATCCGGATATGAACCCTGGTCGTTCATACTAACTAAACGTTCACTGTTACTAGGCCTCTATGACACACATCTTCCTTCCACTTTTCAAAAGAGGTTAAAGAGTCATTGTTGAATTACAATTAACTGGAACGACCACATCACAACCAAGCAGAGCTAACTCTACTATCACTGTTAATGGGGCCTACGACACACACAGGTTTCTCTTTTTCAGCAAAGGTCCTACCTGATTTTGTCATACTTCCACATTTCCCCCTCAGAGCAGTAGCTGCTGAGGCCTTCTCTGTAGAAGACGGCCCTATGTTCGCTGAGGGCCCACACCACCCCGCTGCGAGCTGGGCCATGCGACACGGGCAGGCCACCTTCGCAGCCTGCACACACGGACGGTCCACACTCAAACCTGCAGGACAGGACCATGACCACACAGTCAGGGTTTACGGTCTGTGAGTTAAGGCATTTGTTGTGTTTGCTGTTTTTGTGAGTGAGTGAGGGGCCGGGAATGTCTGTATGTAAACAGAATGTTAATCATGCCAAGTCTAAACTATTAGTAGTATAGCTGGCTCCCTTTAGTTTCTTAGTTAATCATATCTAATTCAAATGACATGTATATATATCCTATACACCACCAGTCAAAAGTTTGGACACACCTACTCATTCAAGGGTTTTGCTTTATTGTTACTATTTTTTACATTGTAGAATAATAGTGAATACATCAAAACTATGAAAAACCACATATGGAATCATGTTGTAACCAAAAAAATAGTGTTAAACAAATCAAAATATATGTTATATTTGAGATTCTTCAAATAGCCACCCTTTGCCTTGATGCCAGCTTTGCACACACTTGGCATTCTCTCAACCAGCTTTACCTGGAATGCTTTTCCAACAGTTTTGAAGGAGTTCCCACATATGGACATTTCTTTGTATATATACATAAAAATGATGCCAGCTCATTCATGATTTCGACTGGCTGACAAAAGCTACCTGCCTGTCTGTCTCATCCCGACTCCCGTCGGACACGTTCATTACTATGGGACAGCTGGAGATCGAATTTCAGTACTGAAACAATGTTGCAAATGTCGGAGAGACAGACAGCAAGGTTTATACAAATCTCCACTGTCGAAAATCAAATGCTAGTCTAAAAGAAATGGGAGATAATGTCTAGATCATTGCTCCTGTAAGTCGCTCTGGAATGCGGTTTTAACCAATCAGCATCCAGGATTAGACCAACCCGTTGTATAATAATATAATACTTGTCATGACCAGCAGGGCAGGGCCAGCCAGTGTGTCAGATATTACTTTCTAAAAGCATGTTTTGGATTTACTAGGCTTCATTATTTTGATACTTAATTTGGCATCCATACAGAATTATGATTACCTCTAAGCTGATTTATCCGGTTACTGATACTATTTACTATGGGCCTGAACAGCTCCATCTAAGGGCCAATGGTTAATCTCAGGAACTGATTTGCTGAGTTGAGACTTTGCCAATAAACAGGGTTGTGATATAATATTCTTAATACTCTGAGGCCACTTGGGGCTGAAATCATTAAGTCTTGCTTAAAACAGAGTGAATCAAGCAGTAGTGCAGATAGTACATGAACAATACTTACATTTAAGTATTGCCCTGCTGGTCAACGTGACCAAGACAAAGGAGATGATTGTGGACTACAGGAAAAAAAAGAGGACTGAGCACGCCCCCATTCTCATCGACGGGGCTGTAGTGGAACAGGTTGAGAGCTTCAAGTTCCTTGGTGTCCACATCACCAACGAACTATCATGGTCCAAACACACCAAGACAGTCGTGAAGAGGGCACGACAAAGCCTATTCCCCCTCAGGAGACTAAGAAGATTTGGCATGGGTCCTCAGATCCTCAAAAAATTCTACAGCTGCACCATCGAGAGCATCCTGACTGGTTGCATCACCGCCTGGTATGGCAACTGCTTGGCCTCCGACCGCAAGGCACTACAGAGGGTAGTGCGTACGGCCCAGTACATCACTGGGGCAAAGCTTCCTGCCATCCAGGACCTCTATACCAGGCGGTGTCAGAGGAAGGCCCTCAAAATTGTCAAAGACTCCGCCACCCTAGTCATAGACTGTTCTCTCTGCTACCGCACGGCAAGCGGTACCGGAGTGCCAAGTCTAGGTCCAAAAGACTTCTCAACAGCTTCTACCCCCAAGCCATAAGACTCCTGAACAGCTAATCATGGCTACCCGGACTATTTGCACTGCCCCCCCACACCATCCTTTTTACACTGCTGCTACTCTGTTAAGTATTTATGCATAGTCACTTTAACTCTACCCACATGTACATATTACCTCAACTACCTCAACTAGCCGGTGCCCCCGCACATTGACTCTGCAACGGTACCCCCCTGTATATATAGCCTCCCTACTGTCACTTTATTTTACTTCTGCTCTTTTTTTTCTCAACACTTTTTTTTGTTGTTTTATTTTTACTTTTTTTGTTTAAAATAAATGCACTGTTGGTTAAGGGCTGTAAGTAAGCATTTCACTGTAATGTCTGCACCTGTTGTATTCGGCGCATGTGACCAATAAAATTTGATTTGATTTGATTTAAGATACATTCAAATAATTTGCCATCAAAATCTGGTAAGCAACTTTTCTTTGACATGAATTTGTCTTAATGTGTTAAATCTAGTCAGGTCTGTACATCTATACTCCATAGATAGTAAAAGGACACACAGTACTGAATAGTCACCAGTAGCTCACCTGTCTGCAGGTAGAGGTCTCCGCTGGTTCGGATGATCCAGGCTGTGTCTTCACCAAGCGCCACAAAGGCAGAATCCTCCAGGGCCTTGTACCAGTGCCTCTTTCCTTTGATGGTGACTTTACCACATGCATACGCTGTCATGGTCTTCTTTCCATATTCCATAGCAGTGACCCTAAAATGAAATGATACTTAAATATGTACATCCAAAGATGTCATTTTGGTAATCAAACTAACCAACTCCTAAAAGTATAGATCTATCTCTATGATGCACTGCATCAGCAAACACTGTCTCCCTCATCAACTATAGTGCCTTATATCTCTTCCACAAGATATACATGATAGACCATTACAGACCCAGTCACTGAATAAAAGTTTAATACAAGCTTAAAAAAGGTACAATATGCAGAAATCGCTATGCCATTTCCTGGTTGCTTAAATTCTAATAGTTCGCTTAATTTCAGTTTCTGTGATAAAACAAGCAAATATAGTGTAGTGAATCACTGTACCATATAAACCGCTGTGGAATATATTTTCAATAACCAAAAATATTCTATTTTTAGCTGTTTGAAGCTTGTGTTGAAAACCGATAGTAAAAGATGCAAAAGTTTAACTTAAGCACGGGAGGCATAGAAATAGCGCACATAGAACATATCTACCACTTCTTAGACTTGCTTTCAATGAGAATGACAGATCTATAACTCCCATTTCTATGTGAATTTGGTCGGGTCACCCAAAAAGTTACATATTGCAGATTTAGTAATAAAAGCATCTAATAATAGATGAATAAAAGCTTCTGCTAAATGACCATATTCCAGACATCCTCATCACCTGAAGGTGACAGTGCCACCTGCTGCACATTGTCCTCAAACTTCTGCCAGCTCAGGCCCCCCGTCTGGGAGGGTACTGCAGTGCAGGCCTCCTTTAAAGTCCAAACACCAGACGTATGGGTCAGTCACAACCAGGTTGAGGATGCCACAGCCTGGCCCCTGTGTAGCCCATCCAGCTCTCTGCCAACTACAGGAGGGGCGAGAGGAGAGAGTTCAAACCAGACACAGCATCCTACAGTAATGGTTTGTGTGTTATAAAATCTGCCATAAAATGACTACAGTATTTTCCGCACTATAAGGCGCACCGGATTATAAGGCGCACCTTCAATGAATGGCCTATTTTAGAACTGTTTTCATATATAGGGCGCACCGGATTATAAGGCGCATAGAATAGAAGATACTGCAGTCAAACGTTTGACTGGGGTTGCGTTATGCATCCACTAGATGGAGCAGTGCTAAAGGGAACGTAAACAAAACAGTCAGATAAAGTCAAACTTTATTAAGCGTTCTGACAACAATTTTGGGGTCTTTATACACACACAAGTGGTGTGGGACTGTGAGTAAGCACAGTACCGGTGTTTACTGACTACGGTAGCCGTAATGCTGCAAGCGGTGCGGCTTTGTAGTTTACCAGTCGTACTGAAACATTTCATTATTATTAAATAGTTTTTATTGGTTTTTCATACTGAAACATTTTGAGAGCGCCTTGAGCGCCGTGTACAACCAGTATGGATCAACCAATTAACCAATTGATCCATATATAAGGCGCTCCGGATTATAAGGCGCACTGTCGTTTTTTGAGAAAATTAAAGGCTTTTAAGTGCGCCTTATAGTGCGGAAAATACGGTAATAACAATCAAATGATCCATTGCTTTTCATTTTGATGCGACATTACTAGCCACATAGTATCATATTGAAACTGAATGTGATGTACTATTACACACACTGTGGAAGGTGCAAGCTGCAACGTCACAACATGTTGTGTGTAATGTAACTAACCACTAGTATAACTACTACTGTCTTGTCTTGGTCCTGCTGCCCAATGTTGGATAGCAGCAAGAAGTTTCAACATTAATGGCTTGAATCCTAAGAGAAAGGTAATTTTAAGACAAGCTGTTACAGTTTTTTCATTTATTAAAAACGCAATTTGGAGCAATTTGTTTTACATTTTGTGATCAACCACAGCATAGAACACTAGATCTCAAAGTTTGCTTGACCCTTTGTAAAAAATCTAATCAAATCACTACAACTGCCACTCGCCTTGCCTCCTCCTCTTGGCCTTCTTCTTGACTTTGATGGTCTGGACCACCAGCTACTGCTGAAAGTCCTCCTGGTTGATGGCACTATCGGCTGGAGGAGAGCTCTGACTGCTCCATGGTGGTGGTGGAGAGCATCATGCCCTGAACGCTCTCGCAGGATGTGATGGAACTGCTGCGGCTATGAGAATCACTGGTGCCCCCTACACTGCCCCGTCTCTGGTGGTCCAGTCGCTCCCCCACCTCGGGTCTCTCCATCAGGGCTCCGGCCACCCCCGCCTCCCCTGGAGGTGTCACTCAGCTGGTCCTGCTCCAGCACCTCCTCTACCTCCTCCTCCACCTCCATTAGCTGGAGATCATGATTCTCTCTCTTTCAACCATCTATGGTTTGTTTGAAATGAACAAAGTGCTTCTGATATATTATGACATGACTATGTTTGACATCTTACTGTTGGAAGCCAAGTCCTCAGGAGTGTTTGAGATGCGAACAATGTCCCGATCTCCCTTCAGAATGAAGATTTCATTTTCAGTGCATGATACAGAGACGATGTCCCCACAGCTCTCCAGTGCACCGATGATCACCTTGAATGGCATTTTATTTTATTACAGAGATAGACCTGTAACATGACACCCTGACAGGACAAAGGTTTAAAGATTCACAGTCTAGATTCACCGGACTACTTTTTCTCTATCAAAATATGTGACAAAAGCGATCCAAAAGTGATTACCTGGTTGAGGAAATCCATTTTAAGACAGCAAAAATCCATGTATTAAAGTATCCATTAATCCAGATATCCATGTAAAAGTATCCATTCCTTTGTAATAAGTGAATGATGGAAATGTTCCTGCTTGTGTACCCTTTTGTGATGAAAATTTGCAAAACATTTATATTTCAACAACAAAGTATCCATTCCTGCCTGAGGACATCTTTACCTGGTTGAAGCAGTCCAACACGTAGACATTTTATTGGTTCCAGCTGAGGACCCAGCCCTCTCTGAGGAAGCAGCCCTCTCTGAGGAAGCAGCCCTCTCTGAGGAAGCAGCCCTCTCTGAGGAAGCAGCTCACCAGGCCCAGCTGCCTCTCCTGGGGCCCGGTCTGGCAAACAGCTCCAACTGGGGCACCTCCTGGTTGAACAGACGCGTGTCCACCACAAGCCCTCTTACGTCTGTCCGCTACAGCCAGAAGCACGCGCCAAACTTCCCATTGCTTCAAGGAAAACAACAACAATGCAAGATAAATACACTGCTCAAAAAAATAAAGGGAACACTAAAATAACACATCCTAGATCTGAATGAATGAAATAATCTTATTAAATACTTTTTTCTTTACATAGTTGAATGTGCTGACAACAAAATCACACAAAAATTATCAATGGAAATCAAATGTATCAACCCATGGAGGTCTGGATTTGGAGTCACCCTCAAAATTAAAGTGGAAAACCACACTACAGGCTGATCCAACTTTGATGTAATGTCCTTAAAACAAGTCAAAATGAGGCTCAGTAGTTTGTGTGGCCTCCACGTGCCTGTATGACCTCCCTACAACGGCTGGGCATGCTCCTGATGAGGTGGCGGATGGTCTCCTGAGGGATCTCCTCCCAGACCTGGACTAAAGCATCCGCCAACTCCTGGACAGTCTGTGGTGCAACGTGGCGTTGGTGGATGGAGCGAGACATGATGTGCTCAATTGGATTCAGGTCTGGGGAACGGGCGGGCCAGTCCATAGCATCAATGCCTTCCTCTTGCAAGAACTGCTGACACACTCCAGCCACATGAGGTCTAGCATTGTCTTGCATTAGGAGGAGCCCAGGGCCAACCGCACCAGCATATGGTTTCACAAGGGGTCTGAGGATCTCATCTCGGTACCTAATGGCAGTCAGGCTACCTCTGGCGAGCACATGGAGGGCTGTGCGGCCCCCCAAAGAAATGCCACCCCACACCATGACTGACCCACCGCCAAACCGGTCATGCTGGAGGATGTTGCAGGCAGCAGAACGTTCTCCACGGCGTCTCCAGACTCTGTCACGTGCTCAGTGTGAACCTGCTTTCATCTGTGAAGAGCACAGGGCGCCAGTGGCGAATTTGCCAATCTTGGTGTTCTCTGGCAAATGCCAAATGTCCTGCACTGTGTTGGGCTGTAAGCACAACCCCCACCTGTGGACGTCGGGCCCTCATACCACCCTCATGGAGTCTGTTTCTGACCGTTTGAGCAGACACATGCACATTTGTGGCCTGCTGGAGGTAATTTTGCAGGGCTCTGGCAGTGCTCCTCCTGCTCCTCCTTGCACAAAGGCGGAGGTAGCAGTCCTGCTGCTCATGCTACCACTAGAGTGGATTTCACATGACTGGGAATACAGATATGCATCTGTTGGTCACAGTCAGATACCTTTAAAAAAAAAGTACGGGCGTGGATCAGAAAACCAGTCAGTATCTGGTGTGACCACTAGGGCTGTGGTGGTCATGACATTTTGTCAGCCGGTGATTGCCAAGCAATGACGGCAGATGAATGGCACGACAATGGGCCTCAGGATCTCGTCAGGGTATCGCTGTGCATTCAAATTGCCATCGATAAAATGCAAATTGTCTTCGTTGTCCGTAGCTTATGCCTGCCCATACCATAACCCCACTGCCACCATGGGGCACTCTGTTCACAACGTTAACATCAGCAAACCACTCGCCCACACAACGCCATACACGCCATCTGCCTGGTACAATTGAAAGCGGGATTCATCCATGAAGAGTAAAACTTCTCCAGCGTGCCAGCGGCCATCAAAGGTGAGCATTTGCCCACTGAAGTCAATTACGACGCTAATCTGCTGTCAGGTCAAGACCCTGATGAGGACAAAGAGCATGCAGATGAGCTTCCCTGAAACGGTTTCTGACAGTTTATGCATTAATTATTCGATTGTGCAAACCCAGTTTAATCAGCTGTCCGGGTGGCTGGTCTCAGACGATCCCGCTGGTGAAGAAGCCGAATGTGGAGGTCCTGGGCTGGTGTGGTTACACGTGGTCTGCGGTTGTGAGGCCAGTTGGACGTACTGCCAAATTCTCTAAAACAACGTTGGTGGACATTCCTGCAGTCAGCATGCCAACTGCACGCTCACTCAAAACTTGAGACATCTGTGGCATTGTGTTGTGTGACAAACCTGCACATTTTATGAGTGGCCTTTTATTGTCCCCAGCACAAGGTGCACCTGTTTAATCAGCTTCTTGATATGCCACACCTGTCAGGTGGATGGATTATCTTGGCAAAGGAGAAATACTCACTAACAGTGATATGAACAAATTTGTGCACAAAACATGAGAGAAATAAGCTTTTTGTGCGTATGGAAAATGTCTGGGATCTTTTATTTCATCTCATGAAACATGGGACCAACAGTTTATATTTTTGTTCAGTGTAGCTCATACACATAACGAGTTCTACGACCTGACAGCAAAGCTCCTATAGTTACATTACTCCGTCTATTCCACTCTACTTTAATACATCACAAAAACATGAAGATGTTCAGCTGAGAAAATGAAAATGTCTCAAATTGTCTGAAGGGAGCTTAATTTATTTGCTGCTGAAAAAGCACTGATGTATACACTGAGTATACCAAACATTAGGAACACCTTTCTAATATTGAGCTGCACCCACCCCTTTTTGCCCTCAGAACAGCCTCAATTCGTTGGGGTGTCGAAAGCGTTCCACAGAAATGCTGGCCCATGTTGACTCCAACCTACTACCATACCCGATTCAAAGGTACTTAAATATTTTGTCTTGTCCATTCACCCTCTGAATGGCACACATACACAATCCATGTCTCAAGGCTTAAAAATCATTCTTTAACCTGTCTCCTCCCCTTCATCTACACTGATTGGAGTGGTTTTAACAAGTGACATCAATAAGGGATCATTGCTTTCACCTGGATTCACCTGTTCAGTCTGTCACTGGAAAGAGCAGGTGTTCTTAATGTTTTGTATACTCAGCGTAATTTGTGGTACTTTTAATGAATAAGAACAACATGTAGGCTACCTCTTCCTAGGCTTGGCGCCCAGCTGCTCCAGGGCCTGTTCCTGGGTGTAGAACAGCAGGGATCTCTGATAAGAGGAGATGAGCAGGACCTTCTGACTGTACTCCAGCTGGACTATGACTGAGGGCTCCTAAAACAGCATCACTGGGTTACACAAACCCTAGGGATATGAGCATACAACACACATCAAAGCTCCAACCGCAATACTGGGTTACAGACACCCTGGGGATACTGGGTTACAGACACCCTGGGGATACTGGGTTACAGACACCCTGGGGATACTGGGTTACAGACACCCTGGGGATACTGGGTTACAGACACCCTGGGGATACTGGGTTACAACACATGTGAGAGAAATAAGTTAATAAACAAACAGCACAGTGTGATTGATAGATACAGAGCATTTGGAAAGTATTCAGACCCCTTGACTTCTTCTACATTTTGTTACGTTACAGCCTTATTCTAAAATTGCTTAAATAAATACAAATCCTCAGCAATCTACACACAATACCCCATAATGACAAAGCGAAAACAGGTTTTTAGACATTTTAGCAAATGTCTTACATTTACATAAGTATTCCTTTGCTATGAGACTTGAAATTGAGCTCAGGTGCATCCTGTTTCCATTGATCATCCTTGAGATGTTTCTACAACTTGATAGGTAAATTCAATTGATTGGACATGATTTGGAAAGGCACACACCTGTCTGTATAAGGTCCCACACTTGACAGTGCATGTCAGAGCAAAAACCAAGCCATAAGATCATAGGAATTGTCCGTAGAGCTCAGAGACAGCATTGTGTTGAGGCACAGATCTGGGGAAGGGTACCGAAAAATGTCTGCAGCATTGAAGGTCCTTAAGAACACCGTGGCCTCCATCATTCTTAAATGGAAGAAGTTTGGAACCACCAAGACTCTTCCTAGAGCTGGCCGCCCCGGCCAAACTAAGCAATCGGGGGAGAAGGGCCTTGGTCGGGGAGGTGACCAAGAACCCGATGGTCACTCTGACAGAGCTCCAGAGTTCCTCTGTGGAGATGGGAGAACCTCCTAGAAGGACAACCATCTCTGCAGCACTCCACAAATCAGGCCTTTATGGTAGAGTGGCCAGACGGAAGCTACTCCTCAGTAAAAGGCACATGACAGCCCACTTGGAGTTTACCAAAAGGCAACTAAAGATTCTCTGGTCTGATGCAACCAAGATTGAACTCTTTGGCCTGAATGCCAAGCGTCACGTCCGGAGGAAACCTGGCACCATCCCTACGGTGAAGCATGGTGGTGGCAGCATCATGCTGTGGGGATGTTTTTCAGCGGCAGGGACTGGGAGACTAGTCAAGATCGAGGGAAAGGTGAACAGAGCAAAGTACAGAGAGATCCTTGATGAAAACCTGTTCCAGAGCACTCAGGTCATCAGACTGGGGCGAAGGTTCACCTTCCAACATGACAACGACCCTAAGCACACAGCCAAGACAATGCAGGAGTGGCTTCGGGACAAGTCTCTGAATGTCCTTGAGTGGCCCGGCCAGAGCCCGGACTTGAACCAGATCGAACATCTCTGGAGAGACCTGAAAATAGCTGTGCAGCAACACTCCCCATCCAACCTGACAGAGCTTGAGAGGATCTGCAGAGAATAAACTCCCCAAATACAGGTGTGCCAAGCTTGCAGTGTCATACCCAAGAAGAATCGCAGCTGTAATCGCTGCCAAAGGTGCTTCAACAAAGTACTGAGTAAAGGGTCTGTATATTTACGTAAATGTAATATTTCAGTTTTTTATTTTTTATAAATTAGCAACATTTTCTAAAAACCTGTTTTTGCATTGTCGTTATGGGGTATTGTGTGTAGATTGATGAGGGGAAAAAAGTATTTAATCAGTTTTAGAATAAGGCTGTAACGTTAAAAATGTGGAAAAAGTAAAGGGGTCTGAATACTTTCCGAAGGCACTGTAGATAACTGTTATTAGAGGATATAAGAGAGTATAAGGGGGTAATAAATGCTTATGGCAAGTCTCATTATAACTGCATAATACATTATATCTGTGGGCTTTAAGTAAAGTGTTATCTAACATTCACAAAAAAAGACCTTGACCCAAAATGAAAGAATGAAAGCTGCTATACCTGAACCAGGTCCACAGCAGAGTACACAACCTTTCCTTTGTCATCACCAGAGAAGAGCTTCATTCCATTGGCACTCCACGCCAAGGCAGTGACTGTGCTTTTGTGCAAACCGACCACATCAAATCGCCTTAGCTACAGAAAATAGAGGGACCTCAGTGTTTTGCTACACAAAGGGACACATTTACTAAGCACTTACATCTGTGCTATGTTTGCACCTATTCATTTTAGAAGGAAATAAAATAGGGTTGGGCGATATCCACATTTTCCTACCGTTCCTGTACCATACCGGGGTATACAGTATTACCGTCAGTGCACACCGCTATTGTTTTCCAAACGTGAAAATAAATATTTAATAATGCTAGCAAATTACTAGCGAATTCCCATAGCGGACGTTTGCTTAATGCTAACAATACGCAAGTGAACATAAACTAATTGCAACCAAGCTCATCAAGTTATACAACAATAAAAGGATACTCACAGTTTGCTGCACGCACAAAACAAATATTAAACAGCAGGGATCTTGATCCATCTTGAGCCCTGAGCTGGAAATAATTTATTTGGCACATCTTAAGATAGTTAACTAATGTAGTGGCATAGCATGCGGCCCAGCGCTTTAGCATTGCAGTAACAGTAACCCCAACCCCCCCCCTACGTATTTTTAAAAATCATTCTGTAGGTATTTCTAAACACCCTGGTATACGGTATATTGCCTAGAATAAAATACAAAAAAAGACACACTCAAAACATGTCACTATCTTTAGTCATATCAACAGATCAGTTGATTGATTGGTTGGTTGGCATACCTGTTTGTTCCTGCCTGGAAGTTGAGACACCAGTTGAAAGAGAGCAACCCGACCAGACACCGTGCCCACTGCCACCAAGTCAAAACAACTGAGCAGCTTCACTGCTGTGATAGATTCGGATTTCCCCTGGGAAGACAACATAACATGTTTAGAATGACATACATACTTACTTACAGTGCGGGAATTAAGTATTTGATCCCCTGCTGATTTTGTACGTTTGCCCACTGCAAAGACATGATCAGTCTATAATTGTAATGGTAGGTTTATTTGAACAGTGAGAGACAGAATAACAAAAACAAAATCCAGAAAAACACATGTCAAAAATGTTATAAATTGATTTGCATTTTAAATGAGGGATATAATTATTTGACCCCTCTGCAAAACATGACTTAGTACTTGGTAGCAAAACCCTTGTTGGCAATCACAGAGGTCAGACGTTTCTTGTAGTTGGCCACCAGGTTTTCACACATCTCAGGAGGGATTTTGTCCCACTCCTCTTTGCAGATCTTCTCCAAGTCATTAAGGTTTTGAGGCTGACGTTTGGCAACTCGAACCTTCAGCTCCCTCCACAGATTTTCTATGGGATTAAGGTCTGGAGACTGGCTAGGCCACTCCAGGACCTTAATGTGCTTCTTCTTGAGCCACTCCTTTGTTGCCTTGGCCGTGTGTTTTGGGTCATTGTCATGCTGGAATACCCATCCACAACCCATTTTCAATGCCCTGGCTGAGGGAAGGAGGTTCTCACCCAAGATTTGACGGTACATGGCCCCGTCCATCGTCCCTTTGATGCAGTGAAGTTGTCCTGTCCCCTTAGCGGAAAAACACCCACAAAGCATAATGTTTCCATCTCCATGTTTGACGGAAGGGATGGTGTTCTTGGGGTCATAGGCAGCATTCCTCCTCCTCCAAACACGGCATCAACACAACTCAACTCGCCAAAGAGCTCGATTTTGGTCTCATCTGACCACAACACTTTCCCCCAGTTCTCCTCTGAATCATTCAGATGTTCATTGGCAAACTTCAGACGGCCCTGTATATGTGCTTTCTTGAGCAGGGGGACCTTGCGGGCGCTGCAGGATTTCAGTCCTTCACGGCGTAGTGTGTTACCAATTGTTTTCTTGGTGACTATGGCCCCAGCTGCCTTGAGATCATTGACAAGATCCTCCCGTGTAGTTCTGGGCTGATTCCTCACCGTTCTCATGATCATTGCAACTCCACGAGGTGAGATCTTGCATGGAGCCCCAGGCCGAGGGAGATTGACAGTTATTTTGTGTTTCTTCCATTTGCGAATAAATCGCACCAACTGTTGTCACCTTCTCACCAAGCTGCTTGGCGATGGTCTTGTAGCCCATTCCAGCCTTGTGTAGGTCTACAATCGTGTCCCTGACATCCTTGGAGAGCTCTTTGGTCTTGGCCATGGTGGAGAGTTTGGAATCTGATTGATTGATTGCTTCTGTGGACAGGTGTCTTTTATACAGGTAACAAGCTGAGATTAGGAGCACTCCCTTTAAGAGTGTGCTCCTAATCTCAGCTTGTTACCTGTATAAAAGACACCTGGGAGCCAGAAATCTTTCTGATTGAGAGGGGGTCAAATACTTATTTCCCTCATTAAAATGCAAATCAATTTCTAAAATTTTTGACATGCGTTTTTCTGGATTTTGTTGTTGTTATTCTGTCTCTCACTGTTCAAATAAACCTACCATTAAAATTATAGACTGATAATTTCTTTGTCAGTGGGCAAACGTACAAAATCAGCAGGGGATCAAATACTTTTTTCCCTGACTGTACTTGGGGCAAAACATTTACTTCAAAGACTCGCTAATATTTGGATGTTTGTTACCAAATGTGCTTTGGGGTGAAGGTGCAAAATAATTAAATCAACTAAGCAATGCCTGAAACAGTGGCATACTCACCTCTACACTGTACTTATTCATCTGGCTGACTCGCCTGCAGTACAGGTAGAGCATCCCAATACTGCTCCCCACAGCAATGTAATCACTGTTGGTGTCCAGAGCAGTCAGGTAGACCATTACAGAGTGGAAGCCTATCTGGAACTTGGTAGGTATTGCAATAAGCAGGTAGTATAGGGGACAGAACTCCCTCAGGGCGCTCTGTGGAGGAGTTTGGGCAGCCATGGTGAACAGGCAATGTTCTGCTCTCTGTGGACAAGAAAATTAGGCATGGCTATCAAAGATGTGGGAACGCATGGTGATAGACATGACATGTATGGCATACAATTATAAAATATTTGGCTAGTGTCCATAGTGTTGGACAGGCTAGGTACCTAGCTTGCAGTTGTTATCCTTAAAGGTGAGGTTTTTCACACCTTCTACTCGCTAGCTAGCAACAATCCATATCAACTGAAACTACCAGCTAGTGATATTACTTGGGCAGGTCAAAATTGAATTCGCCTGCAACCGAAAATATTGTATATCTAACGAGCTTGGACTGAGCACAGCCAGGCCAACAGTTGTTTATCAGCAATTTTGACGTTTCACTTTGAGACATGAGCTAGCTAGCTAATGTTAGCTAGCCTAGCTATCATTAACTACAAATACAAAACACAAGTGTTTACACAGACTTACATTAGATTATGTCCCTATATCCTGTTATCATATAGATAACACATACGTTACTCTAAAAGCATGTATAAAACAGAGAGCTGGCGACAATGCTATCGCACACTTCCATTAATTATTATTCGAGAACGTCTCTTGTCACGCTGACTTTCCCCGTCTAGAGCTAATTTATGGACGTCAACAAACCCTACGACTTCCTTGTCTCGCGGAAATACAATGATGCATGGCGACCGCCTTCTTCTTCTTCTTCTTCTTCTTCAGTGGGGTTTATCGGCGGTTGGCATCCAACGTTATGGTGCATTACCGCCACCTACCGTACTGGAATGTGGGCCAGAGACAGGGAGAAACTAAATCCTACCTGCCAACCCCGTTTCTCTTAAAAAGATAACAACATATTTGAGACTATATCTAATGACGTTCTGCTCAATATACTCTTTAAACTAATTTATTGTATCCCCTTCTCCCTCATACTAAATCTCATCCTCTCTCTTTCCCTCTGATACTGCCCACACTGTAGCAATACATGTTCCACAGTCTCTATTTCCTGACAATAATCACATTTTCCTGATGGATGCTTTCCTATCACGTTTAATGTCTTATTCAACTGGCTGTGTCCCACCCTTAATCTTGTAAAAATAGCCTCCTCTCTTCTGTCTCTTCCTGCCATCCTCCCCTCCCTGCACCATCACTGTACTGTACCATCACTGTACTGTATATATCAGTCGTTTTGCCTCTGCCTTGCTCATTGACACTTCAACATCAACATCCCCACTACTAAGTGCTTGTTTAGCCTGTTCATCTACTGCCTCCTTCCCCTCCACCTCCACATGGGCTGGAACCCAAGTAAATCTTATCTGAATACCCATCTGTTTAATCCTGCCATGGGTTTGTAGCACCTCATAAAGCAGGTCTTGTCTGTTACGTGAGCTAAAGGACTGGAGACTCATTAACACTGCACATGAATCAGAGCAAATAACTACTCTGTCTGGCTTAACTTCCTCCACCCACTGCAAGGCCAACAGTATGGCCATCAGCTCCACCGTATATACAGCCAGATGATCTGTAATATGTTTCCTGACTTCCACCCCACATTCCTGCACTACAAATGCTGACCCAGTACGTCCTGTCCTTGGATCTTTTGAACTATCTGTGTAAATGGCCACAAAATCCTGATACACAGTTTCCAGACGTCTCTTAAAGAAATCAGCTGGATCAACCCCCATCCCTATCATTCTGTAGTCTCTCCAACACTTCTAGATCAACTACTGGAGGCGGGAGTAGCCATGGTGGATTTACAGGAATAACTACCGTTGGACTAAACTCCCTTCCATACAGTCCCATCTCCTTTGCCTGGGTATTACCCACCCACCCAAAGCTCGTGTTCGGTCTTCGCTCATGTTCCCAGCATGCCTGTAAGGATGAGACACCCCATGTCCTTGTAGGTTGACCCAATAATTAATTGCCAGCTGCTGTCTCCTAATCTGCAACGGCATATCCCCCATCTCCACCTGTAATGCAGCCACTGGGGACGTTCGAAACGCCCCACTACATATTCTGAGTCCTTGCCCCTGTATGACATCTAGCCTTTCCAGTGAGGTCCGGCCTGCTGAACCATATGCTATACTTCCATAGTCTATTACAGATCGGATCAATGCAACCTACATGGTCTTCAATGAGGAACGCCCAGCCCCCCACTCCTTCCCCGTCAGACAGCGCATCACATTTAGCACCTTCTTACACTTTCCCACCACTCTCTCAATGTGTTCTGCCCAGGTCAGTGTAGTATCAAAGTATACCCCAAGGAACCTGAAGGCCCCCACCCTCTCCAAGTTTCTCCCATATAACCTCAAGCATACCTCATCTCCCACCTTCCTCCTGGTAAAGAACACTGTTTGAGTTTTCTCTACAGAGAACCTGAATCCCCACATTAATGCCCACCGCTCTACCTCATCAATTGCTTCCTGTACCTTCCTGACTATGTATGGCACATTTCTTCCCCTCTTCCATAAGGCACCATCATCTGCAAATAACGACCTCCCTATATCCGGCTGTACCTGAGAGTAAACATCACTGATCATGATTGAGAACAACAGAGGACTAATCACGCTCCCCTGCGGTGTACCATTATCCACCAAGTAGCTGCCTGATAAAGACTTCCCCACCCTCACCTGGATAGACCTTCCAAACAGGAAATCCTTTATCCAGTTGTACATTCTTCCTCCTACCCCCATAATATCAAGCTTGATTAACAACCCCTCCTTCCACATCATATCATACGCCTTCTCCACATCAAAAAAGACAGCTACAACAGTCTCCCCGTTCACCTGAGCCTTCCTGACCTCTGCTTCTAAGCAGAGCACTGGATCCATAGCTCCCCTACCCTTCCTGAACCCACTCTGATGTGGCGTTACTAGCCCTCTGCTCTCCAGGAAGTAAGTTAGCCTCTCCGTAATCATATGTTCCATAATCTTACATACATGTGATGTTAAAGCTATTGGCCGATAGCTTGTTGGCTTCGTTGGATCCTTCCCAGGCTTCCGTTTTGGTACCACTACTGCCTCCTTCCAACTGCCTGGTAGTTTCCCCTCCTCCCACACTCTGTTGTACAACACCAATACCTTATCCAGTGCCTCATCACTAAGATGGGCCAACATAACATAGCACACCTCATCTTTCCCAGGTGAAGTTAACCCACCCTTACCTATTGCTTTTTTCACCTCTGCCCTGGTAAATGGTGCACTCAACACATCATTTACATCCTCCCTCCTTTCCAGCACTCCAGGATGCTCCTCTCTCGTGTTCTCTCTCCCCCTCTGCCCCTCTGACAGATTTGCTGAGCTATGCACTTGGACAAATGCTTTGGCCATCATCTCTGCTTTCTCCTCATATGTTACTGCCACATCCTCCCCACTCGCCAACACTGGATAATCCCACTCCCTTCTGACCCCACTCATCCTCTTAATCATCCCCCACACTTCTCCCACAGGTGTCGCCCTTCCAATGGTGTCACAGAACCGATGCCAACATGACCTCTTTGCCTGACGGATAGTTCTCCTCACCATGGCCTGGGCCTGCTTATACTGAATCAGATGTTGGAAGTTATGCGTCCTTTTCAGTACTCCAAATGCCCTGTTCCTAATCCTCACCATTGCCCCACTCTCAGTAGCTGCCCCCACTAACTCATACTATCTACATCTCCTCTCATATCCACCCGAGCCATCACCTGCTCACTCAGCTCCTGAAACTGATCCCACTTTGCCCTTCCAAACACCCACCTGCCTACTCCCTCCACTAACACCTCCTCCTCCCTCCAGCCTACTGTGAATACAATGGGGTAATGATCACTCCCTACTGTCGACTCCTCCCATACCTCCCACTCACATATTCCTGCCATCGCACTAGATACCAGAGTGAGGTACAAGGCAGTCTCTTTCCCTGTGGCTACATCAATCCTGGTCCCTCGGCCATCATTCAGGCACACCAGATCTTTATTTTCTATCAAATTTTCCATCACTTGGCCATTTCCATCCATCTGTTTCCCCCCCAAAGCGTGTTGTGGGCGTTAAAATCCCACACCACATTACCTTACTTCATTTCCTTAGGGAGACAAGAGTAATTAGTAGGATTTAGACCTTCCCGTCTCTGGTCCACACTCCAGTCCAGTTGGTGGCGGTCATTTTTTACAAATGTCTAAAAGGATCCAGATAGTGATGTGTATAAACCAGTGGAGGCTGCTGAGGGGAGGATGGCTCATAATAATGTCTGGAATGGAGTCGTTCTCCACTCAGCAGCCTCCACTGGTATAAACCCTGGATGACTAACATGGGGGCTGTATTGAAGCCACCGCACAGCCATCTTGGTACTCCTCCTCCATTGTAAAAAATATTTTGGGAAGCTATAGAAATGCATGAATTAATGTTTACATTTGTTTTGGACACGTTTATTCTATTACAGACATACTAATGCATACTTTTCAATTATATTATGTGAGCTAAACATAAAAAGCAAACAAAAACATTTTCCTTAAAGTATTGTTTTAGAGAGCACTAATGTTACTGACCCCACTACAACAAACAAATACTTAAGTACATGTAATTTTGTCCTTGAAATATTTAATTGAAATACTGTAGAATTCCATTCATTCCTATGGAGGACTGCTCCTACTGGGGAGTGCCAATATGGCCGACCGGGGGCTTCACAGCCTCTCAGTGGCCAATACATAGCATCAGCAATCCAGGGTTAATATACATCATTGGGTTGTACAGGAGCAGGCAGTTACATTCCTGAATTTGATGTAGAGATATGTCAAAGGCTAACAGATGAGCTGTCAGTAAATTCAGTTTAATTGTTGGCAGTAGTAGCTTCCCTCCAGTGGGTGGAGGACGCTCCACCAGTCAGAATTGTAGTATGCGCAGATTCCCTGTCTGTATTGAACAGTTTATCATCCGGAAAATCTAATAGGAGTGAAATACTATTGGAGGCATTCATGTTATTATGGACAATCAAGAGAGTAGTAGTGCAATGCTTCTGGGTCCCAGCCCACTTGGGAGTGAAATAGAAGACCAGGTAGCCAAAAGGGCTTTAAAACTAGATATAATTGATATTCGTACTCCACTGTGTAGAGGTGAGGCCAAATGTAAGATTAGAGCCATTATGATAGATGTGTGGCAGAAGAGATGGGACTCAGAGCCCAAGGGCCGGCATTTATATGCCCTCAAAAGAAAGGTTCAAGGTTCAGATTAGGAAGGAAGAGGTGATGTTTCCTCAGTTGCATCTAGGACATTGTACATTGAACTCATTATATCTGGTTGGCAAGCATGCAAATTCACATTTACATTTACATTTTAGCCATTTAGCAGACGCTCTTATCCAGAGCGACTTACAGTTAGTGAGTGCATACATTTTTTGAATGGTTTGTGTATGGAGAGTATGGTTGATGAAACAGTGAAGCATTTGTTGATGTATTGTTGTAAGTATCGGTATGTGGAAGAGAGAGAAAGATTGATGTGTAGGGTTATTGAGGTTGGATGGGGATGAGGGTGTTGGGAGGGATTTGGGGGATGGGTTGATAGAAGTTAGTAGGGCAGTTTTTTTTTTTTCTTAGTAGTACAGGATTAGATAGGAGGGTTTAATTTATCTTAATTACTGGTAAATGTATGCATGCATGACTGTAAGTCGCTTTGGATAAAAGCGTCTGCTAAATGGAATATTATATTATTATTATTATTTAGTCTGTAAACTGTGATTGACTATACACTCCAGTACAATAGGTGGTGCCATGCAGCTCTAACATTTGTTTGCGGACCGCTATTATATTATAGAAGAAGAAGAAGAAGCAGAAGAAGAAGAAGAAGAAGAGAATGCACGGATACGGAAATGGCATATCTACGTTGGAGAAAAATATGGTAGCTACAGCTAGCAGTCTATTTGCTCACGCCGTGAACTGTTTCCTTTTGTAGCGTTTAACGATTGCACCGTTTCACAATATCGCAATTATTATTATTTATTTATTTACCAATACTGTAACCTTAGTAGATCATTTTTTTGGTCAGTAAACATTTATCGAAATTCAAGTTACCTAACCTATCGATTGGTTCAGGATTGCACATGAATATCTAGCTAGCTAGCTACAACAGTCAAAATGGCGGACAACGAGGACGAGAGCAATATGTCAAGTACAACAACAGGGGCAGATCACGGTACAATAGCTCAAGTTCCATGTGTTTCTGGATTGCCAGTAAACCAGAACCAAATCGGCGAGAAATGCATTGAAGCAAATGCACCTGAGATCACCGAAGCGCATGGCTTGACAGATTTCCTGCAAAGCTGCACAAAAGAGGATACATTCGTTGCAAAGGACTCCCAGGAGGTTGTCAGCCAAACTGAAGACAATGAACAACAACCTGAACAGAACATAACGTCTATTGTTGAGACCTCATGTATTGCAACGGGTGCAGAGTATTCTACAGTCAGTGCTGACTTTGTAAATGCTCTTGCACCTGGGACCACCATCATTTACGTGCAACCAGATGGTAGTTTTGTTGAGGGATCAGGTCTGACTGAAGAGGAGCAGCAACAGCTAGTGGAGCAGTTGGCCAAACAACAGCTTGTTACAGTGACTGAGAGTGAGGCTGCTCGCCTGTTTGAACAAAATCAAGGCATCAAAACACTCCCTACTACTTCGTCACAGATACAGTATACTATTCCCAGTACAGCACTGGCTCCCAACGAACTGCAACAAGTAATAGAGCAAGTTACCAAATCTCAGCAATCCATGGCCCAGACACCCAAGGAATCGGAGCAGGTTGTGACCACACTGGACCCCACAACTGGCTTGTTCACGACTGTTGCAGCTTCAGAGATTGCAGTAGCAAGCCCAAAGCCACTGGTCACTATGCAGAATGCATCACAGAAGCTGAAGAATGTTGCGAAACAAGTGGCACTTCAGTCCAACAATGGAACACGCCTGGTTCAGAAAAAGGTAACAACTTTTCTTTTGGTATTTGTTCATGTATTCTGTTAGAATCTAGCTAGTAATCCAAATTATTGCTTTAAATAGCTCGTGTGACTTTCACGAATATGTAAATATAATAATAATAATATAATATGCCATTTAGCAGACGCTTTTATCCAAAGCGACTTACAGTCATGCGTGCATAATAATTTTTTTTTGTGTGTATGGGTGGTCCCGGGGATCGAACCCACTACCTTGGCGTTACAAGCGCCGTGCTCTACCAGCTGAGCTACAGAGGACCACATGTAGCATGTAGTATGCTCAATTGTCAAATTCTGTTTTAAGGAGAAAAAAGCAGAAATTCGATCATGACACTTTAATCAGCTGTATCAAATCTACTGTCTGGCAATTATGACCGCCACTGACATGAATATTGTTTATATTTTACCAGCAGGAAACCATCCGAATCCAAGTCCAGATGCCCTCTGGAAAGCAGGAGGTGAAAGGACCTACGCAGACTACCATTTCAATCCCTCAACAGAAGAATTTTGCTGTGGCGAGTCAAGGCCAGCAGGTCAAAGTGTCTACGAACGGCGGTGTGAGCAGCAGCCCACAGATCATCCACATCACACCCATAGTTGGACAGCAACAGTACTTCCTACAGCAGAACCCTGGAGACCCTCCTATTCAGCTGCTACTGCAGAGCTCAACACCCGTGGTTGGCAGCTTGGTTCCCGTTGTGCACAAACTGCCCATACCTTTTCAGACCCCTGTCCAGCAGCCTTCAGGTAAGGCCCCGGTCAATGGCACAACAGTCACAGCAGTTAAACCTGCCACTGCTGCTGCCATGTCTGTCTCTGTCCCCACACTGGAAAAAGTGAAAAGGGTCAAAACCAGAATGAAAAAGGCACCGAATATCAAAACGCGTTCCGGCAGGGTGTCCAGACCGCCCAAGTACAAGGTGAAGGACTATAAGTTCATCAAGACAGAGGACTTGGCCGAGAGCCATCAGTCAGATTCTGACGACTACTCTGAGATCAGTGTGGAGGAAGATGAGGATGGTGAGGATGGTAAAAAGGGAGCATCATCTATGATTTACAGTCACAAGCGGAAGGCCTTTCAATGTGAAACGTGCGATAAAGCTTACATAGGCCACGGAGGTCTGTCCAGACACTACAGGCTGAACCCCTCCCACGGTGAACTGAAGTCCCCTCCTGAAGGGACCCCTAAAACAGACGGCCCTGGTAAAAGCACAGACGCTGGGGCCGAACATAAGAAGCCGACTGAAGAAAGTAATGCCAGCAGTGTTAAAAATACATCGGTTCCTGAGAAAAGTGAGGCCTCAGAGAAAACAGCTGCTGCAACGTCAACCACTCAACAAAAAGTAAGACCCTAGAAAGTTACCTTGTCTCATCAAACGTTGACAAAAAATTACCATTGGAATGTTGACGACCCACGGCTAATTTAGCCTAAAGCTAATATGGTTATGTCTGTCTGTTATAGTGACGGTTTCCTGGACACAGACTAAGCCTAGTCCTGGACTAAAAGTACAAATCATGCACAATGGAGAATCTCTATTGAAATAGCTTTAGTTTAGGAATATGCTTAATCTGTGTCTGGGAAACCGATCCATAGTGTTTTTACTGATTCTGTTGTACCTCCAAAGGCGGATACCACGGCAACCCAAGGAGTAGCAGCTTCTACCAGGCAGACAATGGTCCAGGCTCGGGGACCAGGGAGGCCCAGAGGACGGGGCAGACCACCTACCAAAGCACACCCAGCGGTGAGACGGGGGCGACCTCCAAAGCTAGGAGGGGGAGCAGCCAGTGTGGAGCAGCAGGCCCAGAGTAGGAAAGCGTGGCTCAAAGAGGTACATCAAATTAAGCGTCAGGATTAGAAAACATTACTGCCATAAAACTAAAATGTGCTCAAAGGCATTTTGTTCTAAGAATGCAACACATAGCAATGCTGTGAGTATCACATCTGAAAATCATACCTACCAATGGCACTAATGACAAAGGATAGGAATGTGTATGTACTAGTACTTTACTATGTCACTTGTCCCCTGTTTAGGTGACACACGAATGTGATAATGAAGAACTCATGGAGATTGTGCTCCCTCGTCTGGCTAAGGTCATGACTGTCTGGGAGTTCCTCCTGATGAAGGTACGGTCACCACCTGAAAAACAGTTGCATGCCCCACTTTTAGTTTTTTACACAATACATGGTTTTTACTACACAATGTTTGAATGCATGGTGATATAGTGGGAAAATTGGATGATCAAATTGTAGGCTTGATATGGAAGCTATTTACCTCTGGACAAATGGGGGATCTTTTTATCACATTCTTAGCAACAGGCAAATAAAGAATAAGACGTTCTGTTTTTAGTTTACTGAATATGTGTATCCTATTTAACCTAAGGTGGAGAAGGGGCGGCAACCCAAAACCCCGTTTTCGGATGTGTACCAGGAGTTTGAGCAGCTCCACAGCCAGGTGAAGAAGATGGCCCAGGACTACATCAGTAACCCTCAGGGTGTCCACATGGCCTTGGAGGTCCACAATATAGAGGTACAAATAAATACAATAAAATATTTTCCAACTAGCACTGACTTTGCTGATACTACTTTGAGGGAAAATGTACTTGCCTACGACTGTGATATGTGGTTGTCTCACCCAGCTATCTTAAGATGAATGCACTAATTGTAAGTCGCTGGATAAGAGCATCTGCTAAATGACTAAAATGTAAAATGTAAGTAGATCTATATTCCTCAATTCAATCCAACTGAATGTAGCCCCTAGGGAGAATTAATAAAGCCAGATCTCAACTCAAGATCCTCAACGTATAATACAGTATACAGACTTCACATTATTAGAATCACTGCACTGGAAGTTGAAACGTTATTAAAATGCATTCACAAATATTATTCCATCTTGGAAGCAAAATGTACAGAGAAATGTTTCATACTGTGCGTCCTGTCGCTTAGGTTGCCAAATCTCTTGGCATCTTCGATGAGGTGAACAAGTTGAAAGTTCTGAACCCACCAACGCAGCAGAATGTCACCAACATGGCAACCAAGAATGTCCGCTACATGGAGGTAAGGAAAGCACAATTTAATTTAGACTGCACACTTTTCTCTAAACTGTTATGGAATTATGGCATTATTATGCAATTTTTTTCATAGTAATGAATTGTTATGAGATGCTCAGATTTGAGTAATTGTTAGGTTGATGCAAGTCTTATTTTCTCTACCTAGAATTCTAAAATGTTACCTCCAACAAAGAGATTTAAAATGGAAAACCAGGCTGGTGTTCAGATCCATCAGAACGGCATTGAGACTTCCACAAAAGGTATGTTGTATTTTTTACCTGCTACTAACAACTTGTGGATAGATATTTGCTACATGTCCAAACCAAAAGTTGGAAGAAATCATGGAAGATCACTTGTCATCATCTTCTGCTTTCATTTCCCTGTATCCTCTCAGAATCAAGTGAGGCCAAAGTAGAGAACACCGCAACAACAAGCATGAAGGACATTTTACCACATGCTCAGGTGCCCACCAAGAGCACAGCAGGATCTCAAGCTACTCAGACTGCTACCATCACACCACAGGTTGTCTCATCTAACCCAGAGACCAACATAACACCCATGGAACTGATCCAGGATCACTTATCCAACAGCATGACAGAAACAGTTGACTCAGTGGGAGAGGAGGCCATGGAGACAGATCAGGGTGTGTCTGGTACCGAACCTACTGAGGTCCTGAGCACCAGTGACATAGCAGATCAAATGAAGGAGCTAGAGAAGGCCTTGGCCACAGACCAAGTCGCAGTTGATCAGCAGCCCAGGAGTACTCAGCCGCAGCAGTCCAACCCTACCCCAGTCCAGCAGAGTGGCCTGACCCAGGCTGTCTCTACCTCTAGCGAAGGAGGCCAGGTGGTGGTTCAGGAGGCACAGGGCAGCCAGGAGGCCCAGGGCTGCCAGGAGGTCCAGGAGATCTACATCCAGACTGAGGGGCTGACCATGCACCTAACAGAGGGCCAGGAGGGCGAATTGGCCTCGGAGCGCATCATCATCGTCAACGGGCCTGACGGCACCACTATGCACATCCGCGCCCCTGAAGGAGTCCCTCTGGAAGCAGTCCATGCTCTGCTTGGTATTGAGGCTGAGGGGAAAACACAGCAGTGATTTGTTTTGTTCCTGCACACCCAGACACCAAGCACACATCTCCCATATTGATTTTTTCCATCTGGTGGATTTTAAGTGTATTCTTTGTAAATTTGTAAACATTATTTTCGATGTGGTGTTTTCATAGACACATTAATAGCCCTTCCTTTAACAAGTGCTTAGTTTGTGATATGTTTATATGTAGATAAATATCAAAAGCAGTACAAAAAAAAGTTGCACTATTTTATTACTTTTTATATATTTGGCTGTAACATTTTTCCCCTAGGGGAAATAAAATAAATAAAACGTTAAAAGAAATTGTGGTTTTATTAATTTCCATGTTGCAGTACAACCATTTCATATGCTGTACAGTTTAACTCATTTTCCTCTTAATAAAGAATGCGAGAACAAATCTTCTTATTTATGAGTTGAACCACAATGCTGTGCTGATGAGTGCATGATCTTATGTCATGTATACCCTAGTGGCGCAGTGGTCTAGGCACTGCACGCAGTGCTAACGTGCACTAGGATGGTCAATCCAGCTGTCGCAGCACCGCGAGCGGAGCTCTGGGCGCGCACATTGGCCAGCGTCGTCCAGGTAGGGAGGATGGCCGCAGGGATGTAGCCTTTAGAGCATGCGTTGCAACAGGGTTGGGTTCATTCCCACGGGGCCAGTATAAAAAATATGTATTCACAATAAGTCGCTCTGGATAGGCGTCGCAATGACTAAAATAACAAGTCCATAAATAGAATAGAATCCCATTCAAATATGAAAAGAATGTTCCAACTGATGTTTGTTAAATTGGCCTATGCCCTGTCTCTAAAAGAAGACCCTCTAACAGTAACCTTGCCCTGTCATCTAGGTACGGCTGATACAGCCAGCAGGAGAGGTACACCATTGAAAGGTCTGGGTTAGTTGTGTGAGCTAGTTCCTGAAGAATAGCCAGTTTCAGTGTCAGTTCTTGCTTGTAGGCTTCGTAGAGCTTGGAGGAGACGTCCGCTGCAATGAAAATAGAGACATATTTTATAAAACTTTACATGTCATGGAACATAAATGGTCCATACTAAAAATACCTCAAGTGCTAGTTTCCCGGATACAAATTAAGCCTACCATAGAACTAAAACGCAATTGAGAATCTCCATTGAACGTGTTTTTTAGTCTAGAATTTGGCGTAATCTGGGTCTGGGAAACCGGTTCAATGTGTATTTTCAAAGCACAGGGCATCTTAAACTGATGAATAGTCTCACCGAACTGTGACGTAGGCCAGGTCTGAAACAAAGGAGTTTGTCTTCCTCCTGTTCCATACTGGAATGTCTCCAGATCGATGATCCCCTTCTCAGAGGAAACTAACTTCTCCATTTTTGATACAATACGAGTCTGATGGAAATAAAATAAAAAGTCAGTAATGAAACAAACAGCACAATTGTAGCCTGGTCCCAGATATGTTTGTGTTGTGACAATGACCATTGAGTTGGCAAGACAGTACAAACAGATCTGGAACTAGGCTACAATTGTTGGTCTTGCCAGAGAGAAAAAGAGAAGGTGGAACAATCCTCAATCAAGATTTGGCAGATTCTTCCACAATCTTTGGTTCTGTTCAATAATGGCACAAATGATTGACTTACCATTTTGTCCATGACACTTAGCAACTTGTCACACTCCTCTTCTAGTTCTCTATTGTTTTCAAATGCATTCTCTGAATTAGAGCTGGCAGAGGTGTCCTGACCCGCCATCATGACTTGCATCTCTTTCTGTGAACTGATTTTAATAAAGGGATAAGGTCTCTCACATTGGCATGACTTTCCTCCCAATTCTGTCTAATAATCCATGGATGTATACATGTATTATTATCCCACTACAAATCTTACAACAATTGCCTCATTGGTAGAAACCACACATTGCAGAACATGGATTGACTTACTCTTTATTGAATCCTAAATTGACTATCTTATTTGCAATGGTGGATCCTTCATCATTCAGTCGGTCCCATTTCAGAATCAGATTGTGCCAGTCTGCTGCATTGTCCTTCACTTTCCTTGCGCTGCCAGTCAATGCAGACTGGGACTTCCTGCCAGGAGTGGTCGTCTCTGATCCTTGTAGGCCTACTGGGGAAAAGACAGACATACTTATATGTGTGACCTAAGAGAGTGTGCCTGCCTGCTAGTGTCTTTGGTGTGGCCAAAGATATGGGAAGAGGTAATTTACTGATAACCAGCTAATGGGTAGTTGAGAATATTAGATTAATTTGTATTGCATATATAGAAGATGCAATAAAACATAGCAAGTGATTCACCAGCTGACACACAAAGGCTTCTTACTAACTACCATTATGGTTCTATGGATGTAGCCAGAGCCATATATTTATTTTGAACACAAATATAAACGCAACGTGCAACAATTTCAACTATTTTACGGAGTTACAGTTCATATCAGTCAATTTAAATACATTTATTAGGCCCTAATCTATGGATTTCACATGACTGGGCAGGGGCGCAACCATGGGTGGGCCTGTGAGGGCATAGGACCACCAATTGGGAGCCAGGCCCACCCACTGGGGAGCCAGGCCCAGCCAATCAGAATGAGTTTTTCCCCACAAAAGGGCTTTATTACAGACAGAAATACTCCTCAGTTTCATCAGCTGTCCGAGTGGCTGGTCTCAGACAATCCCGCAGGTGAAGAAGCCGGATGTGGAGGTCCTGGGCTGGCGTGGTTACACGTGGTCTGCGGTTGTGAGGCCGGTTGGACGTACTGCCAAATACTCTAAAACGACGTTGGAGGCAGCTTACAGTAGAGAAATGAACATTCAATTTTCTGACAAGAGCTCTGGTGGACATTCCTGCAGTCTGCATGCCAATTGCAAGATCCCTAAAATCTTGAGACATCTGTGGCATTGTGTTGTGTGACAAAACTGCACATTTTAGTGGCCTTTTATTGTCCCCAGCACAAGGTGCACCTGTGTAATGATCATGCTGTTTAATCAGCTTCTTGATATGCCACACCTGTCAGGTGTAACTTCAATGTTTTAGTTTACTTCGCTACTTGAGTCATCTCTCTCCATGTTGCTTTCCACACAGACCTAGCCCCGCCCCGTCACCCAATGAGCGCATTTGTTGTTCCTTGACCACGAGACAATTGCGTTCAGTCTGCATGGTCAATGCAGCACATGCAACAATGTTGATGACAACGATGCTGTTTTCACTTTGCTTCTTAATATAAATCCACTAGCGTTCTATAATTACTATTAGTTTGTGTTTATTACATCTGCAAACAGCTTGTTTGTCTTTTCTTAGCAAGATGGGCCTAAATCTTGTTCGCCGCTAATCGCTAGTTAGCTGGCTAGCTAATACATGTACTGAGTCAGAGGACACGTAATTAGCTATACAGCCTGATAATACCAGTGATGGTGTAGACCTAAATCAGCATGTTGTTTGTAAAACAGTATCTTCTAAATCAAAGAGGAATACACAAAGCATGAATTTGTTAGTTACATGAAGTAGCTAAGAGAACATTAAATGTAGCTAACGATTATAGGATCCCCTAGGAAACACAACAATTTAGTTCCTACCCTCTCAAAATAACTCCTCCCTGGCATTTTCATGTCAAACAACACTGTAATCAAAGTGCCAACTATTATATTCTAACTATAGAATGATTTCAACAGTTCACACAAGTGTTTTGATCTAAATCACAAGTCAAATCGCAATTGCAACATTTGGTTAAAAATAAGGCCTAGATTGTTTGCCTTATTGTGCAGCCCTATGTGGCAGTATGGAAATTATCTCAAATGAGTGCAGGAAAAGCAGAAATTGATGAAAATACTGAAAACGATTTTTATTTTAAGTTAAATTGAACAGTATAAAACTATCAGAATGGAGAAAGACCCATTGAAATCCCTTAGAATGTAGGTGTTGCCACCCTAGGGGCACGTACTACTCGGCAAATGTAGAACTTGTATTATTCAAAAACATCAAATACTGTCATACCGTCCTTAAAAAAATATATATATATACCGTGATATATTTTAGCCATATCGCCCAGACCTAGTATCTAGCAACCTCTGGTCCAGGGCGTCGTCAGAAGCTAGACCAGAGCTAGTAGTAGCTAGCTCGCGCAGCAGTTGTCGTCAATCAACATTGAATTTGTGAACACCATCCACCTCATTCGCTAACAACACTAGATTTATTACATTACCTTCCATTGTTATTGTATATCCATGGCTTATGTTCTTAAAGTCAAGTTAGTTTATTGAAGTGCCTTCTGAAACACACATTTCTTCCTAAGTAAACTTCCGCATATTTCTTCTTCTGGGTCTGACAGACTATCAGCGCCCGTGAACATACCGCCACCTACCAGTACATTCTCAGTAACAAACACAAATACATCATAAAGCTTCTGACATTAAAAACTGTTTATTAAATACTTTTCTCCATCAAAAAAATGGCATACAGTAACTCATGTTAAATCCATAATGGGGGTTTTCATGACAAACTAATTTGTTGAACAGATGACAGAAGGAGGACCACGGAATAAGATGACATATGAAATAGCTATCAATGTATGTTTATCTCTGTCAAAGTCATTTAGTGGTTGTGGGATCATGTGCTGCTGTGTGTGGCTGACTGTCGGTCCCAGAGTCTCCCTCAGCCGGTGCCTGGTGGTACAGAGTGTGTAGGCGCTCAGCATTTATATCAGCATCCTCTGCCCCTTCACAACAACGCTGCCAGATTTGGGGGATAGCATCGATTCCATAGTGTGCCCCTGCAATGGCCCCCGCCATGCAGGCAATGGTGTCTGTGTCGCCCCCCAAGGCCAGACTGTACGCCATTGTCCTCTCCAGGCCACTGTAGCGCTCGGGCAGACCCTCCCGGGGTTCCAGGCAGTGCAGCACACAGAAGATGGCAGTGGGGACAGAATGCAGGGCTGCAATGCCATTGCCTGAGTACAAACACAGAAAGAAATACATCTTTAGAGTGAACTAAAACTGCTAGTCTATCATACTAGCTGGTGACAAAAGTGATAAACTAGTAAATTATATTCCAAGACCAGCAGAGAATAGCAAAATCCTAGAGGGATAATGCCACCATTGAATATAGTTTGCATTTACCCCATAAGTCAATACTGACCTAACTCAGATATGACCTCTTCAATGCTGACACTGTTGTTCCTTTCCATCAGGTCCTTGACTCTGTGCAGACGATCACAGAATGGGAACTCTGACTCGCTGAAGCTGGAGATACAAAACAGAAAAGAAAACAGAACAAGACGAAAGAAGAGGAAAGAAAAGTTAAGAACCAAAAACTCTCCTCCGTGCATCAGTTATTTCTTCAAGCACCCTAGAAAAGGAGTACCCTTTTGTTAGAATTCGTCATTGGGCGATTCCACGCCAGGATAGCCCAGAGTCCACTCTGGAAATGTGAATTGTTTGAAGAGTTTATTGTTTATTGTTCCAAACAATATGTCTAAAAATAAGCCCCCCCCCCCAAAAAAAAAGAGGTATTTTGAGATATTAATATGAATATTTTAAATTGTTGAATAAATTAACGTACAAAAATAAAATACAATTTCGAGCACACTATAAGGAGCATAATGACACCAAGATGTAGCATGTACAGTTCACAGATCATAGGGTCTTACAGGAGGCACATATACAGGGACTTAACCCTAATTGCTCCTGTAAGTCGCTCTGGATAAGAGCTTCTGCTAAATGACTAAAATGTAAAATGTAAATGTAAAATGGCCACTTTCATCATGATATTCTCAAAAACAGTCTGCGATACAAATGTAAAAAGCATCTTTCCTCCCAATGAAGTTTCTATGTGAGATTTGCCAGAACAATCTGAGATAGCCCAAAAATATTTTTGCTATCCTGGCGCAGAATGGGCCCATTCTCTAATTGCACACTATTACTCCTGTTTACATGTACAGTTGAAGTCAGAAGTTTACATACACTTAGGTTGGAGTCATTAAAACTAGTTTTTCAACCACTCCACACATTTCTTGTTAACAAACTATAGTTTTGGCAAGTCGGTTAGGACATCTACTTTGTGCATGACACAAGTAATTTTCCCAACAATTGTTTACAGACAGATTATTTCACATAATTACACATCCAGTGGGTCAGAAGTTTACATACACTAAGTTGACTGTGCCTTTAAACAGTTTGGAAAATTCCAGAAAATGATGTCATGGCTTTAGAAGCTTCTGATAATTGACATAATGGGAAAATCAAAAGAAATCAGCAAAGACCTCAGAAAAAAAATTGTAGACCTCCACAAGTCTGGTTCATCCTTGGGAGCAATTTCCAAACGTCTGAAGGTACCACGTTCATCTGTACAAACAATAGTACGCAAGTATAAACACCATGGGACCACGCAGCCGTCATACTACTCAGGATGGAGACACGTTCTGTCTCCTACAGATGAACGTACTTTGGTCCGAAAAGTGCAAATCAATCCCAGAACAACAGCAAAGGACCTTGTGAAGATGCTGGAGGAAACAGGTACAAAAGTATCTATATCCACAGTAAAACAAGTCCTATATCGACATAACCTGAAAGGCCGCTCAGCAAGGAAGAAGCCACTGCTCCAAAACCGCCATAAAAAAGCCAGACTACGGTTTGCAACTGCACATGGGGACAAAGATCGTACTTTTTGGAGAAATTTCCTCTGGTCTGATGAAACAAAAATAGAACTGTTTGGCCATAATGACCATCGCTATGTTTGGAGGAAAAAGGGGATGGCTTGCAAGCCGAAGAACACCATCCCAACCGTGAAGCACGGGGGTGGTAGCATCATGCTGTAGGGGTGCTTTGCTGCAGGAGGGACTGGTGCACTTCACAAAATAGATGGCATCATGAGGAAGGAAAATTATGTGGATATATTGAAGCAACATCTCAAGACATCAGTCAGGAAGTTAAAGCTTGGTCGCAAATGGGTCTTCCAAATAGACAATGACCCCAAGCATACTTCCAAAGTTGTGGCAAAATGGCTTAAGGACAACAAAGTCAAGGTATTGGAGTGGCCATCACAAAGCCCTGACCTCAATCCTATAGAACATTTGTGGGCAGAACTGAAAAAGCGTGTGCAAGCAAGGAGGCCTACACACCTGACTCAGTTACACCAGCTCTGTCAGGAGGAATGGGCCAAAATTCACCCAACTTATTGTGGGAAGCTTGTGGAAGGCTACCCGAAACATTTGACCCAAGTTAACCAATTTAAAGGCAATGCTACCAAATACTAATTGAGTGTATGTAAACTTCTGACCCACTGGGAACGTGATGAAATAAATAAAAGCTGAAATAAATAATTCTCTCTACTATTATTCTGACATTTCACATTCTTAAAATAAAGTGGTGATCCTAACTGACCTAAGACAGGGAATTTTTACTAGGATTAAAATGTCAGGAATTGTAAAAAACTGAGTTTAAATGTATTTGGCTAAGGTGTGTAAACTTCGACTTCAACTGTATATACACTGCAACTCAATATTTGGAAGGTGTACTTAATGTTTTGTACACTCAATGTATATTACTGTATTACCATACGTATTTATATATTCCCGCTACCAGTCACTTTTCAGCCCTGTTTACATTTATATCCTACTACCAGTCATGTTTTATGTATAAACCTACCTCAACCACACCAGTACCCCTGCACATTGAATAAGGCATAAATATCATACCCCCCAAAAAATGCTAACCTCCCCTGTTATTGTAGCTCAATTGGTAGAGCATGGCGCTTGTAACGCCAGGGTAGTGGGTTCGATCCCTGGGACCACCCATATGTAAAAATGGTCGCTTTGGATAAAAGTGTCTGCTAAATGGCATATTAAAAAGGTTAGCACGTCTTGGGAGTATGATATTTGTGCGTCTGTAACTTTCTCACTCATCATTATTCACGATGAATTCAGGACTATCCGTAATCATGGTAGCATCCTCATCAATGTAGAAGTGTTTCGAAACATTATATTCTTATTTACAATAAAAGTGACTCCAAAACGACACAATGCATTATTTACAATTTCTATTGGGCACAAAATAATCTGAAACACAACCAAAACAAACAGCAAATGCATGCAACAAATTTGTAGAATAACACGCTTGATGTAGTCATTGCGTGCTATAAATATGGGACCAAATACTACACTTTTGACTACTTTAATACACATAAATGAATTTGTCCAAATACTGTTGGGGGGATTATGTACAAAAAGGGCTGTAATTTCTAAAAGAGCTCTCAAGGTAAGAATTTCACTGTGTTTTCACCTGTTGTATCCTTTGCACTTGGTAAATAAACGTGGACAATTTTTTACTATCTGTTTAAGTACTTACACTCTTGAGTCACTGCGAGCAGCATCTTCTCCTTCCACCTCCTCCATCTCTGAGATGAGTTTGTTGATAAACGTAGGCCTGTGTGGCAGTTCCAAACCCCCCTGTAAAGACAGGTGGACCGCGAGGGCCTGGAGCACTGCTCCATTGTAACCCAGAGAACAGGAGTGGGTCAGCATCGCACCAAGCCTGGAGTACTGGGAGCAGAGAGAGGGAGAGAAATAGATAGGAGATACAGAGATAACAGACAGAGCGAGAGCAGAGAAAGAGAGAGAGGATTTAAGTATAGCAGTGCCTAGCAAAATGAAGACAGTTAAATTGGAATGGTTGTTAGGGTGACAGTAGCCTTATATCCTCCTCAAACAGCGAATCTGTTGAGCTGCTAGCTGGTTTTCTATCTGAGGAGGATGTAACAAGCTAGGATGGCCAGTAATAGTAGCCACTCGCCCCCACCACACATTCTATCACTATCACTAACCCTCCTAATGTCAACTGGGTTACTGAAAGCCAGTGCGAAAGGTGCAGCCCTCATCGCACCACCATTCCCAAAGGAGCCGCGGCCACTGAACTGAGCCCGAGCCGGCTGAAAGACATCATTAAGGTGTGGAGATGCAAGCTTCCTCAACACCTGGATCACACCTGCCCCGTACCCCCGCCCTGGAGAATGGCTGTATTCCTTTGCAAACCTGCAGAGAAAAAGCACCCCAACAAATATTTACATTTTATAGATGCTTAACAGTACTGAAACTGTAATGCACCGACGGACCCCAACTGTCTACTTTACCTGCGTGCCATGTCTTGTTCATCAAACCCTGCCCTGGTCAGCAGAGACTGGACAACACAGCGCGTCATGGCAGTGTCATCACTGTACTGCAGAATACCTGGGGACACACACAATGATGATGATGATAATTGATGATGACGACGATATGGTAATGTGTTGGTGGGTGTCTGATATTGGGTTTAGAGGCACATTCACAGAAGACTGCTATAAATGTGTTGCCATTTCCCATTAAATATAGGTTAATGTTGCATTGAGCAATCCACATATTTTATAGGGATTAGGATTAAGCGGGGAGGGGGGCTGAGGTAGATACATGGGGATAAATGTGAGTATTTGTACTGTATACAAATAAGTCTATTGTTTTTCAATATTAGTAGTGATCAATCTTGTCTCACCATCGCCGCGACTCTCATCCTCCAATCCGTTCAAATGCTGCAATACGCGGTCCATGGGCACCTCCTCTGCACCTTCAAATTCTCCACCAACGCAGTCTCCCAGCACCGCAGCAACCAGTGCACCGCGGAACCGAGACAAAGAGGCTGGTCCTCCCGCTCCCCCTGACCGCACCGCCGTCATGGCCATGTTGTAACTTGTGAATGACTTTTGCTTGCTAAATTATCTGTACCCTCCTCTGCACAAGCGATTGGTCTCCAGTTCGCTGATGATAGCTAGAACAAATCAACAACAATGTCGAGTCTCCTTTCCTGCTTCCTGTTGACGTTTAGTTGACTATTTGACCTGTGAGAAACGTTGAGCGTTGCGGCTAGAAATAAACGATTTTGCTAGAACAATAACTAACCCAAGATAGTTCATCTGTGTCGTTTTCAATGGGAGCAAATGAAGCATAGTGGGCAGAACAAGCAAGGACTACCGAGATCCTATTGGTGAGTTCTAGAATTATTTGCATATTTCCGTTAGGGAACACCTTCTCTGTAAAGTGCGCGTGTGCAGTAACTAAATTAGCCATTGTACTCCTTGTAAACAATGCAATTTTTGGAACTTTGGCAAAGGGTCATGTCTACAAAGCTTAGCGCACTCTGTTCGTAACAGATTTGAGTTTTGTGAACAGAAAACTGTATTGAGATCGGGCTTTTCTTCGATGAGAAAAGCAGCAGAATGTCGGCCCAGTTCCATCTCGCTATACTACTGCCAGCCACTTGGCTTCCTCTCTTCACCATATTTGGGGAGTGGACATTCCATCCGGATGCTTCAGATTTGTATATCCGGTGTGAAAGTCTGTTTTCTTGTTTTATCTGTAATATTACCCATCAATCTACAGTTAATTTCGATCTGCAACGTCAAGACTAAACTAGCTAGTAGTGTACCGACAACAAAAGAAGGTGTCCACATTGGCTATCTAGCCATAGAAAGGAGAACGAATTCAGATAATATGTACCATGTCTATCTACTGATTGGTTACATTTAATGTATTGCGTTATTGAATCAAATTACTAGACCATAAACATAGTATGCGCGCATCTATAGAACTTTACGGTACAGCCATACCAGCAGAAAGGGAGAGTTCGATGTGCATGCAACTTCCCATTGAAAAGCTAGCTAGCAGCTAATAACGCATAGATTAGAATGCCCCCTCAATGAAAATTATTTCATACACATCCTGCAAATAATTATCTACCTCATGCACAGTTTGAAGTCGCTTTGGCACTGTCTCTAACAATAACATTGTGTAACAGTGCATCCTAGCTAGCGTTAGCTGCAAATCCAAAGGAAACACCCCCGAGAAGAACAGCGCGCAACGAAAACATGGCGGAGTCAGAGGAGGCTAAACAAAAATCTCAGGTGAAAATATGTTAACAAATAATTAAGACATTATTATCTTATTAACTAGTTAGCCATCTGTTTCTGCTCAGCCATGTTACAGCTAGCTCCTAGATGTACCTCCTCAACTGCATTAGTAGCTAGCTTACAGTACAGAGCTAACGGGAGCTAGCTAGCTAACGTAGCAGTGTTCGTAGAACAATCAACCCTCATATCAAAGATGGGCCCACAGTTCTGTCAAAAATACGTTATGAGATTGTATCCCTGTGTAAGTGTACAACGGCCTATGCCAAGAGGTCCGAAACTGTATGGCAGACAGTCTATAACCGCAGACCAGGGTCGCTGGTTCAAGCAAGGCCCACTAAGGCTGTTTGTGTACCTACTACAGTCACTTTCCAGAGGTCTGGACTCTCATGGCAGAGGCAGTAGTGTGCTTGTTCTGTATGCAATATGGTTTCTGGTTCAAACCCCAGTCAGAACATTCCCCCTCAACATGCTGCGCTATTAATTATATAGGAACAGTCGTAACTTAAACCTGTTGTCTCCCTCCCCACAGCATGAACTCCGGCTGTCCAAGGCTTTTGATGAGGCGGTGAAGCTCTCAGCCCCCACGGCTGGTGAGTCCCAAAGGCAGCACACTCCCCTCTCAACCAGATCCCTCTGGAGCAGCATCACAACCGGACCAGTCTTTGATGGACCAGTCCGACATCCTGACGTCAACCATGATTTTAGCAGTGACGATGAGGGGCATGTATTCCCTCACATCTCTCACCCTACGAGTGCCACCTTCTCCCTGGCTGGTCTGGGGGCGGTCGAGCCAGAGGAAGAGCTGGATGGGGTTCCTGTGTTTGGGGTAGATGAGGAGGAGGAGTGGAACATAGCCCTGCCCAAGATGGCACTGGGTGATGTGGAGTCTGACAGAGAGTCAGCCGGACGGCCTGACACACGACACGCAGAGACTCAGGATGATGATCAAAATTCGACTGACAGATTCCTTGATGCAGTCTCACTTTCCAATGTTAGAACAGGTGAGAATGAAAACATGATGCCTAAACTGAGTTGTCCTGTGACATTCCTCCTCAGGCATTTCTTACTTCTCAACAGAACTTTTCTTACTACTTAGGCCTACTTCTTGTGCAGTGATTAACAACAGTCATTCTTTTGACAGCTTCTGAGGAGGCTAGTCAAACAGCTGAGGACAGACTAACCATGCAAGGAGAAAGCCATCTTTCAACTAACCCCTCTCAGTCCCCTTCATCAGAGAACAGCTTGGGTAAGACTTCAAGCAACCTTGCCCTGCTAGTTATAACTGTAATTTTAATAAAAAACATGATTTTGCAGATTTTTCCACTTCATGCACATGCTATGCACATTATTAGAGCTGTGATGATGATTCCATTAAATAGCCTTTTATCCATTTCTGTCAGATGAAGGAAGTCTGAATCAGTCTATGGCTGGGGGATCCAGCCGTCAAGAGGTCTGTACCTGTATGACTTAAGTATACAGGTAGTGTAAATGCTTTTATGAACATAAATTGTTTTGTCTCCTTCATTTATCAATTTTGTCCCTTTGACCTGACCTCCAGAGGTCAGAGAATGTGTTCCAGAACCCAGCGGTGGTGGACAGAGAAGAGCCCCCCATCTCTCCCCTCATGAACATCAAGGATGAGCCCATAGATGAAGGATATGACTGTGCCCTTCTACCCTCAACACGGAGTATCAAGGAGGAACTGGACAACACAGCTCCTGAGGTCAGCCAACGCTCCCATGCCCTGCCTTCAATCAATCTTCCCCCGGCTTTCACACACTATTGATTTGATGGTTCTGTGATGCTATATTATTATTGTTGTTATACAGACTGTTCTGTGTTTTATGTTACAGGAGGAGCTGAGAATCAGTTCTGTCTTTTCCGTTGGAGGAGGAAATGCCTATGGCTCGCCCACTGGTGAGAGAATCAGCATATTACAGTGCCTTTAGAAAGTATTCATACCCCTTAACTTATTCCACATTTTGTTGTGTTACAGCCTGAATTCAAAATGGATTAAATCGATTTCTCTCTCACCTATCTACATATAATACCCCATAATGACAAATAAAAATAAAAAAAACGTGTTTTTAGATTTTTTGCTATTACACTCCAAATTGAGCACAGGTGCATCCAATTTCCTTTGATCATCCTTGGGATGTCACTACAACTTGATTGGAGTCCACCTGTGGCCAATTTAATTGTTTGCACATGATTTAGAACGCAACACACCTGTCTATATAAGATCCCACAGTTGACAGTGCATGTCAGAGCAGAAGCTATACCATGAAGTCCAAGGAACTGTCTGTAGATCTCCAAGATATAATTGTGATGAGGCATATATCTGGGGAACGGTATAAAATAATTTCTAGAGTGTTGAAAGTTTCCAACAGCACAGTGGTCTCCATCATTGGGAAATGTAAAAATATGGAACTACCCAGACTCTGCTTAGAGCTGGCTGTCCAACCAAACTGAGCAACCGGGCAAGAAGGACCTTGAAAGAACTACAGAGTTCCTTGGCTGAGATGGGATAACCTGCTGGGAAACAAGGTCTTCTTCCAAAATGTCAACTTGCGTTTGATTTTGTATAATAAGATGGTACAAACAGTATAAGGTTTATTTATTTTGGTGGTCTAGCATGACAGTGCTGTGACTGTGGTCAGCATTGCAGGTGGTTAGCAGTAGTGATATTGATTGTGATAATGATGGGATCAACCTTTTACACCTGTTGTAAGTAGGAAGAACAGAAACAAAAGGGATCGTGATGGAGGTCTGAATACTGCTGGGGAATTGAGTGGTGTTGAAATTAGGCCTGCTATAAAACTTAGCACTACTTAGAAAAGGGGACTATACTGTAGACGAGAGCTACAAAGTGTGTTTCCCCCCTCTGAACCACCAAACTAACACTGTCATTCTATTCAGTTGACAAAATAAATTCAGAGAAATATAGGGGTGTTTAAGGACACCAAAGTTTTGGTATTCGGCTAATTATTGATTTATGCAAACGGTAAAATGATACAGGAGACAATTCTGAAGTTAGAATTGCTTAATGAGGGTCGGGTGAAATGCTATATCCCTGTTGCTAAGGCCAAACGTGGGTAATTGCTGGGATACCAGTAACCATGGAAGAAGTTATGACTTCCTTGAAAGGTGGGAAAGTAACTGAAGCAAAAAGAATGTTGAGCAAAAAGTGGCAGTCGAGTGGACCCCACAACGGTACTGTTAAACTTTGAAGGGATATTGCCAATCAGAGTACAGCTTGGAATGCTCAGTTATCATGTTAGAGAATATGTGCCACCTCTACTTCAGTGCTTTAATGCCAAAGGACAGGGCATATTGCTAATGTGTGCAAAGGTAAACTTAGATGTTCAAGGTATGGTGGGGATCAAGAGTACGGAAAATGTAGATCTGATACTAAAGTTAAATGTTGCAACTGTGAGCGCATAGTGCAGCATACTGGGGATGTGAAGTACAAAAACCAGCCATGGAAGCACAGAGGTGCAAAGTAACGAGTAATGTCTCCCTTGCTCGGAAAATGAACAAGCCTTTTGATCAAAATGCTCTGGCTCCAGTACATTAGCAGTCAGTGGTGGCTGCTCCTAGGATGCCCATAGCGCCGAGGGGGTCCATGGCTCCTAGGATGCCCATAGCGCCGAGGGGGTCCATGGCTCCTAGGATGCCCATAGCGCCGAGGGGGTCCATGGCTCCTAGGATGCCCATAGATATAGATCTCATTCCGTCAGTAGAGGATGCCTGGTTGTTCTTTAAAAGTAATTTCCTCTCAATCTTAAATAGACATGCCCCATTCAAAAAATACAGAACTAAGAACAGATATAGCCCCTGGTTCTCCTCAGACTTGACTGCCCTTGACCAGCACAAAAACATCCTGTGGCGTACTGCATTAGCATCAAATAGCCCCCACGATATGCAACTTTTCAGGGAAGTTGGGAACCAATATACACAAGCAGTTAGGAAAGCAAAGGCTAACTTTTTCAAACAGAAATTTGCATCCTGTAGCACTAACTCCAAAAAGTTTTGGGACACTGTAAAGTCCATGGAAAATAAGAGCACTTCCTCCCAGCTGCCCACTGCACTGAGGCTAGGAAACACTATCACCACCGATAAATCTACAATAATCGAGAATTTCAACAAGCATTTTGCTACGGCTGGCCATGCTTTCCACCTGGCTACCACAACCCCGGCCACCAGCTCTGCACCCTCCGCTGCAACTTGCCCATGCCCCCCCCCCGCTTCTCCTTCACACAAATCCAGACAGCTGATGTTCTAAAAGAGCTGCAAAATCTGGACCCCTACAAATCATCTGGGCTAGACAATCTGGACCCTTTCTTTCTAAAACTAGCTGCCGAAATTGTCGCAACCCCTATTACTAGCCTGTTCAACCTCTCTTTCGTAACGTCTGAGATCCCCAGAGATTGGAAAGCTGCCGCGGTCATCCCCCTCTTCAAAGGGGGTGACACTCTAGATCCAAACTGTTACAGACCCATATCCATCCTGCCCTGCCTTTCAAAAGTTTTTGAAAGCCAAGTCAACAAACAGATCACCGACCATTTCGAATCCCACCGTACCTTCTCCGCTATGCAATCCGGTTTCCGAGCTGGTCATGGGTGCACTTCAGCCACGCTCAAGGTCCTAAACGATATTATAACCGCGATCGATAATAGACAGTACTGTGCAGCCGTTTTCATTGACCTGGCCAAGGCTTTCGACTCTGTCAACCACCGCATTCTTATTGGCAGACTAAATAGCCTTGGTTTCTCAAATGACTGCCTCGCCTGGTTCACCAACTACTTCTCAGATAGAGTTCAATGTGTCAAATCGGAGGGCCTGTTGTCTGGACCTATGGCAGTCTCTATGGGGGTGCCACAGGGTTCAATTCTTGGGCCGACTCTTTTCTCTGTGTATATCAATGACGTCGCTCTTGCTGCTGGTGACTCTCAGATCCACCTCTACGCAGACGACACCATTTTGTATACATCTGGCCCTTCGTTGGACACTGTGTTAACAAACCTCCAAACGAGCTTCAATTCCATACAACACTCCTTCAGTAGCCTCCAACTGCTCTTAAACACTAGTAAAACTAAATGCATGCTCTTCAACCGAACGCTGCTTGCACCCGCCCACCCGACTAGAATCACTACTCTCGACGGGTCTGACCTAGAGTATGTGGACAACTACAAATATCTAGGTGTCTGGTTAGACTGTAAACTCTCCTTCCTGACTCACATTAAGAATCTCCAATCCAAAGTTAAATCTAGAATCGGTTTCCTATTTCGCAACAAAGCCTCCTTCACTCATGCTGCCAAACATGCCCTCGTAAAACTGACTATCCTACCGATCCTTGACTTCGGCGATGTCATTTACAAAATAGCCTCCAACACTCTACTCAGCAAATTGGATGTAGTCTATCACAGTGCCATCCGTTTTGTCTCCAAAGCCCCATATAATACCCACCACTGTGACCTGTACGCTCTTGTTGGCTGGTCCTCACTACATATTCGTCGCCAAACCCACTGGCTCCAGGCCATCTATAAATCACTGCTAGGCAAATCCCCGCCTTATCTTAGCTCATTGGTCACCATAGCAACACCCACCCGTAGTCTGCGCTCCAGCGGGTATATCTCACTGGTCATCCCCAAAGCCAACACCTCCTTTGGCCGCAATTCCTTCCAGTTCTCTGCTGCCAATGACTGGAACAAATTGCAAAAATCTCTGAAGCTGGAGACACTTATCTCCCTCACTAACTTTAAGCATCAGTTGTCAGAGCACCTTACCGATCACTGCACCTGTACACAGCCCATCTGAAATTAGCCCGCCCAACTACCTCATCCCTATATTGTTATTTATTTTGCTCATTTGTACCCCAGTATCTCTATTTGCACATCATCTCTTGCACATCTATCATTCCAGTGTTAATACTAATTGTAATTATTTTGCACTATAGCCTATTTTATTGCCTTACCTCCATAACTTGCTAAATTTGCACACACTGTATATCATATGTATTTCTGTTGTATTTTTGACTTTGTTTTGTTTTACCCCATATGTAACTCTGTGTTGTTTTTATAGCACTGCTTTGCTCTATCTTGGCCAGGTCGCAGTTGTAAATGAGAACTTGTTCTCAACTGGTTTACCTGGTTAAATAAAGGTGAAATAAAAAATAAAATAAAATAAAAAGCGCAGAGGGGGTCCATGGCTCCTAGGATGCCCATAGCGCCGAGGGGGTCCATGGCTCCTAGGATGCCCATAGCGCCGAGGGGGTCCATGGCTCCTAGGATGCCCATAGCGCCGAGGGGGTCCATGGCTCCTAGGATGCCCATAGCGCCGAGGGGGTCCATGGCTCCTAGGATGCCCATAGCGCCGAGGGGGTCCATGGCTCCTAGGATGCCCATAGCGCCGAGGGGGTCCATGGCGCCGAGGGGGCCCATAGCGCTGAGGGGGTCCATGGCGCCTCAGACTAGTGTCAATGTGACTTGCGAGTATAAATGTGCGGTTACAGAGAAATCCATGGTTGTAAATCGTATAGACTTCATATCCTTCTTGTGTAGAGCAATCAACATGGGCCATATGAAAAAGAGCAGGACTGCACGAATAATGGAAGTAGTGAAGGCAGCCCAAGAAATACTAAACATTACTGAAGTTTCAGTACCCTTGATACGTCAGATGATCAAGAACAGAATAAATAGTTATTATGGGTTTTATCATCATCCTTCAATTGAATGCTAGAAGCCTTATTGCTAATTGATTTAGAGATTAAACCTGATGTGATATGTGTTTAAGAAACGTGGCTTAGATCACATCTTGATTTGATTATTCCTGGTTATTGTTCAATCAGATCTGATAGAGCAACTGGTCTTGCGTATCGTAATATACAGTATCTGTTCCACCTGAATATGAATGTGTGATGGTGGAAGTCTACAGTACAGGTAGTAATATTAAGCAGTTCAAGTTCTACAGTCCTTGTTGACAACTATCTGTAGCGATGATTGATGAAATATCAGGATACTTGGGTTCTAGAGAGATATGGTGTGGCGACTTTAATGCACATACAGTGGGGGAAAAAAGTATTTAGTCAGCCACCAATTGTGCAAGTTCTCCCACTTAAAAAGATGAGAGAGGCCTGTAATTTTCATCATAGGTACACGTCAACTATGACAGACAAAATGAGAATAAAAAATCCAGAAAATCACATTGTAGGATTTTTTATGAATTTATTTGCAAATTATGGTGGAAAATAAGTATTTGGTCAATAACAAAAGTTTCTCATTTTGTTATATACCCTTTGTTGGCAATGACGTTTTCTGTAAGTCTTCACAAGGTTTTCACACACTGTTGCTGGTATTATGGCCCATTCCTCCATGCAGATCTCCTCTAGAGCAGTGATGTTTTGGGGTTGTCGCTGGGCAACACAGACTTTCAACTCCCTCCAAAGATTTTCTATGGGGTTGAGATCTGGAGACTGGCTAGGCCACTCCAGGACCTTGAAATGCTTCTTACGAAGCCACTCCTTCGTTGCCCGGGCGGTGTGTTTGGGATCATTGTCATGCTGAAAGACCCAGCCACGTTTCATCTTCAATGCCCTTGCTGATGGAAGGAGGTTTTCATTCAAAATCTCACGATACATGGCCCCATTCATTCTTTCCTTTACACGGATCAGTCGTCCTGGTCCCTTTGCAGAAAAACAGCCCCAAAGCATGATGTTTCCACCCCCATGCTTCACAGTAGGTATGGTGTTCTTTGGATGCAACTCAGCATTCTTTGTCCAACAAACACGACGAGTTGAGTTTTTACCAAAAAGTTATATTTTGGTTTCATCTGACCATCTGACATTCTCCCAATCCTCTTCTGGATCATCCAAATGCACTCTAGCAAACTTCAGACGGGCCTGGACATGTACTGGCTTAAGCAGGGGGACACGTCTGGCACTGCAGGATTTGAGTCCCTGGCGGCGTAGTGTGTTACTGATGGTAGGCTTTGTTACTTTGGTCCCAGCTCTCTGCAGGTCATTCACTAGGTCCCCCCGTGTGGTTCTGGTATTTTTGCTCACCGTTCTTGTGATCATTTTGACCCCACGGGGTGAGATCTTGCGTGGAGCCCCAGATCGAGGGAGATTATCAGTGGTCTTGTATGTCTTCCATTTCCTAATAATTGCTCCCACAGTTGATTTCTTCAAACCAAGCTGCTTACCTATTTCAGATTCAGTCTTCCCAGCCTGGTGCAGGTCTACAATTTTGTTTCTGGTGTCCTTTGACAGCTCTTTGGTCTTGGCCATAGTGGAGTTTGGAGTGTGACTGTTTGAGGTTGTGGACAGGTGTCTTTTATACTGATAACAAGTTCAAACAGGTGCCATTAATACAGGTAACGAGTGGAGGACAGAGGAGCCTCTTAAAGAAGAAGTTACAGGTCTGTGAGAGCCAGAAATCTTCCTTGTTTGTAGGTGACCAAATACTTATTTTCCACCATAATTTGCAAATAAATTCATTAAAAATCCTACAATGTGATTTTCTGGATTTTCTTTCTCAATTTGTCTGTCATAGTTGACGTGTACCTATGATGAAAATTACAGGCCTCTCTCATCTTTTTAAGTGGGAGAACTTGCACAATTGGTGGCTGACTAAATACTTTTTTTCCCCCACTGTAATAGTTTATGGGGAAGCGCACATACAGATGCTAATAGTACTATTGTGTAAGATATGATGGTAGCAAGACCATTAGTATATCTTAATGATGGATGTGGTACAAGATTGGATATCAGAGGGGTTACATCCTGCCTGGGCCTCACAATGGCTTCTAACTCTATTGCAGCCATGCGTGAATGTAATGGATGATTCTACTGTTGGGAGTGGCCATTTCCCGATTTGATGTACCATGAACTTTAATGTCGCTATTCCAGATAAGGTACCATTCAGAAGATGGTGCTTTCCTAAAGCGGACTGGGGAAAGTTTGGAGAACATTGTTTGAAGTCTGTTGGAGAGTTGTCTTTAGAGAGGCCTGTTGATGTATGTGCTGCCTCTGTCACTTCTCTGATTTTGAGTGCAGCGAACTTACATATACCAGTGAGTGAAGTGGGTAAGGAAAGAAAGGTGGTTCCTTGGTGGACTGACGAGTGCTCTGCGGCTATTCGAGGAAAGAAATAGGGCCAACAGAGTATTATGTAGGACTTTGACTCCTGAAAATCCAGATCTTTGTCCCCATGTGCAGTTAAACCGTAGTCTGGCTTTTTTATGGCGGTTTTGGAGCAGTGGCTTCTTCCTTGCTAAGCGGCCTTTCAGGTTATGTCGATATAGGACTTGTTTTACTGTGGATATAGATACTTTTGTACCTGTTTCCTCCAGCATCTTCACAAGGTCCTTTGCTGTTGTTCTGGGATTGATTTGCACTTTTCGCACCAAAGTACGTTCATCTCTAGGAGACAGAACGCGTCTCCTTCCTGAGCGGTATGACGGCTGCGTGGTCCCATGGTGTTTATACTTGCGTACTATTGTTTGTACAGATGAACGTGGTACCTTCAGGCATTTGGAAATTGCTCCCAAGGATGAACCAGACTTGTGGAGGTCTACCATTTTGTTTCTGAGGTCTTGGCTGATTTCTTTTGATTTTACCATGATGTCAAGCAAAGAGGCACTGGGTTTGAAGGTAGGCCTTGAAATACATCCACAGGTACACCTCCAATTGACTCAAATGATGTCAATTAGCCTATCAGAAGCTTCTAAAGCCATGACATCATTTTCTGGAATTTTCCAAACTGTTTAAAGGCACAGTCAACTTAGTGTATGTAAACTTCTGACCAACTGGAATTGTGATACAGTGAATTATAAGTGAAATAATCTGTATGTAAACAATTGTTGGAGAAATGACTTGTGTCATGCACAAAGTAGATGTCCTAACCGACTTGCCAAAACTATAGTTTGTTAACAAGAAATTTGTGGAGTGGTTGAAAAACGAGTTTTAATGACTCCAACCTAAGTGTATGTAAACTTCCGACTTCAACTGTGTGTATATGTATGTATGTATGTATGTATGTGTGTATGTGTGTGTGTGTGTGTGTGTGTATGTATGTATGTATGTATTCCCAGTGATGTGAAATCCATAGATTAGGTCCTAGTGAATTTATTTCAATTGACTGGATTTTCTTATATGAACTGTAATTAGTAAAATCTTTGAAGTTGTTGCAATGGTGTTTCAAATTTTTGTTCAGCTGGCTGTTGAAAGATGGTTGATTGACTGGGGATTTAAATGATCAGTGGCGAAGTCTTGCTGTATGTTCTTCTCAAAGAAGAAAGTTGCTGATAAACAGTTTTTGTATGGACAGCCTATGGTTAGGGGTTTCTACGTTCAAGTATTTGGGTCTGTTGTTCAATGAGAGAGATACATGGAAAGATAATGTAATAAATGTTGAAACAAAGTGTAAGAAGGTGGTGAATCTTATGCGCTCAGTCTCTGGTTATGGTAGAAGCTTTTATCGTTTTTTACCAATATTTACAGATGGTTCCAAGGAGCAGGCATTTACATTCCTCAATTTGATGTGGAGATACAGTACTTGTATCATGTTGTTTTTAAAAGCTCTTACATATATATTCACAATAAAAAAAATACGTGCTTGATTTTGCCATCTCCTTCAGGCTCAACGGCAGCCTCCCAGAACACCACCTCCATATTTGGACCAGGAAGAAGTCTAGTTCCACAGGGGCCAACGATGACCCTCAGGAGCCTGGCTCCAGTGCCCCAGCCACCCCCTGCCCAGCCCCAACCCCAGGCCCCCAGCAGTTCCAACTCAGCCAACGCAGTGCGTGTGTCCTGCTCAGGCTGCTCTAAGATCCTGCTGCGAGGTCAGACTGCCTTCCAACGTAAAGGATCCACCCAGCTCTTCTGCTCCACTGTCTGCCTCACTGGGTTCACCCTGCCTGTCATCAAACTGAGAACCTGCTACCAGTGCCTCAAGTGAGTCACTCAGCCACTGACTCAACTCAACCCCAACTTACACTCATTCTACTGTCATCCAAGTTCCAGCTGAACTGTGGTGGTGCTCCAAATAACTTTTTCATTTTTTGGTCTTCCCCATTACTGTAAAATTCTCTTAACTCTATTGCTGTTTATAACTATTTATCTCTGTCTATAACTCATTTTATAACTCTTAATATCTTCAGGGAGATCGAGGACCCCAAGGATGTGATCAGTGTGATTACAGACAATAACCTGAAGGATTTCTGTAGCCAGTTCTGCCTCTCCGTGTTCAACCGCAGGAGGAAACCAGGGCCTCTCTCCATGCCTTCTGTCCAAGAGCCCGCCGCCCCGAGATGCAGTATGTGCAAGAAGAGCGACACGGTAAGGGACATGAGACAACCACTGGTTCGACTAGTTCACTTCCAGTTTTAACTCAATCTCAGGTGAGGTTACATGAGGAAATGTTTTATTTTACTTGATCATTTTGCCTGATTTGAGGATCCCCCCCACCCACCTCTCTCTCTCAGATTCAGCACGAGGTGACTCACCAGGGCTCCTTGCACAAACTGTGCAGTGATGAGTGTTTCATGCGCTTCCGCTCCTCCCACAACCTGGTCATAAATGTTTGTGAGAGCTGTGGCGAGTACTGCGCCAGTGCTGACAGGAACTGCCGGAGACTCCGAGTAGAGGGCGTCACCATAAAGTTCTGCAGTCCTACGTGTATTAGCACTTATAAACAGGTAAGCACGTACAGTCAAGTAGTACACACAGACGGTCCTCCATAGAAACCGTACTCCACTTTTGAAAACTGTCTGGCCTTGGGGATATGTTTCCCAATGCTGGGCCCCGAGTTAAAAAGTTTGGGAACCCCTGTTCTATCAGATAGTCAGAGGAGGACGGGCCGCCCCTCTGAGGCTGGTTCCTCTCAATGTTTCTCTATGAATAAATGATTGATATTACACACATTTGTCTCACTGAGTCCCCGTCTCACCTCTGCCATTATCAAATCTCTCCCTAGTTTTATCCACTCTTTCCCATTGTTCCTGTATGACAGACGACCACCAAGGTGATGCCGTGCGGACGCTGCCGTGACCTGAGACTCATGTCTGACATGTTGGAGAGCACCGACTCAGAGGGCAAGGTGGAGCTCTTCTGCAACTCCATCTGTGTCAATAAAAGCTGGCCTCAGAACGAACTGTCAGGTAGCATTGACTTTACCATGGTATAAGCGGAAGTCTGCAAATGTATTTTATTTATCAATATTTTAGGCCTTATGTTGTCTGAAATCTGTTTTTGACTGCTAGAATCTTTTCTGGGATGCATCTGCATTTCCATTCAGTCAAATAATTATTAGTCAGAGTGGAAAAACCCTGCAATGGCTTCTGGACTAGGCTCGGTCAGCAGTTTTCCCCCACAAGCCAGCAAATAATGAAGCTTTTCAACTAATATTTTGCCATGAAATTGGTATTAAATTATATTTGCAGTGGTATTAAAAAATATTAAAAAGTCATTTCTCTACCATAAGCCGCCTCCAACGTAGTTTTAGAGAATTTGGCAGTACGTCCAACCGGCCTCACAACCGCAGACCACTTGTAACCACACCAGCCCAGGACCTTCTTCACCTGTGGGATCTGGTGCGGAGGAGTATTTCTGGAAAATTTTCGGGAAAAACTAATTCTGATTGGCTGGACCTGGCTCCCCAGTGGGTCGGACTGGCTCCCATGGCTGTGCCCCTGCCCAGTCGTGAAATCCATAGATTAGGGCCTAATGAAGGATTTCTGTAACTCCGCAAAATCGTTTAAATTGTTGCATTTACATTTTTGTTCAGTATACATGATTGTACAGAGAACGTTTTATTATTAATTTGTATCCAATTTTTTATAGATATCTACAGTTTATTACTGAACTGTTTTAAATATGGCTTGCGGTAGGCTCAGCCCATCTGTGACCTTGCTGACTAGTGTGTGGAAAATTGCCATTCTATAATAACGTCCCCTTGTTGTCACACACAGGAACGGCATTCCCATGTACCTACTGCAAAGTGAAGGCTGTCTCTCAGTACCACCTGGCCATGGTGGACGGCAGCATCCGCAACTTCTGCTCCTACACCTGCGTCAAGACCTTCCGGGTGCTCATTGGTTAAATGGATTGAAACAGATTGTATATTACATATGATCTGTGCTTTCTGTGTGTGTATATTATAGACTGTTCTGTCTCTGTTAGGTCGATTTGAGAGGAATTTAATGTATTTTCTAGCATGCGTTTAGGTATATTTTACATAATTATGCAGAACCATACATAAAATTAAGATACCAGTTAGCCTTTTATATAATGGATTTTACAGAATACATGATATGGCTCTTTTAATGTGCTCTCCTTCGATGTAATCTGGTAGGAGGCCGAAGGCAGCCAGCTTCCACCCCAGAAGGGCCAGATGAACGGCTCCTCATCCACTGGTCCTCCCCCTCCAGCACCACCCCAGGGCTACTTCCATCCTTATCCACCGTCCTGGGTCCCCACCACTGGCCACCTATACGCCCCAACCCAGACCTCTGCTCCACCTCTACCCTATGGAGCCGCTCCAGGCTTGGCTAGGGCCTATGGTGCAGGGCAGCGTCAACCAGGGCCGTCCATGGCCCCCCCCCACTCCTCCTCCTCTACCTCCACCCCCAAGGGGCATGTGAAACTCTCCTGCCATCAGTGCCCTCAGCAGTTCCGCTGGAAACCTGAGCTCTACGAGTACAATGTAGGTACCTCAATCTCGTTCCTGAACCTCGTTGTACTTATCTGAGGTGTCATGGGGATTGTAGTTTTGTGATGGGGATTTAAGTTTTGTCTAATGCTCTTGTGATGGGGGTTGTAGTTTTTGTCTAATGCTCTTGTGATGGGGGTTGTAGTTTTTGTCTAATGCTCTTGTGATGGGGGTGGTCGTTTTTGTCTAATGCTCTTGTGATGGGGGTTGTAGTTTTATCTGTCTTTATCTGCTGTTGTGTTGTGTTCTTTCAGGGTCGCACCATGCAGTTCTGTTCCAAACCTTGCTGTTTTGAGTTTAAGAAACAGAGTAATGTCATAGTGAGGTGTGAATACTGCAAACTGGAGAAGTTGGTCAAAGAAGTCATAAAATATGACTTAATCGACCGGCCCTTCTGCAGCGAGAGTGAGTACCGAATCCCCTTCCTCTCACGCTCTTTCACCTAGTTATTTTCCCTCTTTCACCTAGTCCTTTTCCCTCTTCAGGGGTTAAAGTTCACCGTCACTGACAGATTTCCATCATATGGATTCTGGAGCAGTCATTTTTTTAATCAGTGGGGGGGCGGTACTAGTTTGGACATGACACAGCCTAATACAGACAATAAATGTATACTAAAATGTTTTATTATATACACATAGAGTGCATTCGGTAAGTGTTCAGACCCCTTGACTTTTTCCACATTTTGTTACATTACAGCCTTATTCTAAAATTGATTTATTAAAATTGATTTATTTTTAATACATTTGCAAAAATTTCTAAAAACCTTTTTTGCTTTGTCATTATGGGGTATTGTGTGAGGGGAAAAAACAATTTAATGAATTTTAGAATAAGGCTGTAAAGTAGCAAAATGGGGAAAAAGTAAAGGGGTCTGAATACTTTCTAAATGCACTCTGTTAAGCTGTGTGCACAGAATTGACATGCATGATTGTTGCTAATGCTCCGATGTTCAGATGAAGGGAATGAAATGGTCTATAATGCCCACCACCGTCAGACAGTGGTGTGTAGCCTGCTGTAGCTGCTCACTTTATCACTCAGGTTAGAATGCAACTTTCTAGTGCCACTATTTTTGCCATGTGATGTTGTAGGGGAGGGAAACGTATTCTGACAAGCAGTCAGTGCACAGCAATTCTTAATGCAATCGCGGGAAAACACTTTTGAAAGCAGTTTTGTCAAATGTATTTTGAAAGCAGTTTTGTTCTTTGTTAAAAGAGTTCGGTCTTTATTTATTTACTCCTTCAATTGCGCGAGTGGCATCGTTTTACAAATGCAGTTTTACAACTGGGTTTCAAGCAGCTGCACAACAATAGTGATGGGTCTTTAGCAACAAGCAGCTTTTTTTGAATGGTTCTTTTTGGTGAACTTCTGGAACCGAATCGTGAAAGCTGTCGATTTGGCTCCCTGATTTTCATACTGTTAGTTACTATAGCTTTTTGAGTTGCAGACATCAATTATCTGCAGATAAATTATAAAAACATTCTCTAAAGATGGTAGTTCCTCAGTGCAGGAACAATATAGTGAGGAGAGAGCCTCATTCTGGTCCACGTAAAATGTTGTCTTAATTTTTTGTTCAGGCCATCTAATAATTTGGTCAAGTAAAAATGTATTTTAACTCACATTTCACTATCTGACAATGGTAGGCAACGTTTTAGGCTTTAAATTAGATACTTACAATTTGTTCATGGTTTTAGGCAGAGAAGAAGAGGAATATATATATATATATATTTTTTTTTTATGCCAGCCCCCGTCCCCGCAGGCTTTTGCCTTTTCGTAGGCCATCATTGTAAATAAGATTTGTTCTTAACTGACTTGCCTAGTTAAACAAAGGTGTAAAAAAAAGTATATGTCTCTCTCCAGCAGGTGGCGTTGTTTTGCCCACCATGCAAGGAGTTTTTGTATGGAGTTCAATGAGTGTCGAATTTGGTCAACGAATAAATGAATGGCTTATTTGCAACGTGAGGTTTATTTGATCAAATAGAAGTTTCGTAATGCTTAAGTTGTTACGAGTGTACTGATAAAGTAGGACACGTGACATCCCGGCAACTTTGAGAAAAAACACTAGGAGTTGTCTCGAGATGGGTATGCATATTCATGGTGTGAGGCTAGTAGCATAGCATCTCTCTTCGTTGAATACAGGCAGTTGACGTCAACAACCGTCATCGAATATTCAAAAAAGCAACAAAAATGAGATGTATCCATAAATCCAAAGAAAGGGTAGGCGGGAGCTAGACAGCCAGCCGTGCCACTTTGTGGACAATGACTCCCATTGTTAGGGGACGGAGATACAGTACATGTATCTTGTCAGTATATCCATAATCTTTGTTTTAGGTCAATTTCATTTACATACATTTTAGTCATTTAGCAGACGCTCTTATCCAGAGCGACTTACAGTTAGTGAGTGCATACATTTTTTTTTCTTCTCATTACTGAAGGAAGAGCCGTCTGGGAGCCAAATAAACAGTTATTTTAGGTGAACGTAGCCAAGTGATCCGGCTCACAGAAAAGACTGGGAATTACCATCACTACACAACAGCTGAAAGGGGACAATTTCGTCTTAAAAGGGCAATGACATACTTTGTAATAATTTGAATAATTTGAATAAAGTGAATAATAATGAGTAAATATTTATATATATTTATTATTTAAAAAATAAGAAGAAGAAGAAGAAGAAGAAGAAGAACCAGCAACAACTAGGATGTTGTGTCCAATGGGCTAAATGCAGATAGACAAAGCCACTGTTTCAGCCTATGTTCATTTTATAGCCACTATGCTGCATCAGTTGAGCTACAGGGGATAATGCACATTGCTAATAGCACATCTGATAATATAGACCAGGGGTGTCAAACGTACGGCCCGCGGGCCGGATCAGGCCCGCAAACGGGTTTAATCCGGCCCGCGAGATGATCTAAAAAATAAATTTTTTTTTTTTTTTTTTTTTTTTTTTAAGTATAAAAATGCGCTGCAATTTTTCAATTAAATAAACTGCTGTTCCAATTGCGTCCACTGGATGGCGCAATAGCAATTGTGTTAAGCAAGCAAACTGTTTATACCGGGGCAGAGCAAGTAGGTCAAGCACGTGCAGCCAATGAGCTACTTTGTTTTGCCCGCGATATTTATTACGGCTTCTACTTTTAACATTATGTGCTTTGGCACCCTCATTGCCCCAATATGTCTCTGTCAAAAAAGAGAAAAGTGGACGCAGAGTGCAGAGTGTTCCAAGAAAAATGGTCATCCTATTTAATCACGGAATTGAATGGGAAAGCTGTATGTTTGGTGTGTTCAGAGCATGTTGCACTGCTGAAAGAATATAACCTTCGTCGCCACTATGTGAGTCTTCATGCCGACAAATATGACAACTTTCAAGGACAGCGGAGATGAGAGAAGGTGAATGAACTGTTGGCGGGTCTGAAGAAACAGCAGTCTGTGTTTACTCACAGCCGAGACATCAGTGACGCTGCAGTGAAAGCTAGCTACCTCATTGCTAATGAAATCACAGTGGCTTCAAAACCATTTAGTGAGGGTGAATTTGTAAAAACATGCATGATGAAGGCAGCGGAGATTGTGTGCCCTGAAAAGCGGCAGGCTTTTGCAAATATCAGCCTGACAAGAAACACAGTTGCAGACAGGATTTCCGATCTTTCAGTGGATTTGGACAGCCAGTTGAAGCAAAAAGTAAAGTCATTTATTGCGTTTTCGGTTACAATTGATGAAAGCACAGACATTACTGGCCATTTTTTCATCCGTGGAGTTGATGACACATTGACCGTCACCGAGGAGTTCGTGGAGTTGGTGCCGATGACAGATACAACGACAGCAGCTGATATTTTTACCGCACTCGTCGGCGCGCTGGACAGGGTCGGAGTGGACTGGTCCCGCGCTGTCAGCCTGGCTACAGATGGTGCGCCCTCAATGATCGGGAAAAAAGCAGGCGTTGTGACAAAGTTCAGAGAGAAAGTGCAATCTGCAAATGGAGGACGTGATTTTTTGACTTTTCACTGTATTTTGCACCAGGAGGCTTTGTGTTGCAAGTCATTAAAGATGGATAACGTCATGAAGGTGGTCATCCAAACTGTTAATTTCATCCGATCCAGAAGCCTGAATCACCGTCAGTTTGACAGCCTTCTCAGAGAGAAAGACCACATCTATGGCCTGCCATACCACACTGAGGTAAGATGGTTAAGCCGAGGTGCTGTGCTGAGGCGTTTCTTTGATTTACGAGAAGAAATTGAACAGTTCATGGAAGAAAAGGGCAAACCAGTGTTAGAATTTCATTCCGCAGAATGGATGCCGGACCTTGCATTTATGGTGGATGTTACAGAGCACCTGAATAACTTGAACAAACAGCTGCAAGGGCGCAACAAAGTTGTCACGCAGTATTATGACAGCATACGTTCTTTCAAGTTGAAGCTGTCATTGTGGGAGACGCAACTTGCCGGTGGTGATGCAGCTCACTTCCCCTGTCTGAAAAATGTGTGCGCGACCCAACATGTGGCAGACATGAAGCGGTTCAAAGATAAAATAACTGGACTGTTACGGGAGTTTGAGCAACGCTTTCAGATTTATGTTTATATGTTTTTATGTTGATGTGCTATTGTTTTTAATTTATTTTATTTTATTTGTATATTTAACCTATTCTTGACTCTGTGGTTCTTGCACTTGTTTGGGGAACAGGATTTCATTATTTTTATCTACATTTCTGCCTGAGAAATGACACCCTGATATAGTTCTGTGATCTGTGATATACTTCTGTGAATCACTGAGGCATTGTGTGTTTGTGTGTTCTTTGTCCTCAGAACTTTCAAATAACTTGAGGTGTTTTATGATTAATAGTGATGTTGTGCTTTTGGACACTGTCCTCAGGCTCCAGCTTTATGTTTATATGTTTTTATGTTGATGTGCTATTGTTTTTAATTGTTTTTATTTTATTTGTATATTTAACCTATTCTTGACTCTGTGGTTCTTGCACTTGTTTGGGGAACAGGATTTCATTATTTGTATCTACATTTCTGCCTGAGAAATGACACCCTGATATAGTTCTGTGATCTGTGATATACTTCTGTGAATCACTGAGGCATTGTGTGTTTGTGTGTTCTTTGTCCTCAGAACTTTCAAATAACTTGAGGTGTTTTATGATTAATAGTGATGTTGTGCTTTTGGACACTGTCCTCAGGCTCCAGCTTTATGTTTATATGTTTTTATGTTGATGTGCTATTGTTTTTAATTGTTTTTATTTTATTTGTATATTTAACCTATTCTTGACTCTGTGGTTCTTGCACTTGTTTGGGGAACAGGATTTCATTATTTTTATCTACATTTCTGCCTGAGAAATGACACCCTGATATAGTTCTGTGATCTGTGATATACTTCTGTGAATCACTGAGGCATTGTGTGTTTGTGTGTTCTTTGTCCTCAGAACTTTCAAATAACTTGAGGTGTTTTATGATTAATAGTGATGTTGTGCTTTTGGACACTGTCCTCAGGCTCCAGCTTTATGTTTATATGTTTTTATGTTGATGTGCTATTGTTTTTAATTGTTTTTATTTTATTTGTATATTTAACCTATTCTTGACTCTGTGGTTCTTGCACTTGTTTGGGGAACAGGATTTCATTATTTGTATCTACATTTCTGCCTGAGAAATGACACCCTGATATAGTTCTGTGATCTGTGATATACTTCTGTGAATCACTGAGGCATTGTGTGTTTGTGTGTTCTTTGTCCTCAGAACTTTCAAATAACTTGAGGTGTTTTATGATTAATAGTGATGTTGTGCTTTTGGACACTGTCCTCAGGCTCCAGCTTTATGTTTATATGTTTTTATGTTGATGTGCTATTGTTTTTAATTGTTTTTATTTTATTTGTATATTTAACCTATTCTTGACTCTGTGGTTCTTGCACTTGTTTGGGGAACAGGATTTCATTATTTTTATCTACATTTCTGCCTGAGAAATGACACCCTGATATAGTTCTGTGATCTGTGAAACAGTTCTGTTAATCACTGAGGCATTGTGTGTTTGTGTGTTCTTTTTCTTTAGAATTTTCAAATAAACTTGACGTGTTTTATGATTAATAGTGATGTTGTGCTTGTACTATTTTGGACACTGTCCTCAGGCTCCAGCTTTATGTTGTATGTTGATCGTATTAAAACAAAGAAAACAATCTGAAGTTGTTGTTTTTAAGTTATATATACCATGATTTTTCCGGTCCGGCCCACTTGGGAATAGATTTTCCTCCATGTGGCCCCTGAGCTAAAATGAGTTTGACACCCCTGATATAGACCATGCATAGGCTATATGCATGGTCAAATATGTTAAAATACATTTTATCAATATGTTTTTGGGTTCATTTCTGGAGGTGGAAATTATATTTTAGATGGTGTCAGCATCATTTTATTTTCATTCATTTTGTATATCAAAATTATCCCGGGGAGGACCCCACACCCCCTAAGCAAGGGGACTGGAATTGGTCAAACTCGCAGTTTAATGCATGTACAAAATGATCCTCTTTCCCTAAAAGCATGATTATCATGGCTTTCTTACATGAAAGGGAGGTTAACTTGGCCCCAGACAATGGATCTGACATCGACTTAAGTTTCAGTCATGGGATTTTTTCTTTCTTTAACCCCTGTCATTTTCTCTCTTTTATCTCGTACACCAACAAACCTCATCATATTTATCTGTGTCGTCTGTGTGTGTCTCTGTAACAGGCTGTAAGCTGCTCTTCAAGCATGACATGAAGGGGCCATGGCGGATGTGTGCCTACTGTGCAGACATCAGCCCCAAGATGATCCACAACCACTTTGGTGGCAAGATGCAGGAGTTCTGCAGGGAGGCGTGCATGTCAAATTACACTATTCTTTTCTATGAGGTCAGAGCTAAAATCATCTGTATGCATGTTGACCTCTGGGGCTGTATGTAGCAAGCATCTCAGAGTAGGAGTGCTGATTTAGGATCATTTTAACATGGACAGCAGGGACCTGATCCTAGATTAGCGCTCCTACTCTGAGACGCTTTATGAATTTGGCCCCTGGTCTCTCACTCTCTAGATTGATTACCTTACAACCACTTCCTGGTTTGATAACTGGGAGCTGTCTATGTAGTCCACAAATGGTTGAAGCCCTTTGAATTGCTGACCTGTTTGTTGTCCTTCCCTCCCCAGATGGCTAAGTGTGAGTGCTGCAGACGTCAAGGGAAAATGAAAGAGCAACTGAAGTGTTTTGGGGCTGTGAAGCACTTCTGTGCCCTGGAGTGTGTCATTCAGTACTGCTATCAGACCTTCCAGCAGCACCCTTGGACTAGCAACGGCACCACTGCTACACAGGGTACTACTAAATTAGATACTCAATTCAATTCCTTTTGAAATCTACTATCTGGTTGTCTGACGTATTGCTACATATCCGTTTAAATGACGGATTTAGGCATACTACTCAACATGTCTCTCATCTTTTCCCTTCTTTCTCCAACTGTAGGTCCATCCCAAACTCCATTCCCCTTCTCCAAGCCGGCTCCTGTCATTGCTGATGTTGTATCGTTGGCCACCTCTCCTGCTGGCCAGCCCCATGCTACGGCTGCCACTGCCCTCACAGGTAGCTAGCACACTCATCTAGAACACTGGCTAACACTGAACACGGTTAAGACATTGTGAAGAAGAGGTCTAGTAATATAAGCTTTGTAGTTAAGACTGTTTTTTTGTTTTGCTTGCAGGAGCTCTTCCTACGTCTAACTCTCATGGCAAGAGCCTGGGCGATGCGAGCACCCAGACGGATGCCATGAGGATCTTAGCCCGCCGGAGGATCATGAAGAACAAGGCCATCATCTGTAAACCGCTCATGCTGGACCAGCAGACCAGCTGCCAGATTCAGACGCAGACCACAGAGAAATCAATGGGTACAAAAACACCATCCAAAACAACACCCTGCAATTCTTGTAATTTGCTACTTTAAAAAACCATGTATATACTTTTATTATTTACAACGAACCAGCTACTTTTTAAGATGCCCCATCCATAAAGTTATAATATGTGCACATTATTTGTAAATCAGACCTTGCACTACATGTGCATAATATGTCCAGTTTGTTTAAAGTGTTAGTAATGACCTCTGATCATCATCCTCTCTCTCGTTGTTGATGTTATTGTTGTTTAGGGTTCGCAGAGACTGGGTTTACGTACACAGAGAACGGGGAGAAAGTGCGGTTGGTTGTGATGCCTGTTCCTGTGCCAGTCTTCATTCCAGTGCCCATGAACCTGTACAGCCAGTACACTCCTGTGCCCATGGGTATTCCTGTGCCTGTACGTCTGCTCTGCGTCCTCTCCTCATGCCCACATCCACTGTCTCTTTATATACCTCAGAGTAGATACTTTATTTTCAAATTTTCAACGAGAATTACCGGGAAGTACCCATCCCTGATGTCCTTAACTCACATGCCCCCACAAACACCCTTTTAATGGTCTGTTAACTTGGCTGGTTAAGACATATTATTCTGTTCCCTGTGCTCTCTGTCCAGGTGCCAGTGCCCATGGTAATACCCCCCTCGTTAAGCCGTTCAGAGCTCGAGGACAGGAAAGACGATGTTCCATGTCGGACCATGGCCGAGCAGGAGGACAGGAAAGACAAACCTGTCTCCCATGGAGGTCAAGAGAATAGTTTATACTCTGAGCTGTGGCTGTGTATCATGTATGAGAACGTTACTATCTTTATTGTTGCTTGGCACACCAGCCGACTGCTGCAATCTTGAACAGGTCTCTCTTGCAAAATAGATTTTACCTCCATAATGAGACTAACCTGTATTAATAGATAGGCACAGTGTTTGAAAAGCAACCTGTTAAACGAAAATCACTCTTTGGTGGAGGCTCTTACTGAACGGTTAGATAACATGTTGTCTGTCTGTGGTGTTTATCCACAGATCAAGGCAGCGCATACAGTGGAGACCTGGAGTCGGAGGCTGTGTCCACCCCCCACAGCTGGGGTGGAGAGGACGAGTCCACCTCCACATCCAACCCCCAGAGAGGGGCCGAGAGGCCTACCGACCACCCCAGCACAGCCCCCTCCTCCCCCAGCATGTTGGACCTGGAAGCTGACTACCCCCCTGGTGAGAAAGGTTCTGAGAGCATCAACATACATTTATGAGCTCTCCCATGTTCCCAGGTTTTATTTTGTGAAAAATATTTATTCAGACTTTATTTATACAGTTAAGTCCGTTAAGAACTAATTGTTATTTGCAATGATGAACTTGCAAATTCCCACAGATCACATTTGTATCATCTGTATAATTAAGCAATAAGGCCAGAGGGGGTGTGGTATATGGCCAATATACCACGGCTAAGGGCTGTTCTTATGCATGACGCAACGCGGAGTGCCTGGACACAGCCCTTAGCCGCGGTATGTTGGCCATATACCACAAACCCCCGAGGTGCCTTATTGCTATTATAAACTGGTTACCAATGTAATTAGAGCAGTAAAAATACATGTTTTGTCATACCTGTGGTGTACGGTCTGATATACCACGGCTGTAAGCCAATCAGCATTCAGGGCTCGAACAACCCAGTTTATGAAATGGTATGAATAAATTAATCTAAATAAAGTTTTTAATGTAAATATGTCAAATATTTCAATATGTTGGTAACCCGTTGTATAAAAGTGAAAGTGCCCTTGAAGCCGGTGTTTGGAGGATATATTTTCATGGTTTGCCGGCCCTCGACTTCATTTTGGGCCTAACAATACCCGTTCCAATATATCCCCCAAACACCAGCATCTCGGGCATCATCACTTCACTGTGGATTCCATGCTGTTTCAGAGTCGTTTGATCCTGATGCAGTGGAGGGGCAGAGACTGACTGTAAAGATCAGAAGACGCAAGAGACCCAGAGACGGCTTCCCTCCCAGTAAACGGGTATGTCAATGCTATAGGCTGTGTCCCAAATGGTACCCTATTTCCTTTATAGTGCACTATGTTTTGACCGTAAAAGTAGTGCACTATAAAGGGAATAGGGTGCCATTTGGGATGCACCCTTAGTCTACTGGTCACATGGGCTAGGTGATGGTAATATAACACTAGTAAAAAAGTAGTCGTATAGTAATATAATGGTAACATAACTAGTTAGTTAGGTAGAATGACCTCTATCACATCAGCGCCATTATTACTATTGACTGCAATAGGGTTGTGTTATTAGATAATAATGTCAAAGATATTATACAGTAAAAGTGGTTTCTTCTACTATGTTAATTGATCCAAATTTTTTCTCCTTTCCCTTTCTGTCGGCGGTTGTCTATATTGCAGAGTTGTAAGCGAAGTGGGACTATTGACATGGTGGAGCACACTGTTTCACTCCCTCCTGCCAGATCAAAACTCCATCACAAGTATGGGGTGAAAGCCTGGAAGAATTGGGTCCTGCAGAGGAACAAGCAGATTGACTGTGAATTTTCCAAAGACGCCTGTGAGTCAAATCTAACTGCACAGACCAATTTTAGGTCTTTGCTTATCATGTAAATTGATTGATTTGTTAATTAAAGTGTCTTGCAACATTTCAGATGCCCAGCCCATATGATCTTAAAACATGTACCTTGTGGTGTTCTGTGTCCCATCTTTCTCCATATGGCAGCTAAATCCATGGTTCCCTAATCTGGTGTTCTGTGTCCATGTTTCACCCTTACAGCAGCTAACTCCGTGGTTGTGAAGGAGAACGTGTTGCAGTGTAACTCCTTTGAGCTTAGTTACGGCCTCTGTCATTTCATCAGTGAGGTCCGTCGCCCCAACGGTCAGGCCTACCCTGCTGACAGCATCTTCTACCTCTGTCTGGGCATTCAGCAGGTATTGAGCCTCCATGTTACTCCCTAGTATTTTATTTGTATTCAATGCTTTGTTATCCAAGGTACTCCCAGTTAATCCTTATACCTTATTCCATACTATGTTATCCACTACGGTACCAGCTTTCCTGTCTGTCAGTGGCCATACTGGTTATAGTGATGTGATGTCAGCTAATACTGTTTGCAAATGTGGGATGTGACAAATTGAAGTTTTTCTTAATATTTAAACATTAATTTTTCTTTTTGGTTTTGTGTTAAAACGATAAGAAAAATTCATAAAATTCCATGTGAATTCACAATGCAGCTGTGCTGCTGCCAGCAATGTTTTTTTGTTTCACGGTGAGTCCCTTTGAGATGGTTAAGCATTGCACCTGTACTCTGCGGGTCCCGACAGAGATCATTGCAGCGTGGTTGTTCAGACAGACGACTGGGATTAATGATTTTTTTTGTCCTGCAGATTATTTAGAAACAGACCTCTTTCTGCTCTGTATGTGTCAGTCTACCTGTTGTATTAAAAACAAATCTTTGTCACATTATTCACACTCTCAGAATTCGCTGCTTCAACTTCAGTAGCCTTCCTCTCCTCTTCTAGTTGGGCGTGTGAGATCAAGTGTGCCTAGTATACAGTGCATTCGGAAAGTATTGAGACCCCTTGACTTTTCCCACATTTTGTTACGTTACAGCCTTATTATAAAATGGATTAAATTGTATTTTTCCCATCATCATTCTACACACAGTACCCCATAATGACAAAGCAAAAACTGGTTTTTAGAAAATTTTGCTAATGTAATAAATATTAAAAACGGAATTATCACATTTACGTAAGTACTCAGACCGTTTACTCAGTACTTTGTTGAAGCAAATTTGGCAGCGATTACAGCCTCAAGTCTTCTTGGGTATGACGCTACAAGCTTGGCACACCTGTATTTGGGGAGTTTCTCCCATTGTTCTCTGCAGATCCTCTCAAGCTCTGTCAGGTTGGATGGGGAGCGTCGCTGCACAGCTATTTTCAGGTCTCCAGAGATGTTCGATCAAGTCCAAGTCCGGGCTCTGACTGGGCCACTCAAGGACATTGTCCCGAAGCCACTCCTGCGTTGTCTTGGCTGTGTGCTTAGGGTCATTGTCCTGTTGGAAGGTGAACCTTCGCCCCAGTCTGAGGTCCTGAGCACTCTGGAGCAGGTTTTCATCAAGGATCTCTCTGTACTTTGCTCTGTTCATCTTTCCCTCGATCCTGACTAGTCTCCCAGTCCCTGCCACTGAAAAACATCCCCACAGCATGATGCTGCCACAATCATGCTTCACCGTAGGGATGGTGCCAGGTTTCCTCCAGACGTGACGCTTGGCATTCAAGCCAAAGAGTTCAATCTTGGTTTCATCAGACCAGAGAATGTTGTTTCTCATGGTCAGAGTCCTTTAGGTGCCTTTTGGCAAACTCCAAGCGGGCTGTCATGTGCCTTTTACTGAGGAGTGGCTTCCATCTGGCCACTCTACCATAAAGGCCTGATTGGTGGAGTGCAGCAGAGATGGTTGTCCTTCTGGAAGGAACTCTGTCAGTACCATCGGGCTCTTGGTCACCTCCCTGACCAAGGCCCTTCTCCCCTGATTGCTCAGTTTGGCCGGGCGGCCAGCTCTAGGTAGAGTCTTGGTGGTTACAAACTACTTCCATTTAAGAATGATGGAGGCCACTGTGCTCTTGGGGACCTTCAATGCTGCAGATATGTGCCTCGACACAATCCTGTCTCGTGGCTCTACGGACAATTCCTTTGACTTCATGGCTTGGTTTCTGCTCTGACATGCACTGTCAACTGTGGGACCTTATATAGACCGGTGTGTGCCTTTCCAAATCATGTCCAATCAATTGAATTTACCACAGGTGGACTCCAATCAAGTTGTAGAAACATCTCAAGGATGATCAATGGAAACAGGATGCACCTGAGCTCAATTTCGAGTCTCACAGCAAAGGGTCTGAATACTTATGTAAATAAGGTATTTCTGTTTTTGTTTTCTTATAAATTTGCAAACATTTCTAAAGACCTATTTCTGCTTTGTTATTATGGGGTATTGTGTGTAGATTGATGAGGAAGTGTTTATTTAATCCATTTTAGATTAAGGCTGTAACGTAACAAAATGTTGAAAAAGGGAAGGGGTCTGAATACTTTCCGAATGCACTGTATGTGTGGTCTCATTGAAATAGAGTAGGAGGCCTATGCATGGATGGCCAATCATTGGCAGGAAATGTACTTCCTAAATATGATTAGGCTATAGTTTACTTCATTGCCTAGAAATAAATATTGATCACCCACCCAAAATCGTCCCACTCCTAAAAGGTAGGCAAAACAAAATAATAGCTCAAGAGAAAGTGCAAGTCTCTAACTCAGCTCTCTTCAAACTAGCATAATATTATTGGTTGATATAGCCCAGTAATATGATAGTTTAATATAATCGATCTCTTAGGTTATTTTTGTGCGTATTGCCTATAGGGCGCAAAATTGGCTGGGACCATGGCTGGCAGGTGAGCTGCGTCACGTACCCCTAAAATAACATTGTGGGACTGCGGTTAAGTTCAAACCAGCTCTTGCTGTAGCGGGTGGGATTTGGAACAGAAAAGCTACGAGTGCAGGCGGGAGCGGGATGAAGCGATCAGCCACGCGCAGACCCCTAACCTGTACTACCCCTGCTGGGGCTCAATTCCACCTCGCAACGTTTGCATTTCCTTCTCATTTAACTTCTCCAAGTATTGCCATACAGGTCTTGGCTGCTGTCGCTTGCCTTTCTCTGCCATTTTCCCAGCTGTTAATGAAGTTGACGTGGTGGTGGAGAGCCTACTCCTAAATAATTCATTTCTCTACTCCTTGCACGTCGACTCCCATTTCTCAGTGTCAAGATTCAATATTTTTGGAATGGAGGAGACTGATTAGTTGCCATACATACCGACAACACTAACACTTGCATCTTTCATAACGATCTATCAAGGGATTGAGAGAGAGGGGAGGTGTACAGTATAGGCAGGTTGACCACCAGACAGACAGTCAGAACCGTGCACTGGGCCTATATATCAGCAATCAAAAGCTGTATCTCGCAATGGAATGCTGTGTATCGCAATTTCTTGGCTTGCAATGTCTCGCAACTTCAGTAAAGCAGGACCTATCATCAATGAATAGGCTAGGATATTGAGATGACTGAGATGCAACACTTCGCTCTCACACAGTCACACATAGTATCTGCGCATGTGCACGGGTTGTTCACAGCGTGGTAGCTAGAGCACCAAAACAGTGGAGGAGTTGAGCCTCGCACTTTTGCTATAGTAACTACTGCCCCAGGGGCAGCAATATCAATTGTATTTGCCCCTCTGCCAAATATGATATACAGTACCTAATGCCTCTCTCCCTCACCATCTCTCATTTGTCTCTACAGTATCTATTTGAGAATGGAAGGATAGAGAATATCTTCACTGATGTGCTCTACCACAAGTTCAGCATGGAGATGACTATGATGCTACATTACTGGAGACCTACCCTGCTGCCCAGCGGTAAGAATATTTCTAGTCTTCTTCTTCTCCTCTTCTACCCCTGTCCTATCCCTTTAATATCGTTGGACCATTTGAAACACATACACAATGATGACACATACCTCTGTCCCTCCTGCCACTGTTTCTCTCTAGGCTACCTGCATTCCCGTGTGGAGGAGGAGTACCTGTGGGACTGTAAACAGCTGGGAGCCTACTCCCCAATCGTGCTGCTCAACACCTTGCTCTTCTTTGGCACCAAGCTGTTCCAGTTCAAGACCCTGGGCCAACACAGACGCCTGTCCTTCACCAACTTCACCCACTGTACCAGGGTCACCAAGAACGGCAAGAACGCCTTCCTGAGGTTTAGGCCTGGTCAGGATGTGTCAGACACCCCCGGTGAGTTGAGTTCCGACCTCAATGGTGTTCAAGGCTATCACATTCTATTTTATTCTATTCAACTTTCTTTATCCCATTAGGAGCAATTAAGAAAGGCATTTCCATATCACTAGCAATAACATCATCCACAAGTTCCATAATGTGCTAGGTTGTGTGTTGATGTTTTCTCTTTTGTGCGCATATCCAGAGCTTCTAGCTTTGTCTGCCAAGAAAAGTCTGGATGAAGAGGATGGTGACATGGAGATGCCTGAGAACACGGAGAACCCACTACGCTGCCCTGTCAGACTCTATGAGTTCTACCTCTCCAAATGGTGATTACATAGTACATCTTTATTTCTGTTATATTTCACCCTTAAGTTTACTGTAGCTATATGACTTGTTTGAGATATTGACAATGTTTTAATGCCTCAATGTTTTGCAGTCTGAAAAAGAGAAATGGAGAATATTTCTGTAATGGCTGCCTGTTGATAATTCTATAATCCTCTTCCTTTGTCTCCACCTGCAGCTCAGAGTGGGTGAAGAATAGACCAGGCCTGTTCTACTTGCAGCCAGAGCTCTCCTGTCACTCCAACAGCCTGCTGTGGTATTCTGGCCAGCAACTAGAAGGCCCTGCGCTGGAAAGCATGCTCACACGCATCCTGGCAGTACGGGAGGTCCACCTGGATGAGCTTCCGCTGCATAATCACTATACTGAAGCCTCAGCAGCTTCCACAGATGATGACAATGACCGTTTGTAGTGGAAATAACCTACTCATGGAATGGCGCCCTATTCCCCATATAGTGCAGTGCACTACTTTTGAACAGGGCCCATAGGACTCAAAAGTAGTGCACTATATAGGGGATAGGGTGCCATTTGGGCACAACCATGGACAAGCCGCAAACATGCACAATCATGTAAAGACCCTATACGATAAGATACTGTCTGACACTTCATTTAGTTTTTCATTATGTCTTTGTTTCTAGATTCTAGTTTTAGATGATTAATGGAATTATGTCTAACAAAACATTAAAATACTGTTCATGTTACATTCGTTTCTGTTTGTTTTTCTAGTTTAATATAGCTGAAAATGTAATTGTTACTTTCTACCAATCTGCCTTATTCTGAGAACCCACACAACTAATTCCATAGTCTTGATCATCCAAACTACTAACTAAACCAAGGTGATCGCATAATATTGTACATCGTTTTGTTGTTTGTTTTGTTTTTTGTATGGATCCCTCTGTTGTGGACTTGAATAAGAAACATGATTATGCAAAGGACGTTTCTGTCTGCTCTGTTGTCTGAAGGGATGAAAAGAACCTGACTGAGAATACAACTCATAAACCAAATGGAAACGTTCCTTCACTGTGAAAGTCATCATTTAGATTTCTGAATAATGTTATGGTAAATTACCTGTATGCAAATCTGAGTGGAATTGAGTCTGCTTGACTGCATGATTTAATAATTGATGGTTCAAAGGTGGGGTGATGTATCTGTGGTGCTCGTGCTTTAGCAGTGCGGAGTTTGGTTATTGTACAGCACATGATGTGTTGTTGGACAAATCATTTAGAAGAGATAAACCACATTCTCATTGCATGTGCGAAAGGGCATGAGTGGGAGGGAAGAGGGCACTGGACTGAGAGAAGTGGTACTTGGGGATTGAGTGTGTTGAGCTAAGAAGAGTTTGTGTGGGAGAGAGAGATGGAGGCAGGTAAAATAAACTGCAGGCTTTATTCTCCTGTATCCCTCAGCCAAGCCAAACACATTGAAAGTGGTTATATAACAGAACATGTTTTGTTTGCTATACCTGTTTCTGATTAGTTTTGAATGATGTAATTTCAAGGATATCATTCTGTCAATGTCACATGCATCACCTGTGTAAAATGGAGATGGCGAAGCTGTGACTGTCCTTCTTTTCACCACCTCTTTAGAAACGTCTGATTTCCCCTGCTGATTCATGTCTGGGGAGGAAATCAAAGCCCACAGAGGTCAAACCTAAATCGAGAGAAAAGGGGACAGAGAGAAAGAAAAAAATAGAGAAAGTTAGTCTTTAACAGAAACCTCTTAACAAAAGCCCTGAAGCAGCCTTACAAACATGGGGGAGGGGAATCTGCAATTGTGTGAGGGCGAGAGATGGAGAGCGGGTGAGAGAGAGGAGGTGGGGCAGTGTGCGTTGGTGTTCAAATAAGAGACCATTTGTCAAATAATCAGTGTCTCTGAGCAGACGAGGATGATTAACATGGTTTCTTAAACCTTTAATTTCTTCATTTCAGAAAGGCTGTATTCTGGATTGCAAGCAAAGGTGTGGATTAATCAGATACCATGGAAATGACAAGTTTTTGACTAATTTATTGATGGGGACGATGGAAGTTGATGACAGCAGAGACTAGTATGAGGAGAAGGCGATGCGGAGATAGACAAAGGGAAATACTTTGGGGGTTCTGAATGGACCAGCACAGAGAGAACAGTGAGTTACCCAGCAATCATGTTGAAGTCGTGTGTTATTTTTTGAAGCTGCAACTCTATTCAACACCTTGCAAATCTGTTTATGTGTTGTTGGCTGCAGTTCTGTCAGAGGAAGCGAGCGAAATTGTTCTTTAATATGCCTCTGTATGACTAAAAATAATTTCTCCAAGCTCCTCTATTGGTATTATTGAGAGGAGAGAGAGGCGGTTTTAATAGACTTTACAGATGGCAAGCTGAATATTTATCATATTTGCAACTGACTATTGCATGATGAAAAGGAATGCGCTGACATGCATCATACTAATTTTTAAGTTGTCTCCCTGCACCTCTTGTAATCTAGTATATTTCAATTACCATCTCTTTTTGGACTACTCTTTTTGGAACATTTACTGACAGTAATTTCTGCTGGTGGTGGATAGAACACTATGGGGAAGCCTCTTAGTCGACCGGGTTGCTTCAGGCAGTGCCCCTGCTGCCTTCAGAAGAGTGTGGACGGGGATGGCTACAATGAGGACGGTTACATCCCCCAGCGCTCCATCTACGACACTATGTGTATCAATGAACAGATTGACCATGGCTCTGCTCAGAGCACCATCATCTCCAGGGGAGGCCAGGACAACAACTTCTCCAGCAACGGTAACCAACGGTTAGGGGCAGGTGCCTGCGGGGACATGATCACGTTCGAGGCACGATCCACAACTCCCATACCTTCCATGGGTAGGAGGCTAGACGAAAGGGTGATATTTGACCAGCTGAAGCTGGTTGAAGCTGGCCAGAGCAGCCGTTCCCCAGGGGGGTTTGGGGGGAGGTCAGTGTCCCCCAGTGTCTCCTTGATGTCAGCCCCTGGGGGAAATTCCTCCTCCAGTGGCAAGAGACATTATCAACACCAGCATGACAGCGGCAAGAGAGGGGACAACGGCCGGCACTCCTGGAAAGTCCTAACACCTCCCAAGCATCTTGAACATCTAGAACTCTCATCTGGCGATGTAATGGAGAAGAATTTCTTGACTCCTTTCTACCCACAACACAACACGACCTCCCCTCTCATCTCACCCTTCTCTGGGTCACCTCTCTCCTCTGGCTGTCACACCCCTGTGTTCTACTCCCCAGCCAAACCACTGCCGTTTCAGCATCAGAACTTCATCTTCGAAGAATCACCCCCCTCTCAGCCTCTTCACCCACCTCCCAAACCCCCTCTCGCCCAGCTCTCTGTCACGGCCCTCCAATGTGTTCAAGAGGATCTCAGAAGGATAGGAGAAAGAGAAAGAAAGAAAGAGAAAGGGGGAGAGATTGAGAATAAAAGAGCGGTTTCCCACTCAGTGGGCTCCATGTCTCAAGAGGAGAATGTTGGGGTTTTTGGTTTTGCACCGAGGACGAAGGCACTGGACTCAGCCATTGACAATGATTCTCCCTTCTCCCCAGAGCCACCCCATGACACTACCCCCCTCTTGCTCAATCAGATTTCCCCAGGACCTGCTCCTGCTCGTGCTCTGAGCCCCCAGCCTATGGAATCCACCTGGCCTCGCAGGCTGATTGTAAGGAAGAGAACTGTTAGACAAGGTGGTGCACTCCATAACTTTCCTATCCTTCCCCCTCTGCCCTCCCTGGTGGCACTTAGTGCCATGGAGAGAAAAAACCTTCCCCGCCTCACCCCTTTCTCTGAGCACCAGGGTAACTTGGTAGGGTTGATGGGTAGGGTAGGTTACTCCTTGAAGGAGCAACACTTGGACAATTGGAGGGTCTACTCTGCAAAAAAAACTCTCCAAAAGCCAAAGGAGGAATGGGAAGGAGGGGAGGAGACAGAATGTAAAAGCAGCAATGGCACTGAGTCAAGTGTAAAGGAGGGAGATCCTGAAAGCAAGGAGCAGGAGGGTGGAGCAGGGGGTGGTGGTGCTGAGGGGGAGGATGTGGAGGAGTGGGACACAGTGCTCGGTATGGTGAACACACTGTGGGATGAAGGCTGGGGGGACGCAGAGTCTTACACTGGCTCTCTGAGGCACTGGCCTCTGCTCAAACCCCCTTCTGGGTTTGAAGGATCTCACCCGCCCTCTAGTGCTGCTTCTGAACTCTCTCTCCTGGAGCTGGAGAGGAGGGCCAAGGATGTAGAAAGTGAGCTTGTGGCAGAACAATGTCTGACAGATTCTCTGAGAAAGAAAGCTTCACGGCTCACAGCAGGGCAGTCTATTGTTTCTGGAACAGTCTCTGAACCTGAACAGAGCAGTACCCAACCCAGCCTGGAACTCCTTGCCATGGGGTGTTCAACAGGGACAACAAATGTCAAGGAAGACGGTTCACCTGATTCCAACCTGACCTTGGAGTCAGATTCAAGTGGAGTCTTCATGTCGAACCCCAGTCAGACCAGCCAGGAATACGACGCCTCAGATGGTAGTGACAGACCCTTGACTGAGTCAGACTTGGGGAGCAACACATCTCTGGACCAGGATAAAGATGAGGTGGCATTTAAAGACTGGGGGAGGGAGGAGAGCACTGAGCTCCAGTGGTCCTACCCATCACTCTTAAAGAGCTCCTCTCACTGTGAGGGATATGGGATTGAGGAAGACGCACCTTTGATGAAAGACACTGAAATGGGTGAGCTGCAATCCAGCAACAATGAAGGGCCAGATAATCCAGATCTACATGATGTTTTCACCCCTTTAAACCAGGCAGAATTGAAACCGAGGAACAAGAGTGTTAAGATCATATCGGGCACTGACTCCCCACTCCCCTTATCCCCCTCCAGACATGAGATGCCACGGAAGAAGTCAGGCCTGGACAGCAGTGACCTGGATCCGTTCGTCACTACAGATAGTTTTGTATACCTGGCTGTGTCTGTGCCCCCTGCTGTCTCACTGGCACAGGAGGAGTCCCCCTCTCTCCCCTCTCTGACTGAGTCAATACCCTCAACCTCCCTTTCCATACCGCTCTGCCCCAACGTTGAGGAGAGTGACTTCCTCTCAACAGATAGCTTTGTGTATCTGGCGGGTCCTGAGTGCCACCTGCTCGCCACAGAAGGCCACTCTTCCTTTATTAGTTGTTCCAAGGAGTCCGACTCCTCCGATGACAGCGGGTCCGGAGTGGACTTTGTGCTCGGCTCCATGGTTGGAGACAGTGACTGGGATTCTGATGAGGCCGAGTCCAGCCCTAAGTCTAAACCAATCAAACAACCAACATGGGATCTGTGGGAGGAACTAGAGCAGGAAGTGTTGTCTGATCTATTCTGTGAGGAAGTGAAACCAGTGACAGAGCCAGTGACAGAGGAAGTTACAGTCCCCGTAACTGATCAACCAAGGAAGGTTACCTGGCAGTTCAGGGCCGCTGAAGGTTCCACTCGTCAGACGAGTAAAAAAGACACGTCATCCTCTTCATCTTCCTCTTCATCCTCATCATACTCCTCAACCCACACAGAGGTGTGAGAAGAGAGACACTGGTGCGTCTCAAATGGCACCCTATTCCCTATATAGTGCACTGCTTTTGACCAAGACCCATAGGGAATAGGGTGCCATTTGGGACACAGACAAAGTCTGAGTCTGGTTCAAAGTTGTTGATCTCACACTGATTAAAGCAGCCCGCAACATTCTTTTGATTACATTTCAAATGAGTTTTTAAGGTTTTTAACACCATAACCAATTCATTCAGTCATACAGTGGGGAAAAAAAGTATTTAGTCAGCCACCAATTGTGCAAGTTCTCCCACTTAAAAAGATGAGAGAGGCCTGTAATTTTCATCATAGGTACACGTCAACTATGACAGACAAATTGAGAGAAAAAAAATCCAGAAAATCACATTGTAGGATTTTTTATGAATTTATTTGCAAATTATGGTGGAAAATAAGTATTTGGTCACCTACAAACAAGCAAGATTTCTGGCTCTCACAGACCTGTAACTTCTTCTTTAAGAGGCTCCTCTGTCCTCCACTCGTTACCTGTATTAATGGCACCTGTTTGAACTTGTTATCAGTACAAAAGACACCTGTCCACAACCTCAAACAGTCACACTCCAAACTCCACTATGGCCAAGACCAAAGAGCTGTCAAAGGACACCAGAAACAAAATTGTAGACCTGCACCAGGCTTGGAAGACTGAATCTGCAATAGGTAAGCAGCTTGGTTTGAAGAAATCAACTGTGGGAGCAATTATTAGGAAATGGAAGACATACAAGACCACTGATAATCTCCCTCGATCTGGAGCTCCACGCAAGATCTCACCCCGTGGGGTCAAAATGATCACAAGAACGGTGAGCAAAAATCCCAGAACCACACGGGGGGACCTAGTGAATGACCTGCAGAGAGCTGGGACCAAAGTAACAAAGCCTACCATCAGTAACACACTATGCCGCCAGGGACTCAAATCCTGCAGTGCCAGACGTGTCCCCCTGCTTAAGCCAGTACATGTCCAGGCCCGTCTGAAGTTTGCTAGAGTGCATTTGGATGATCCAGAAGAGGATTGGGAGAATGTAATATGGTCAGATGAAACCAAAATAGAACTTTTTGGTAAAAACTCAACTCGTCGTGTTTGGAGGACAAAGAATGCTGAGTTGCATCCAAAGAACACCATACCTACTGTGAAGCATGGGGTGGAAACATCATGCTTTGGGGCTGTTTTTCTGCAAAGGGACCAGGACGACTGATCCGTGTAAAGGAAAGAATGAATGGGGCCATGTATCGTGAGATTTTGAGTGAAAACCTCCTTCCATCAGCAAGGGCATTGAAGATGAAACGTGGCTAGGTCTTTCAGCATGACAATGATCCCAAACACACCGCCCGGGCAACGAAGGAGTGGCTTCGTAAGAAGCATTTCAAGGTCCTGGAGTGGCCTAGCCAGTCTCCAGATTTCAACCCCATAGAAAATCTTTGGAGGGAGTTGAAAGTCCGTGTTGCCCAGCGACAGCCCCAAAACATCACTGCTCTAGAGGAGATCTGCATGGAGGAATGGGCCAAAATACCAGCAACAGTGTGTGAAAACCTTGTGGAGACGTTTGACCTGTGTCATTGCCAACAAAGGGTATATAGCAAAGTATTGAGAAACTTTTGTTATTGACCAAATACTTATTTTCCACCATAATTTGCAAATAAATTCATAAAAAATCCTACAATGTGATTTTCTGGATTTTCTTTTCTCATTTTGTCTGTCATAGTTGACATGTACATATGATGAAAATTACAGGCCTCTCTCATCTTTTTAAGTGGGAGAACTTGCACAATTGGTGGCTGACTAAATACTTTTTTTTCCCCACTGTATGTTTTGGTATTCATGCTTAATTTCAGTAAAGATAGTTATAGTAAATACTACCTTAATAACAGCTTAATTCTTCATAGATTTCTATTACCATATAAGCAAAATGTAAGAATTCTCCTTCTACAGTTGCTTTATTTAATGTATTTTCTATTGCATCAAATAAGTTAAATATCATTTGTCAAGTTGATTGATATTGAAATGCTGTTGGATTTTCATTTACAGTATTTATGTTTAATCTGATTGTTAGAATGAAAGGTTGTGAATTTCAGACATGCCTATACATTTGCTATATACACTGAGTGAACAAAACATTAGGAACACCTTCCTAATATTAAGTTGCGCACCCCCTTTTGCCCTAGAACAGCCTAAATTCATCGGAGAATGGACTCTACAAGGTGTCGAAAGCATTCCACAGGGATGCGGGTCCATGTTGACTCCATTGCTTCCCACAGTTGTGTCAAGTTGGCTGGATGTCCTTTGGGTGGTGGACCATTCTTGATACATACGGGAAACTGTTGAGTGTGAAAAACCCAGCAGCGTTGCAGTTCTTGACACAAACCGGTGTCTCTGTCACCTACTACCATACCCTATTCAAAGGCACTTACATTTTTTGTCTTGCCCATTCAGCCTCTGAATGGCACACGTACACAATCGACGTCTCAATTGTCTCATGGCTTAAAAATCCTTCTTTAACCTGTCTCCTTCCCTGAAGTGGATTTAACAAGTGACATCAATAAGGGATCATAGCTTTCACCTGGATTCACCTGGTCAGTCTATGTCATGGAAAGTGCAGGTGTTACTAATGTTTTTCAGTATATTTAATTTATGTTGATTGGGTCTTGTATAAATGAAAATCATGAGTGAATGTGGTATATTTGATCATTGCCAAATATATAATAAAGTGCACTGAAATTAATTTTGCATTGTAAAGCTATGAAGATTTCTTGCAGTTAACTATTGATCTACAGTAGCCTACCTTGCTTGGTTCTTGATGGTGTATAATACTAAGTGATGCATATAAAGGGAGCTATTGTAAAGATTGTATGTGCAATCTTATGAGGACTTGTTGTTGAAATGCATAAATGTGCAAATAAATACCTTATCTTGGTGGCTCTAATGGGGATTCTGTGTCACCTGCATTTTGTCTGTTGGGAAAAGTAAGCCCCACGTTTATTTTTTCTACATTTTTTTTTTACTACTGCAAGTGGATACATCCAAGGCCGACACTCCTCTATTGCAGAAATGTAGGGCTCTGTCTGTCTATTTCAGGCCAAATTAATTAGATCACTGTGAACCAGGCCAGTGAGGTGGAAGTGGATGTGATTGTGGGGGGTGGGGGCTGTCGTAATTAATAGTTAATTTTTGTATGTCAGCTATAATTCACATGAGGATCAATACCCACATTATCTGAGGAGGCTGACAGACAAACTGTGTTTGTGTATGAGTAGTAGTACATTGGGTACTAGTCTGTTTGTGCCATCTTGCCACTCCTTGTCATTCCAAACATGACAAGGAGTGGCAAGGAGTGGCATGATGGCACAAACAGACTAGTATGGAAAGAATTGAAGGCCGAAACATTAATCTTTTAACCTTGCTTGAATAAAACAATGCATTTTTAATGGTGAGCGAGCGTTGCACCTTTTCCTTTTCACTAAACAGACTAGTACCCAGGCTAATAGTACATCAGTGTCCTTTCACCACCACCACAGTGTTTGTCTGGGTGACTAACCTCCCAATACTATTACAATGTCACTCACTCATATGCGCCACTGTTCTTTTTTGTTGTTGTGTATTTTTGTTTGTAGAAGGAATCATTGTCGCTGCTTACCCCAACCCAAATAAGTGGCACAGTTGACATTGAGCTCTGGCGCATTGAATGACAGAGATGACATCAACCTTTTGTTTGAGCATCTTGAGGAAGGAGACTTCTCCAGTGTAAGTTCAACAGGGCCCCACATTTAAAAAAAATACACTGAACATGTTCATGCAATGAGGATCTTTCAGAGGCATGTGGCTTCGGGGTGCTTCAAACACACCAGACGTGGTTATTGCATAATTGATTGATTCTGCAAAATATTATTATTGAGAATATCTGTTCTACAGTGCCTTCAGAATGTATTCACACCCCTTTACTGTTTCCACATTTTGTTGTGTTATAGCCAGAATTAAAAAAAAATTTGATTAAAGAGATTTTTATGACTATACACAATACCCCATAATGTCAAGGTGGAATTATCTTCTTTAAAAAAATATCTAATTAATTGAAAAGCTGAAATGTCTTGAGTCAATAAGTATTCAACCCCTTTGTTATGGCAAGCCTAAATAAGTTCGGGAGTAAAATGTGCTTACAAGTCACATAATAAGTTCCATGGACTCACTCTGTGTGCAATAATAATGTTTAACATGATTTTTGACTGACTACCTCATCTCTGTAACCCCACACATACAATTATCTGTAGGTCCCTCAGTCGAGAAGTGAATTTCAAACACAGATTTAGCCACAAAGACCAGAGATGTTTTCCGATGCCTTGCAAAGGGCACCTATTGGTAGATTAAAAAAAAGCATTGAATATCCCTTTGAGCATGGTAAAGTTATTAATTACACTTTGGATGGTGTATCAATACACCCAGTCACTACAAAGATATTTATATATTTCATTTTCAATACATTTGCAAACATTTCTAAAAACATGTTTTCACTTTGTCATTATGTGGTATTGTTTGTAGATGAGTGAGAAAAACATTTTTTATAATTTTTTTATTCAGGCTGTTACACAACAAAATGTGGAATAAGTCAAGGGGTGTGAATACTTTCTTAAGGCACTCTATATTAGCCTGGTACCAGATCTGTTTGTGCTCTTGCCAACTCCATTGGCATGACAACCCACATGAAAAAATACTATAGTATACTATTGTATACAGTGCATTCTGAATGTATTCATACCCCTTGACTTTTGCCACATTTTGTTACGTTACAGCCTTATTCTAAAAGTTCCTCATCAATCTACACACAATACCCCATAATGACAAAACTAATTAAACATATTAAAAATAAAAAACAATACCTTATTTACATAAGTATTCAGACCCTTTGCTATGAGACTGGAAATTGAGCTCAGATGAATCCTGTTTCCATTGATCATCCTTGAGATGTCTCTACAACTTGATTGAAGTCCACCTGTGGTAAAATCAATTGATTGGACATGATTTGGGAAGGCACATACCTGTCTATATAAGGTCCCACAGTTGACAGTGCATGTCAAAGCAAAAACCAAGCCATGAGGTCGAAGGAATTGTCTGTAAAGCTCAGAGACGGGTTGTGTCGAGGCACAGATCTGGGAAAGGGTATCAAAAAATGTATGCAGCATTGAAGGTCCTCAAGAACACGGTGGCCTCCATCATTCTTCAATGAAAGAAGTTTGGAACCTCCAAGACTCTTCCTAGAGCTGGCCGCCCGGCCAAACTGAGCAATCGGGGGAGAAGGGCCTTGGTCAGGGAAGTGACCAAGAAGCCAATGGTCACTCTGACAGAGCTCCAGAGTTCCTCTGTGGAGATGGGAGAACCTTCTAGAAGGACAAACATCTCTGCAGCACTCCACTAATCAGGCCTTTATGGTAGTGGCCAGACAGAAGCCACTGTGCCCTCTCTGAATCGTGTCATTGACCGCTTTAGCAGGATTCGTTCTCTTTACAACTGGCTACGTGATTATTGCAGCTCAATGGGTGTAACTTTTGTTGACAATTCAGATACCTTTTGGAAACAAAACATGTTTTATAAGGAAGATGGGATCCACCTAAATCATTTGGGTTCCTGGATCCTTTCACAGCATTATAAGGCTGCGTTGAGCCAATGATTTATCAATGACCCAAGCCCAGCTCAGTTAATCCCTACTATTGTGTTGCTGAGTCATCATAATGCTTTAGCAAATGTACCTTATACCAGGGGCATTGGTAGACACAATGTAAGTAACCTAATTTATGTCCCTCTAACTGCCCTTAATGCCTCTTCTGATCCTACAGCTATTGTATGCAGCAATCATGTGTCTATGAACCAGATGTATGCTGTTAGCACTGAGGCAGTATGCCCTAGTAGGAAGTCCACTGTGTGCAGCTCACCCTGCACTAACACAAATAACACGAGAATATCTACTTCTGCTAAGCTTCCCAGTAAAGCAATGAAAACAAGCAAGCATCCCAGAAAAGTGCTCAAATTAGCCCACGTTAACATATGTAGCTTAAGAAACAAGATTCATGAAATTAATAACTTACTACTATCTCTGAAACGCACTTAGACAATACCTTTGATGATACAGTGGTAGCAATACAGGGTTATAACATTTACAGAAAAGACAGAAATGCCAGTGGTGGAGGTGTTGCTGTTTATATTCAGAACCCCATTCCTGTAAAGATTAGAGAGGATCTCATGTTAAACACTGTTGAAGTAATATGGCTACAGGTTCATCTGCCTCATTCTTGTGGGAAGCTGCTATAGACCACCAAGTGCTAACAGTCAGTATCTGGAAGTAATCATTCTACCCCCCCCCCCCAAAAAAAAAAAAAAAAAAAAAAGTGTAAAGTGGTTATCCCACTGGCTATAGGGTGAATGCACCAATTTGTAAGTCGCTCTGGATAAGAGCGTCTGCTAAATGACGTAAATGTGCCCTTGAGCAAGGCACTTAACCCTAATTGCTCCTGTAAGTCGCTCTGGATAAGAGCGTCTGCTAAATGACTAAAATCTAAAATCTAACGTGTGAAATGCTTGATAATGTATGTGATATCAACAGAGAGGCATATTTTCTGGGTGATTGAAATATTGACTGGCTTTCATCAAGCTGCCCACTCAAGAAAATGCTTCAAACTGTAACAGTAATCAGTCAACCTACCAGGGTAGTTACAAACAGCACAGGAATGAAATCATCAACATGTATTGATCACATCTTTACTAATGCTGCAGAAATGTGCTTGAAAGCAGTATACAGATCCATCGGATGTAGTGATCACAATATATTAGACATATCTAGGGAAACCAAAGTTCCAAAGGCTGGGCCTAATATTGTGTAAAAGAGGTCATACAATACGTTTTGTAGTGATTCCTATGTTGTTGATGTAAATAATATGTGTTGGTCCATGGTGTGTAATGAGGAGCAAACAAAAGTTGCACTTGACACATTTATGAAATTGCTTATCCCAGTTACTAATAAGCATGCACCCATTAAGAAAATGACTGTAAAAACTGTTAAATCTCTGTGGATTGATGAGGAATTGAAAAATGGTATGGTTGAGAGGGATGAGGCAAAAGGAATGCCAAATAAGTCTGGCTGCACAACCGATTGACAAACGTATTGCAAATTGAGAAATCATGTGACTAAACTGAATAAAAAGAAGAAACATGGCAGCAACAAACGCTGACACTACACATCCAAGTATATCTGATCAAATTATGAAAGACAAGCATTGTAATTTTCAATTCCATAAAGTGAGTGTGGAAGAGGTGAAAAAAGTATTGTTGTCTATCAACAATGACACGCCACCGGGGTCTGACAACTTGGATGGAAAATTACTGAGGATAATAGCGAACGATATTGCCACTCCTATTTGCCATATCTTCAATTTAAGTCTACTAGAATGTGTGTGCCCTCAGGCATTCCGCTACCTAAGAATAGTAAAGCCCCCTTTACTGGCTGAAATAGCCGACCAATCAGCCTGTTATCAACCCTTAGTAAAGTTTTGGAAAACATTGTGTTTGACCAGATACAATGCTATTTTACAGTAAACAAATTCACAACATACTTTCAGCACGCTTATAGGGAAGAACATTCAACAAGTTCTTACCCAAATGACTGATGGTTGGCTGAGAGAAATTGATGATAAAAAGATTGTGGGGGATGTTTTGTTAGACTTCAGTGCTGCTTTTGACATTATCGATCATAGTCTGCTGCTGGAAAGACATATGTGTCATGGCTTTACACCCCCTGCTATATTGTGGATAAAGAGTTACCTGTCTAACAGCACACAGAGGGTGTTCTTTAATGGAAGCCTCTCCAACATAATCCAGGTATAATCAGGAATTCCCCAGGGCAGCTGTCTAGGCCCCTTACTTATTTCAATCTTTACTAACAACATGCCACTGGCTTTGAGTAAAGCCAGTGTGTCTATGTATGCGGATGACTCAACACTATACACGTCAGCTACTACAGCAACTGAAATGACTGCAACACTTAACAAAGAGCTGCAGTTAGTTTCAGAATGGGTGGCAAGGAATAAGTTAGTCCTAAATATTTCAAAAATTAAAAGCATTGTATTTGGAACAAATCATTCACCAGACCCTAAACCTCAACTAAATACTGTAATAAATAATGTGGGAATTGAGCATGTTGAGGTGACTAAACCTCGTGGTCCTCTGTAGCTCAGCTGGTAGAGCATGGCGCTTGTAACGCCAAGGTAGTGGGTTCGATCCCCGGGACCACCCATACACAAAAATGTATGCACGCACGACTGTAAGTCGCTTTGGATAAAAGCGTCTACTAAATGGCTTATTATTATTATTATTATTATTGGAGTAACCCTGGATTGTAAACTGTCATGGTCAAAACATACTGATACAACAGTAGCTAAGATGGGGAGAAGTCTGTCCATAATAAAGCGCTGCTCTACCTTCTTAACTGCACTATCAACAAGGCAGGTCCTACAGGCTCTAGTTTTGTCGCACTTGGACTACTGTTCAGTTGTGTGGTCAGTTGCTACAAAGAGGGACTTAGGAAAATTGCAATTGGTTCAGAACAGGGCAACACGGCTGGCCCTTGGATGTGCACAGAGAGCAAACATTAATAATATGCATGTCAATCTCTCCTGGCTCAAAGTAGAGGAGAGATTGACTTCATCACTACTGGTATTTGTGAGCGGTATTGACATGTTGAAAGCCCAGAGCTGTCTGTTTAAACGACTAGCACACAGCTCAGACACTCATGCATACCCCACAAGACATGCCACCAGAGGTCTCTTCACAGTCCCCAAGTCCAGAACAGACTATGTGAGGCGCACAGTACTACATAGAACCATGAATACATGGAACTCTATTCCACATCAGGTAACTAATGCAAGCAGTAGAATCAGATTTAAAAAACAGATAAAAATACACCTTATGCCTTGGCAGCAGCTAATGTGGATCCATAATAACTATAAATGCTCCTCAATAAAAGGCACATGACAACCTGCTTGGAGTTTGCCAAAAGGCACCTAAAGGACTCTCATACCATGAGAAACAACATTCTCTGATCTGAAGAAACCAAGATTGAACTTTTTGGCCTGAATTCCAAGCGTCAAGTCTGGAGGAAACCTGGCACCATCCCTACGGTGATGCATGGTGGTGGCAGCATCATGCTGTGGGGATGTTTTTCAGTGACAGGGACTTGGAGACTAGTCAGGATCGAGGGAAAGATGAACGGAGCAAAGTACAGAGAGATCCTTGATGAAAACCTGCTCCAGAGCGCTCAGGACCTCAGACTGGGGCGAAGGTTCACCTTCCAACAGGACAACGACCCTAAGCACACAGCCAAGACAACGCAGGAGTGGCTTCAGGACAAGTCTCTGAATGTCCTTGAGTGGCCCAGCCAGAGCCCGGACTTGAACCCGATCTAACATATCTGGAGAGACCTGAAAATAGCTGTGCAGCGACGCTCCCCATCCAACCTGACAGAGCTTGAGAGGATCTGCAGAGAAGAATGGGAGAAACTCCCCAAATACAGGTGTGCCAAGCTTTTAGTGTCATACCCAAGCAGTGGTGGAAAAAGTACCCAATTGTCATACTTGAGTAAAAGTAAAGATACTTTAATAGAAAATGACTCAAGTAATAGTGAAAGTCACCCAGTAAAATCCTACTTCAGTAAAAGTCTAAAAGTATTTGGTTTGGTACTTAAGTATGAAAAGTAAAAGTATAAATCATTTCAAATTCCTTATATTAAGCAAACCAGACGGCACCATTTTCTTGTTTTTTAAATTTACTTACGGATAGCTAGGGGCACGCTCCAACCCTCAGACATAATTTACAAACAAAGCATGTGTTTAGTGAGTCCACCAGCTCAGAGGCAGTAGGCATGACCAGGGATGTTCTCTTGATAAGTGTGTGAATTAGACAACTGTCCTGTCCTGCTAAGCATTCAAAATGTAACGAGTACTTTTGGGTGCCAGGGAAAATGTATGGAGTAAAAAGTACATAATTTTCATTAGGAATGTAGTGAAGTAAAAGTATAAAGTTGTCAAAAATATAAATAGTAAAGTAAAGTACAGATACCCCAAAAACCTACTTAAGTAGTACTTTACATCACTGTACCCAAGAAGATGTGAGGCTGTAATCGCAGCCAAAGGTGCTTGAACAAAGTACTGAGTAAAGGGTCTGAATACTTATGTAAATGTGATATTTCAGTTTTTATTTGTAATACATTTGCAAACATTTCTAAAAACCTGTTTATGTTTTGTCATTATGGGGTATTGTGTGTAGATTGATGAAGGGGAAACACGATTTAATCAATTTTAGAAAAAGGCTGTAACGTAACAAAATGTAGAAAAAGTGAAGGTTTCTGAATACTTTCCGAATGCACTGTAAATACTATAATATTCACTGTAGTGTTTTTGCAGACCTTACTGATGTCATGTGTCAGTGTGTAGCGGTAGGAAGGAGTCAGGCTCAGGACACATAACTTAGTAAACGACGTACTTTACTTAACAAAAGTAACAGAGCATATCTTCCACGCAGGGAAGAAAAAAATACCAGCTCACAAGAACGACAGCAAAACAACGAACAATCACGCACAACACCATGAGGAAACCAGAGGGTAAAATAGGGAAACAAATTAACGTGATGGGAATCAGGTGTGTGAAATCAAGACAAAACAAGTAGAACACAGAAACATGGATCGGTGGCAGCTAGTACTCCGGTGACGACGAACGCCGAAGCCTGCCCGAGCAAGGTGAGGTATTCACTGTAGTCTTTTTGCGGACTAAAGTACAGTTAATACTGCAGTATTTACTGTTATATACTGTAGTATTTACAGGTAACTATAGTATAAATACTGTGGTAAAAAAAACGGTAGTAATACCATAGTAATTGAAGTAGTGTTTTTTGTGGATTGTTGTATACTGCAGTATTTACTGTTTTTGTGGACTGTACTATACTGTAATATTTACTGTAGTGTTTTAGCAGAAACGACTGTAGTATTTACTATAGTGTCTTTGTTTTATTATCTTTGACATAGAAGTGGAGGCTTTCTCCTTCTGGAAACCTATTGGAAAAATACTAAAAGAGCACATTTTCCATCTAGGTAGGTAGGCCTGAACGGATAGATCAGAACTTATAATAATAATATGTCATTTAGCAGATGCTTTTATCCAAAGCGACTTACAGTCATGTGTGCATACATTTTTACGTATGGGTGGTCCCGGGGATTGAACCCACTACCCTGGCGTTACAAGCGCCATGCTCTACCAATTGAGCTACACTTTTCTATAACATGTAGGTAGGTCTGAACAGATAGTTCAGTGCTTCTTCTCTTTCTATAAACTGTAGGGAACACAATACAGGGTCTATATTTGGAATGTAGGTTTCTCACTTTTGGAATGGGCAGGGTATATGCAAATTAATACTGTAGTATTTACTATAGTTTAAAAAATGGTTTTGCTTACTGTAGTGTTTTTGAGGACGTTACTGTATTATTTACTACAGTGCTTTTTTTGCGGGTAATACTGTAGTTGAAAAGGACTGGCTAGGACTAGGGTGGGCTGTAAGTTAGGTTCAGGGCTGTTGCTACCGCTATGGTACATGATGTTACAGGAGTGAGGAGGTGGAATCCAATACTTGATTTTATTACACACAACACATTGGGTTGTTTGGAGGTTATGGAATTGTTGTGATTTTTGGTCAGTCACACACAACAAAGAAGGTTCAAAGGCAAGATGGCCACCCCATGGAATCACCAGCACAACTGAAAGCTAAGAGGGAAAACTGCAGCCTAAATAGTGCAGGTATCTCAATTAGTTCAGTGGGAACAGGTATGGTAATTACCAGGGAGGGGCATACCCAGAGTAGAGGAAAAACCTGGTTGCTGCCATGAGCCTTTGTAACAGTAGTATTTACTATAGTATTCTACAACATTCTATAGTGAGTACTACACATGATTGAGGGATAATACAGTGTGTAGCTTAGTATTCTACAGTATACTACAGTTTACAATATAATTATATAGTAAGTACTGTAGTATTCTATAGTAAACTGTAGTATTTCTTTCATTTGGGAATGATTGAAGGGAGTTGGCATTATAGCACAAACAGACTGGCACTCACTCACAGTTCTATGTATCATCATCATTATTATCATTAGAGAATACAGATAAGAACATATTTACGATTAAACATGTTTATTTTCTCACTCAATAATTTTTTTAAAATATATTTTGGTCCTGCATTTTTGACAAGGAGTATGTGGGGGTGCATGCTGTGTGCTTGTTTCTACAGTATGTGTGATATGAAGCCAGCTAGGACACTGCATGAGTGGGTGTAGCCGAGTGGGTGAATCATGCAGTAGACTATCTGCCAGGTGCTAGCTACATCTGACACCCTCGCTCTTCCTTATCGGCTGCCATCAATTGATATTTGAATGATAGACCCATCTAACTGGGCACACACTTGTTGAATCGACATTGTTTCCACGTCGTTTCAATTAAATAACGTTGAACCAACGTGGAATAGACGTCTGTGCCCAGTGGGATCAGACAATTCTTGAATGAGGGACAATAAACTGTGTAAGCCATGGCAACGAGAGAGCACTAAAGGAAATGGCTATTGTGGTTAGATGACAGAGGGAAGAATAGAGTGAGGGAGAAGGTGTTTTGATAATGGAGAAATTGAATTGTAGGAGGTTTCTACAGGTGTCGCTTATGTAACTGGGCAGGCAGGCAATGTGCTGTGCTGCGGATGGAGTGTGTTCTATTTTAAAAGGCGTTTTAGCTGAGAGAGAGAGAGAGAGAGAGAGAGAGAGGCAGTGTGGGCTGAGACTTCAGAACACAGACGGGGGGATAGAACCTGTGAGAGAGAGTAAAAAGAGATGATTTCAGAAAAAGGAGTGCTTTTGAATTTATCTGTATTTTTGTTGTAGCTTTTGAACCGTACAAAGATTGTTGTGGCCTTTTGAATTGTATAAAGGTTGTTGTTGCCTTTATATTGTGTAAAGCATGCAGTTGGAAAAGGGGTATTGAATTGTCTGTGGTGGCGATGCAAATACTGTTTTGTTGAAGAGTGAGAGGTGATTTCATTTGCATGGTGTTCTGAGTGAGTGAGGTGAACGTTGCACATTTCAAAATGACTGAGAGTGGGTGTCGTTGCTTTTGTTATGGCCATCGGCCTCTGAGTCATGAGAACAATAAACATTCAATTGAATAGGTTAGAAACAGGTTTCCTTTGATATTCTATACTGCCATTTTTATTGGGGACTAGACCTGACCTAGCCTACTACTAAGCCCTCTACATAGAGTTAGGGGTTCTGGACAGTGCCTTAATTATTTAAAAAAATACATATGAATATATGTATCTTTAAAAATACACACATTTTCATCCCTGTATGTATTTGGACAGTGAAGCTAAAATTCTAAATTTGCCTCTATACATATTGTTCATATGAGGTAATTTTCATACATACAGTATCAGTTTTACCGTTTAGAAATGAAAGCACTTTATGTACCTAGTCCCCCCATTTGAAGACTTCATAAGTATTTGGACTAATTCACTTATTCCTTGCACACTATAACTACATCAAGCTTGTGACTACAAACTTGTTGGATGCATTTGCAGGACCGGATTAAGAAATCATAGGCCCCGGGGTGTGATGGGTGAGTTGAAGGAGTCAGGCGCCTGAGGGTAAATCACAGAATAACAGGATTTATTCCGGAAAACAGAGTTACGCAGTAATGCGTCAAAACAGTCCAGTGCGCTAAACAGGCGCACTGGAACCAACAAGGCACACTGGGAAAATAACCCAGCGATGCAAAATACAAGGAGCTCCACCGAGCTTCACTATCCTCACAATAAACAATCACACACAAAGACAAGGGGGCAGAGGGAACACTTATACAGGTACTGATGAGGGGATATGAACCAGGTGTGTGTAAGGAACAAGACAAAACCAATGGAATGATGAAATGAGGAGCGGTAGTGGCTAGAAGGCTGGTGATGACAAACGCCGAAGCCTGCCCGAACAAGGAGAGGTGGCAGCTTCGGAGGGAGTCGTGACACAGGGTTACAAAACCCTTCTATGGATTATATGTTTATGGCCACAAAGCAACAAGCTGTAGCCTATATTTGGTGCACATGCTGCCCAAACTGCAGCCTTCTCGACACTTTTTGTTGGTGTTTCCTTAATTTTGGCAAAAACCTGTATGTGCGTGTGATAAAACTTAATCCAGAGTATTTAAAAAAGTAAACTATTGATCTTCTGTGCCCAAATTATGTTCCCTGGTGTATTTTGAACATTGAGAGTGGACTTCTGTGGTTGGATTGTCACGATCGTTGAGAGACGGGTCAGACCAAGGTGCAGCGTGGTATGCGTACATGTTTATTAAGACGAATAAACACTTGACAAAATAACAAAACAACGAAAATGTGAAGTCCTATGGGCTATACACACAACAAGCCTAACAGGAACACAAACAAGATCCCACAACTAAGGTAGGCAACATGGCTGCCTAAGTATGATCCCCAATCAGAGACAACGATAGACAGCTGCCTCTGATCGGGAACCACACCCGGCCAACATAGAAATACAAAACTAGATCAACACATAGAAATTCACACCCTGACCAAACCAACTAAAGACAACCGGCCTCTCAAGGCCAGGGCGTGACATGGATAAAAAACCTACTCAGTCCAGGGTTTTTCTTTATTTTTACTATTTTCTACATTGTAGAATAATAGTGAAGACATCAACACTATGAAATAACACATATGGAATCATGTAGTAGCCAAAAAGTGTTGAACAAATCAAAATATATTTTATATTTGAGATTCTTCAAAGTAGCCACCCTTTGCCTTGATGACAGCTTTGCACACTCTTGGCATTCTCTCAACCAGCTTCACCTGGAATGCTTTTCCAACAGTCTTGAAGGAGTTCCCACATATGCTGAGCACTTGTTGGCTGCTTTTCCTTCACTCTACGGTCCAACTCATCCAAAACCATCTCAATTGGGTTAAGGTCGGGTGATTGTGGAGGCCAGGTTATCTGATGCAGCACTCCATCACTCTCCTTCTTGGTCAAAAATCCCTTACACAGCCTGGAGGTGTGTTGGGTCATTGTCCTGTTGAAAAACAAATGATAGTCCCACTAAGCGCAAACCAGATGGGATGGCGTATCGCTGCAGAATGCTGTGGTAGCCATACTGGTTAAGTTATGCCCTCACTTCCCTGTGTTCCCTTGCTCAGTTTTCTCTGCTAGTTTCACCATGCCAAGCAGTACTAATCAGTGTCTAATCGCGGAACGTATGGACAGGTACGTGAGAAGTGTTCTCCCTGTTTAGTTATTATTTCAGTCATAGTTAGTATTTCGTATTTTTGGCTGTATGCCTGTTTTTTGGAGTCTTATTTGCTCCGCCTTTCCTTTTCGTGTAAAGTCCTTTATTTTGTATCCTGGCTTCGGGACCATCAGTAAAGTTCCTTGTTTCACCATCTCTGCCTACTGCCTACTGTCTAACCTGCACCGCACCTGGGTCACACCTCACACCAACCCTTTCAGATATAATCTGTTCACCTACTATGCGTCTCACAAAGACACGGCGGTTGGAACCTCTATAACAGGCAGTGTCAGAGGAAGGCCCTAAAAATTGTCAAAGACTCCACCACCCAAGTCATAGACTGTTCTCTCTGTTACCGCATGGCAAGCGGTACCGATGCACCAAGTCTGGAACCAACAGGACCCTGAACAGCTTATACCCCCAAGCCATAAGACTACTAAATAGTTAACCAAAAAGCTACCTGGACTATCTGCATTGACCCTCTTTGCACTAACTCTTTTGACTCATCACATATGCTGCTGCTACTGTTTATTATCTATCCTGTTGCCTAATCACTTTACCCCTACCTATACAGTATGTACAGTTGAAGTCTGAAGTTTTCATACACCTTAGCCAAATACATTTAAACTCAGTTTTTCACAATTCCTGACATTTAATCCTAGTAAAAATTCCCTGTCTTAGGTCAGTTAGGATCACCACTTTATTTTAAGAATGTGAAATGTCAGAATAATAGTAGAGAGAATGATTTATTTCAGCTTTTACTTCTTTCATCACATTCCCAGTGGGTCAGAAGTTTACATACACCCAATTAGTATTTGGTAGAATTGCCTTTAAATTGTTTAACTTGGGTCAAACGTTTCGGGTAGCCTTCCACAAGCTTCCCACAATAAATTGGGTAAATTTTGGCCCATTCCTCCTGACAGAGCTGGTGTAACTGAGTCAGGTTTGTAGGCCTCCTTGCTCGCACACATTTTTTCAGTTCTGCCCACAAATGTTCTATAGGATTGAGGTCAGGGCTTTGTGATGGCCACTCCAATACCTTGACTTTGTTGTCCTTAAGCCATTTTGCCACAACTTTGGAAGTATGCTTGTGGTCATTGTTCATTTGGAAGACCCATTTGCGACCAAGCTTTAACTTCCTGACTGATGTCTTGAGATGTTGCTTCAATATATCCACATAATTTTCCTTCCTCATGATGCCATCTATTTTGTGAAGTGCACCAGTCCCTCCTGCAGCAAAGCACCCCCACAGCATGATGCTGCCACCCCCGTTCTTCACGGTTGGGATGGTGTTCTTCGGCTTGCAAGCCTTCCCCCTTTTCCTCCAAACATAATGATGGTCATTAAGGCCAAACAGTTCTATTTTTGTTTCAGCAGACCAGAGGACATTTCTCAAAAAAGTACAATCTTTGTCCCCATGTGCAGTTGCAAACCGTAGTCTGGCTTTTTTATGGTGGTTTTGGAGCAGTTGCTTCTTCCTTGCTGAGCGGCCTTTCAGGTTATGTCGATATAGGACTCGTTTTACTGTGGATATAGATACTTTTGAACCTGTTTGCTCCAGCATCTTCACAAGGTCATTTGCTGTTGTTCTGGGATTGATTTGCACTTTTCACACAAAGTACGTTCATCTCTAGGAGACAGAGCGCGTCTCCTTCCTGAGCAGTATGACAGTTGCGTGGTCCCATGGTGTTTATACTTGCGTACTATTGTTTGTACAGATGAACGTGATACATTCAGGCGTTTGGAAATTGCTCCCAAGGATTAACCAGACTTGTGGAGGTCTACAATTTCTTTTCTGAGGTCTTGGCTAATTTCTTTTGATTTTCCCATGAGTTTGAAGGTAGGCTTTGAAATACATCCACAGGTACACCTCCAATTGACTGAAATGATGCCAATTAGCCTATCAGAAGCTTCTACAGCCATGACATCATTTTCTGGAATTTTCCAAGCTGTTTAAAGGCACAGTCAACTTAGTGTATGTAAACTTCTGACCCACTGGAATTGTGATACAGTGAATTATAAGTGAAATAATCCGTCTGTAAACAATTGTTGGAAAAATGACTTGTGTCATGCACAAAGTAGATGTCCTAACCGACTTGCCAAAACTATAGTTTGTTAACAAGAAATTTGTGGAGTGGTTGAAAAACGGGTTTTAATGACTCCAACCTACGTCTATGTAAACTTCTGACTTCAACTGTACCAGGAAAAATCCCACATAGACCATACAAGAAAAACATACATAAAAATAAATGCTTAACATCATGACATCATCCAAGGAAATACATTGCCTCCTAACAATTCCTAAGTTACATGTAGACTACAATATAGGTAGATGACTGGAGTGGAGCAGCTGACCGGCGCTGGACTATGCACCGGTGGAGCGGACTGCTCTGGCACTGGATTAAAGCAGCTGACCGGAGCTGGAGGCTCTGGACTGCAGACCGTCGCAGTAGGCTCCGGGCCATGGACCATCACTGGAGGCTTCGTGCCATTGATCATCACTGGAGGCTTCGTGCCATGGATCATCACTGGAGGCTTTGTGCCATGGATCATCACTGGAGGCTTTGTGCCATGGATCATCACTGGAGGCTTCGTGCCATGGATCATCACTGGAGGCTTCGGGCCATGGATCATCACTGGAGGCTTCGGGCCATGGATCATCACTGGAGGCTTCGGGCCATGGATCATCACTGGAGGCTTCGTGCCATGGATCATCACTGGAGGCTTCATGCCATGGATCATCACTGGAGGCTTCATGCCATGGATCATCACTGGAGGCTTCGTGCCAGTGCGGGGCGCTGGCACAGGACACACTGGGCTGTGGACACGCACCACTGGTTTGGTGCGAGGAGCAGGCACGGGCCGTACCAGGCTGGAGACACGCACCACTGGTTTGGTGCGAGGAGCAGGTACGGGGCGCAGGGGGCTGGAGACATGCACCACTAGTTTGGTGCGAGGAGCAGGCACGGGCCGTACCAGGCTGGGGACACGCACCACTGGTTAGGTGCGAGGAACAGGTACGGGCCGTATCGGACTGGAGACACGCACCACTGGTTAGGTGCGAGGAGCAGGCACGGCCGTACCGGTCTGTGAAGGCGTAAAGCCGGTGCATAGCCTGGTGCCTGCACGGTCACACGCTCCTCAAAGCGAGTGCGGGGAGTTGGCTCTGCTAAACCTGGCTCCGCCAGCCTCTGCTCTAAGGACCGAGCACTCTGCTGCTGGAGGGTTAACTCCTCTCTCAGCTCCTCCTGTTGCCTGGCAGGCTCCTCTCTCCGTGCATCCACTGACTCCTTCTCCCTGTGGGCCTCCTGCAGCGCCTCCTTCTGAAGGGAGAGCTCCTGCTCCCTCTTAACTAACAGCTCCTGTAAGGTGGTGGCCTCCTCTCTCAGAGTGCTGAGCTGCAGGTCTTTAGCTACTTGGAGGGCCTCCATCTTCAGAGTGGCCTCCTCTATAGCTCTCTCCTCCTTCACAGTCAGCCCTTTCAGGGCCTCCTGCTGCGTCGCCAACCACCCCGTGTTTGAGTCGCCGTTTTTCCTTTCCTGCCTGGGCTTCTTCCTTCGCCCAGGGTCCCTTACCGGCCAATATCTCCTCCCATGTCCAGCATGTCTGCTCCTCCTGGCCACGCTGCTTGGTCCGTTGGTGGTGGGATCTTCTGTCACGTTCGTTGTGTAAAGGATCGCACCAAGGTGCAGCGCGGTATGCGTACATAGTCGTTTATTTTAATAAACACCTACAAAATAACAAAATCCAACAGAACATGAAGTTCAAGAGGCTAAACATCAAACAAGCCAAACAGAAACAAGATCCCACAACTAAGGTAGGCAACATGGCTGCCTAAGTATGATCCCCAATCAGAAACAACGACCGACAGCTGCCTCTGATTGGGAACCAACATTGAAATATATACATTTGATTTCACACCCTGACCAACCCAACTAGAGATCTCAATGTCAGCGTGACAATCAAATTAATTATCCCAACTTTAGCATGACAATTCTCAGTGATTCACATTGGTCCTATCACTCAAAGTTAAAAACCCTCAACTTAGCACACATTACCCCTGTCAGAATGTACACATATTAACATACAGTATAACTATCCAGAATTCTAGTATTACCTTCCTCATCATGAGAATAACTACAGATCACTATCACAATGCATTCTTAGTCCAAATTACTATAAATGTAGCAGTGTATATACCTTCTACATCAACCTCATACCCAAATTATCAAATTTAGAGAAGTCCAAATTAATTATGGACACAGCTGACCAACCCCGTCCTTCCCCGCCACTCAATCTTCTGGCGTTTCTTCATTATGTTCTTCAGACAGCTTCATAGTTCAACTTGAATTGCCCATGATAATGTCCCAATTTCAATGTCTCATCCGAGCAGCTACCATCTCTACCCCCCATTCTGTCTCGTCCATTTGCCAACCAATATACCAACAACATGAGAAATGTTATATTTTAACGGATCTCTCTCCATGCCCACTCCACATGGACTCCCGCGAGAAAAGCATGAGATAAAAGACAGTTGATAGCTTCGATTGGATGCTATACATCGGTTGCAGGTAGAAGTGGTGCTGGACAGGACCGTATTCAATGCCTTGTTGCTCATCTTCAGCTGGTTTAGAAGCGTATTTTTTGTTGTTGTTGAGGTTCACACCGTTCTTGACCGAATTATCCCTGCTATGCATTCCAGACACCATCTGTAGTTAGAGAGAGAGAGGACAGATCATAACAGTTTAGTTAAGTTCATATCTGGTCCAAGAAAACCATATAAGCATTGACTATATGACAAATTATTATGTTTTACCAATTATTCTTAATACCAATTGCTAATATACTCTCCTTATCACCCTGTCGAATCAGCCAGAGCATGTAGCTCATCAGTAGCCTTCCCCTTGTCATCCTCCCATCTCATGATACTGGCCAGCTCCATCATCCTCAGCTCCCTCATCGCTAGGTCGGCGGTTTCCTCATGGTACTCTGGCGAAGTGGTTTAGATGATACCAGGGCAAGCTCCCCTCTATTTGTACAGCAGTTGGTGTAGCCTGGGTGACGATGTATGGTCTCTTTGGCTCGGGACAATCTTCCGTCACTAGGATCTCGGATCAGGCAGATTCCCTCTCAATTCACCAACATCGGTCTTCGGAGAGTGTCCTTCTGGCAGCTTACCAATAGGGAAGCTCGGAGTCACTACTGCAAAGACACAGACACATACAGACACAAAATAAAATAACGCTACCCAATGGCGAGGCCATCTTCCTCTTCTGGGGTTGGAACTCTCCTACAGTGAGACACATAGATCTAGATATCTGTCTCTGCCACTTTCACCATCATCGAGGTAGTCAGCAACACCTGGTACGGGCCCCTCTACCTAGGGTATTTCCAGCTATTTCTTCTGTAGTCTTTAACCGCCACAAAGTCTCCAGCATATACAACTCACAGATTCTCCTTCTAGGTTGGGCAGAGAAACCTTCACCCGTGAGAAGAAAGTCTTAAGAACATTGTTAGGTGAGACACAGTATGCTACTGTACCATGTCTTCTCATCAGTCAGGAGAAGCCTTGAGATTAGGAAGTGCACATTCATGCATCTCGTTGTAGTCTATTATCTTTCAGAGACAGGCTCATTTGCACATAACACATTCCATCTAAACCATAACACATGAATTACTACTGCTCATATTCTTAATACAATTCGCATATTTACCACAAAGACCAGTAATTCCCCCTTCTGGTCACATGACTCACATCGTGATTCATGGGTTCAAAAAATAAAACAACAACAGTGCCTGTTAAATCAAAATAATAAATGAAATTAGAATGACAACCTTTGATAATATCTTAACTTAATTGTATCCCATAAAGTAATTCAGGAATAGTAAAATTGACTAGCGACACTTATCCCTCATACAGGGCTAGCACTCTCTCTCTGTCCTTGTCATGGTCCGAATCATATATAGGATTATGAACCATAAACTTCGTCATAATTATCAGTATTACAAATTACCCTCAACTCGTTATAATAAATGACCTTAAATTCACCATCCTATGCCTCTCGGGTTTCCAGTGTGGGTGATCAAATCACACTAGAAAGTTAGAACAGAGGTCAGAGGTCATTCAAATCCTTCAAAGAAGTGTTTCATTCTATAGTAGACTAATCATTAACAACATTCAAAACATTTCATACATTTTCGTATCCCAAGTGTATAGTAATACTTCATAACAGTTCTTATCAAAATAAATCACATATGTTTAATTAAAACTCACTCAGAAAATAAAACTTCAAACACTTCCATGTGTGTGTGTCCCTTTAAGATACGTCATTTCTAACCCTTGAAAATCCCCTAAAATAAAATAAAAACCCAATCCAACTAACATTTCATAGGTGGGTTGTGTGAAAACCAAAAAATTGCCTTATTTAATTTGGTAGCTCCCTTCACTGCCTACTCCTGATATCTTAATACTTACAAAACTGCCCAATTCAACTAACATCTCTCCCCAAGACCACATACTCAGGAACATCTGAAAAAGATAAGAAACCCCCTTCTCCTGTAACAGAAAGTTGACTTGTTGTTAACATTCAGTTATAACCAGCAATCCAAAAATAGTCATTACACACAAAACATGATGCAGATAATTCCACTGTACTACCTCATATCAATAATCGTTTGTTTCAATCTAATTCCTCGTTACTACTCCAGAATAATAAAATGACCTAAAATCTCTCACTCCTTGTCTTCCTCATCATACCATACTCCACTCACCCTAGCATATCTGGCTATGCTTTGAAATTAATGTTATCACGTAAGATTATGGCCACAGTTCTATCGCAATTGTCAATCCGCTGTTATTAGAATTCAGTACATTTAGGTAACTGTCCCTACTACTTAGGCTACAGGTAATACAACAAACACTTGCTGTAGTTGACAAGCATATATTCAATTAATATCCATATCCAATTCAATATTTTAAATTATAACCCCATTCACAGTAGTTTAAGCTAGCAAACCATTAGGCAACTCAAAAAAATGACTACCTCGAAATCGTCACGCTATTCCTGTGGCATAAGTGAGTCTTTCAATTTGAACCAAACAAGCTGCTAAATCATCCAGTTTACATCACAAAACAAACACTGTCTGCATTATCTGTCTAAGCAACACATACCAACAGTTGAATTACACTCAGAAACCCAGATTTTACTCTATGCCATTGACCCAATGCTATTGAAATGACAAAGAAATCCCTCAAATAGCCCAATTACAATGGTTTGTCGTCTTAACATCTGATCCATAATGAAATTCCTTCACTTCCTCACCATAGCTCCTCAATGATAATTAGTTTAATGGAAACCCTAAATTGGCTTTGTACTATGTTATAAGTTACGTCTATCAATTCCAGTCCTTATGGACAGTTTATTCCTTAAACCTTATCTCTATCACATGATCCATAAATGGCACCAACTCCGAAAAGTTTTATTTATCGTTTCCCACCCCTGACGTACGTCTACGTTTTGGGGTTAACATATTGTATACTTAAACACACATAAAATTAATCATATTTCCATATATTCACATAATCCACCTAGAATGTTAGAACTCCTAGGTACTCACAACAAACAATCCCTTCGTGTTTTTAACGATTCTCAATCGACACAAATCAACTTCTACAAACATACTCCCAGTGGAACCAAAAAAACAGACTGTAGTTTCCAGGACACTGCCCTGCCTGTCATGGGATCCACCCAGAAAATACCGACTTTCCACTACTTTGTAAAACACCATTCCGCTCTCAATACCACTCCTTGATCTTCTATGACCTAAGTCTGTTATATATCAAAACATATTATCCAAACTTATATCAAATGATCATACACATTTCTATAATTTATTATGTACCCTTCAGATTAAAATTACTTTCTGCTCTTTGTTCATAAGATAGCCTATGTTGTTCCATTTAATTACTTAACTTCGTTAGCTGACTTTTTCTCCTTAATAATTATATTTCCAGGCCATCATGCGCTCATTAAATCGCATGCTTTAAATCCCATTTCGTTTTGCTTACGGCAATATTATCAATTATATATTTTCGCGCTATCTGTAACTTATCCCTTTTAAAAAAACCTTCTTGAGGATAAACATTATCTGTCCATGCTGATAAATCACTGAAAAATGGTTCTCCATAGACAAATTCTAATTTACTTAACATCCATTCGCGCATTGTCTGATTTTCGATACTTTTAGTAGAGACTTGTTTAAAATGCGGATTTGTCTGTAATAATTTAGTCATTTCCTTTCTCTCTCTTCGAGGTGAATGAAGCTCTGATTTATTCTTGTGATTGTCTTGCCAGATTCCAGTCTACTAAGTTGACGCTATTGTTTTTATTATTAGTTCATGCAATATTAGTAATCAAATACAGTACTTGAATCAAATCCCCAACTTGATCTTTGCCTATTTTGTCATTGGTGCTATGATTCAACATGCTTAATTGTATCTGCTATCTCTCCTGGCCGTTTTGAGTAATTCACAAAGGAGTAATTATCCCTTCACCAAGGTAGTCTAACTCTCAGAGGACCGATCATAGGCCTCAAACCCATTCTTTATGATGCTTATAAACATCAAAGGACTCCAACCTGTACCAAAATGACTCCAACCTTTAACAAATCTTGTTGAGGACTTGAACCTCATAACAAAGGACTCTAACCTTTATCCCTAAGCTTGTTGAGGACTTGAACCTCACAACTTTTTCACATTAAAGGACTCAAACCTATATCTTTATCCTCTGTAGTCTTTACTCATTAATCTGAACGAACCCTGTTTTGAATCATAGCACCATGTCATTGTCTAATTTTATATTTCTCCTTACATCTCATTAAATAACTCGATACAACTCATCTTCCCCCTTTAAAATATTGAATTTTAAACGTTCTTTACAGCTCAGCCTTACCACAGATAAGCAGAGTTTAACATAATCATTAAAAAAAAAGTCTGCTTACCTGTCGGCTAGGATGAAACTGTATTCCGTTCGTAGACGCCATTCTGTTATGATGTGTTTCTCTGGTATCAAGTAATTCAGGATACAAGAATATACTTAAACAATTATATGGAGACTTGATGCAAAGTATTTAATTGATACGGTACTGGGTTCGTATAACAAACGGCACGTGCTTCGCCTCTTGTCATCTGAACTCTGGACAAAGGAAATCTCTCAGTTTATATACTTCATGTTACATGTTTCTTCAACAACATCTGACAATCTTCAGTGGACACTCCCCACCCTGATGGTACCAGCTTGTACTCAAGTCAGTATATTCCATCAATCAATAATTCTAAGATAAGCACCAGTAAGCTCCCTCGACATACTGGAATCCTTACCATTCAGACTCTGTGGCACCAAGAGTTACCTATCTAACAGATTTAACTTTGTTCCCACAACACTAGGACAAGACGTTATATCAGTCATTTAGCAGACGATCTTATCCAGAGCTATTTACAGTTAATGCATTCATCTTAAGATAGCTAGGTGGGACAACCACATATCTCAGTCATAGTAAGTACATTTCCCCTCCATACAGTAGTTACCAGCAAAGTCAGTGCAATATGTATTTACATTTTAGTCATTTAGCAGATGCTCTTATCCAGAGTGATTTACAGCTAGTGCATTCAGCTTAAGATAGCTAGGTGGGACAACCACATATCTCAGTCATAGTACAGTTGAAGTCGGAAGTTTACATACACCTTAGCCAAATACATTTAAACTCAGTTTTTCAAAATTCCTGACATTTAATCTTTGTAAAACTTCCCTGTCTTAGGTCAGTTAGGATCACCACTTTATTTTAAGAATGTGAAATGTCAGAATAATAGTAGAGAGAATTATTTATTTCAGCGTTCATCACATTCCCAGTGGGTCAGAAGTTTACATACACTAATTTAGTATGTGGTAGCATTGCCTTTAAATTGTTTAACTTGGGTCAAACATTTCGGGTAGCCTTCCACAAGCTTCCCACAGTAAGGTGGGTGAATTTTGGCCCATTCCTCCTGACAGAGCAGGTGTAACTGAGTCAGGTTTATAGGCCTCCTTGCTCGCACACACTTTTTCAGTTCTGCCCACACATTTTCTATAGGATTGAGGTCAGGGCTTTATGATGGCCACTCCAATACCTTGACTTTGTTGTCCTTAAGCCATTTTGCCACAACTTTGGAAGTATGCTTGGGGTCATTGTCCATTTGGAAGACCCATTTGCGACCAAGCTTTTAACTTCCTGGCTGATGTCTTGAGATGTTGCTTCAATATATCCACATAATTTTCCTTCTTCATGATGCCATCTATTTTGTGAAGTGCACCAGTCCCTCCTGCAGCAAAGCACCCCACAGCATGATGCTGCCCCCCCCCCCGTGCTTCACGGTTGGGATGCTGTTCTTCGGCTTGCAAGCCCCCCTTTTTCCTCCAAACATAACGATGGTCATTATGGCCAAACAGTTCTATTTTAAGTATGATCTTTGTCCCCATGTGCAGTTGCAAACCGTAGTCTGGCTTTTTCATGGCGGTTTTGGAGCAGTGGCCAAAGTACATTCATCTCTAGGAGACAGAATGCGTCTCCTTCCTGAGCGGTATGATCGCTGCGTGGTCCCATGGTGTTTATACTTGCGTACTATTGTTTGTACAGATGAACGTGGTACCTTCAGGCGTTTGGAAATTGCTCCCAAGGATGAACCAGACTTATGGAGGTCTACAATTCTTTTTCTGGGGTCTTGGCTAATTTCATTAGATTTTCCCATGATGTTAAGCAAAGAGGCACTGAGTTTGAAGGTAGGCCTTGAAATACATCCACAGGTGCACCTCCAATTGACTCAAATGATGTCAATTAGCCTATCAGAAGCTTCTAAAGCCATGACATCATTTTCTGGATTTTTCCAAGCTGTTTAAAGGCACAGTCAACTTAGTGTATGTAAACTTCTGACCCACTGGAATTGTGATACAGTGAATTATAAGTGAAATAATCTGTCTGTAAACAATTGTTGGAAAAATTGCTTGTGTCATGCACAAAGTAGATGTCCTAACCGACTTGCCAAAACTATAGTTTGTTAACAAGTAATTTGTGGAGTGGTTGAAAAACAAGTTTTAATTACTCCAACCTAAGTGTATGTAAACTTCCGAAATGTTTCAGTCTAATATGCACCAAAATCAAACAGATCAGGGCTACAGGCTTGTGGCAGCAGCCTCCTCTGTCTTCTTCTGTCTGCTGATGTTCTCTTGGCTCCCAATAGTTGGATCTACCCTGATATATGATGACCTCGGCGGAGCGATGTTGGTGACCTCATGGCACTCAGCGAAGAGAAGTCTCTCGTTGGCCTGCTGTACTTTGAGCACCTTCTGTAACCGCTTGCCCACCAGATAGAACATCTCCAGGATGCACATGAAGATGCAGACGGCTGAGGAGACCACCATGAAGATGGTGAAGATCTTCTTCTCTGTGGGCCTGGATATGTAGCAGTCCACTGTGTTGGGGCAAGGTTCGAGGGCACACTTCGAGAGACGTGGCATGTCATAGCCTTGGTAGATATAGTAGAGAATGTAGAGGAAGGCTGCATCAACCCCGGCCTTGAAGATCAGGCTGACCAGGTAGGTCCACCACAGGCCTCCACGTTTCTTCCCCGGGTTGGCATACAGGTGAGAGCCCTTGTGCTGAGAAGCGTACTTTGAATCCTTCCCCTCGCGGTACTTGACGTGAGCCACGACCATGAGAGATGGACAGGTGACGAAGATTAACTGGAGGGCCCACAGGCGGATGTGTGAGATGGGGAAGATGCTGTCGTAACAGACGTTGGTGCAGCCGGGCTGCCTGGTGTTGCACACAAAGTCCTTGCTCTCGTCTCCCCACACGCGCTGGGCGGCAACCACAAACACCATGATACGGAACACAAACACCATGGACAGCCACACACGGCCAAACACAGTGGAGTACTTGTTGACCCCGCTGAGGAGGCTCTCTAGTGCTGACCAGTTCATCCCTGCGGCCTGTCAACACTGGCACCCTAAACACAAAGAGAGTCAGAAGTCAGTCACAAGGCAAAATGGTCACACACAGGGTTACAACTAGTCTGTAATCAATTAAATAAATACATAGACTAAACCTGACCATAAGGACACTGACACAGCCAATCTTCCATCCTTTTCAGTGCAGTTAAATGCATTATTTTCTGAGTGATTGCATTAGTTCTCGCTTGCTACTCTGTGAGTACAAAGCAGTGTAGGCATTGAGGTTACTAAATCCAACACTAAAATGTCCATGAAGAAACCACACCTAATTTATTTAAAATAGAGGAAGTCGATTTATTGTAAAATCAGAGCACTTTCGATGAAGAGAAGTTAGATAATTGAATTCTTGACTCATCATTTCATCGATCATGAATCTAACAAGACCTAAATGGCCTACAGCATGTGTATCTGTTTTTGTGTTACGTCCTCTTTAATTAGTCCATGGAGATTAAACTAATCTACCTTCTCATAGGATTTATCCGCTCTAAAGGCTTTTAGCGCTTCGAAGCACAGCAATCAATTTAGAAACTGTAGGCCTTACGGAATAAAAAAAAATGGAAGACCTACTTTTCCATAATGTCAGTAATGATGTCATCATGTAAAATGATACCATTGTATTTTTATGCCTCCCGAAACCACTCAGACTATTAATTATATATTTACTGTTAGAGCGTAGGCCTGTATTTGACAAGTATTCAGTATTGCAGATCATAATTGTATTTGATTTATTGATTAATTATTACTGAAGTCTTTGCAACAACAGTACTTGCCAGTAAATAGTCATTTAAATGTGTACAGAGGTAATGCTATGTTGGTAGAAAGCAAAAGTGTGTCATCACTACATTCACAACACATAACGGGTCTCTAAGCAACATTAGTCTAAAGCAACATTCACTGAACAAACAGACTGTGATTGATTTGATGTACATTTAATGTAAGGTGTCTTTAAGTGTCCTAAAAGGCGTATGTCAAATAAAATGTATTATTATTATTATTAAAGACATGTTAAGCACCTTGAGTATAGAACACCTAATGTGTAGAGATAATAAACATGCAGTATTAGGGAGACAGCAGGTATGGAAACAGGAGTGGCTCTATTGTACAGAGCGTCTACTGTGACAGGCCTATCGTACCCCCAGGTCTCTGAATTTTAAGTTCATTTCTCCTCATTTCCCTAAGACAATATAGTTAAGACATGCCTTCATTAAAGTAGGCTGAAACTTACCTTACTTGGGATATGAACTGGGATCTGAAAAATGTAAGTATTCCAGCGGAACAAACACAGCAGGAAACTACCCTCAGGTATCTGTCTCTCCCATCTCGGAAATCCTGTCCAACCTGTTCATGGGCCTAGCCTGTCTGTGTCACATGGAAAACTACAGAGCGCAAACAGCCTAGCCTACCAGACTAGTAAACTACTGTATACTATTGGCAGTGGTGTCGTTTTTCTAACTGCTAAACAAAGGGTGTGTGGGTGTGTGTTTATCTATTCATGAGGACTCAAGGAAACCACACAAGAACAGACCTGTCAGTCCAAGCCCACTACCTCAGAGAGAGAGAGAGGGAAACCCTAGACCTACTCCAATTTGCATACTGCCCCAACAGATCCACAGATGATGCAATCTCTATTGCACTCCACACTGCCCTTTCCCACCTGGACAAAAGGAACACCTACGTGAGAATGCTATTCATTGACTACAGCTCAGCGTTCAACACCATAGTGCCCTCAAAGCTCATCACTAAGCTAAGGACCCTGGGACTAAACACCTCCCTCTGCAACTGGATCCTGGATTTCCTGACGGGCCGCCCCCAGGTGGTAAGGGTAGGTAACAACACGTCTGCCACGCTGATCCTCAACAGGGGTGCGTGCTCAGTCCCCTCCTGTACTCCCCGTTCACCCATGACAGCATGGCCAGGCAAACTCCAACACCATCATTAAGTTTGCTGACTACACAACAGTGGTAGGCCTGATCAAGATAACAACCTCTCCCTCAATGTGATCAAGACAAAGGAGATGATTGTGGACTACAGGAAAAGGAGGAACGAGCATGCCCCCATTCTCATCGATGGGGCTGTAGTGGAGCAGGTTGAGAGCTTCAAGTTCCTTGGTGTCCACATCACCAACAAACTATCATGGTCCAAACATACCAAGACAGTCGTGAAGAGGGCATGACAAAGCCTATTCCCCCTCAGGAGACTGAAAAGATTTGGCATGGGTCCTCAGATCCTCAAAAAGTTATACAGCTGCACCATCGAGAGCATCCTGACTGGTTGCATCACTGCCTGGTATACCCCCCCACCCACCCCCTCTTTTACGCTGCTGCCCACTCTCTGTTTGTTATCTATTCATAGTCACTTTAACTCTACCAACTTGTACATATTACCTCAATTACCTCGACTAACCTGTGCCCCCGCACATTGACTCTGTACCGGTACCCCCTGTATATAGCCTCACTACTGTTATTTTACTGCTGCTCTTTAATTATTAATTATTAATTATAATTTATAGTTATTTCTTATTTTTTTACTTATCTATTTTATTAGTATTTTTATTTTTATTTTATTTATTTTTATTTTTTTTCGGGGGGAATGGATGAGCTTAATATTGCAGATAGATTGTATCTTCTATCAATGGTAATTGTCTGCCATCACTTCCACTCCCCCATGTTTTTTTTTTTTTTTTCTTTTTTTAAAATATTTTTTTTATTTTAAAACCCCCCCCCC